GGACGGACGGACGGACGACAATACAAAACTATAAAGGATCTGAGGGTCCTTAATAAAGTTTGAAAAGTTAACACACGTTTATTGCTGTATCTGCTAGCTACATTTTCTTTTATATTAGGCTAACACTTTAACAGTGCATATTCTTTTCATCTAAGCTAGTATCTGAGTCTCTCAACAAACATACTAATGATGAAACTGGCATGATATTAAACCCTTAAACCCTCCAAAAGTTTGATATCATTTTTCTAAACAAACGAGTTTGGATATTTACCAAGTAATGAGTAAAGTCCTTGTGAGGTTGAAGCTCTGCATCTTCAAAAGGTTGTAATTTCCACAGTAAAAGGAATTCCATCACCTGATACTCACATCCATTTGTTTATGAAAGATTTCAGTTTTATTTCACAAAACTTTGAGCTTCAGGCTTCGAAGAATAAAACCTTCTTCAAAGAGCTAACATGTAAGCTTACCATTCGCAAATGCAGAAAAAGAGCTTGACGACTTTGGAATGAATCCCTTTTTGAGAGGATTGTTCAATACATAAACTACGGTGCGTTTTTTTCAAGAGAATCTGAATTGAAATAGCTCATTTCGTTTGGAGATGAATTACAGAACGAACAGGGTAGTGGCCCTCAGTTCATTGTGTATACCAAATTTCAGATTGTTGCGTATTACGCGGTTCGTTGTGACTGTGTAATTGTGTACAATTTTGTTCTAAAACTTTTTTCGGTATCTTTTATGGTAAAGAAGTTATGATCCGGGGGATTTTAGGTGCTACACCCTGTATATAGAAGAAAATGGCAACAGGTGCCAATTTTTCATACCACAGATTCTGAAAGACTTCAAAGGGGAGATTCCAACTACAGTCGGCCGGTATTGTAACTAGCCGTATACATTATTTGACTGACTTGACTTGTCAACGACTTTGATATAAAGCGTTTTGGGTGTGTTGAAATGCCACTTTATCCGCCTTGAGTAGAAATAATTCTAGTCTGAATTTTGTTATGATCTAGCATCAATTTCTGCGCACCCATAAAATTTGTCCCGCAATAAAAAAATTCGTTAAGTCGCTTGTGAGCAAAAGGTCAAGAGTGCACTTTCAAATTTGATTTCAATAGCCCTTACCTTATGGACATTTAATGCCTTAACGAGGATAAAAATATGAAATAATTATTAATTTCTGATCGAATGACACCAATTCCAGAGCCTTTGTGACTCAGACAGACAGACAGATCAGCCATCAAGAGCGCAAAAGTGTACGTTTTATTTTTGGAAAGTGAAAATGCACTAAAAATGTTGATGTCTGGAGCGATACGACGACCAATACTTTTTAGGTTTCAGCTAACACTGCCCTAATACACAGATAAATTATAACGCAAAAAAATGTAGGTAGGTACCCAGTTTTATTTTAAGACTTGAAACAACGGTCTAAATCTTCATTCGCCAACAATTTCATCACATATGTACATCTCCGATGAGTGAAATTTGAGTATAATAATTATTCATAGAAATCTATTTGTGAATTATAGTATTACCTTCGCGTTATAGTTGCATGTTAAGTACTTAATTACAAGTAGCGCTTGTTAATTTTCAATGTGATCATAGATTAAACCATGCGAAAGGTCATGTAATTTGCTACACGTTACCTGTACATAATGGGTAATACTATCACTGTTATAGGTACCGTCATGCCATGCACTGCGCGTGAACAATATCGAAGGGCTATTAATTTATATTACTAGGTACTTAAGTACAAATTGCTTAAAAAAATTAGTGAATCGTTTCATGGAGACAAATAGAGAATGCAATCCCGCAGCAAAATCTCAATCCCGGTATTTGCGGAATCGTTAAAAATTAATCCTGCGGGATCCCGCAAAATTTTAAATAAATTGCCAAATAAAATAAGCAATTTTGGGCGGTTAACTTCTGTATTACAATAAATCGCTATAATTATCAAAATAAGTATTCAACAAAAAAGTACCTTCAGCCCAACTTAGAACTCAAAAAAATCACCTGTAAAGCACAAAAAGGTGAACTAAGTGCCTCAAAAATCATAGTACCTCCATTTTTAACGAAAAAAGTTTAACAATTATTTTAAAAATAATTTCTCCATTATGCGTTTCTTTAACAAAGCAAACAGAGTTGTCCCCTTGGTCGAAAAATTCCTCCGTCCCGCAATCACGCGGGATCCCGCTCCATTTATGTGCGGGATTAATCCCGCAAAAATTCTGCGGGATCCCGGTATTTCGGGATCCCGCGATCCCGGTATTGCATCCTAGAGACAATAATAATGAACTTGAAACTGAAACCTTTAATTCCATAGGTACTAAATAGGTGACCAATATAAAATCAATGTGGTCTCCATGTGCCCCATCAAATTTATCCTCGTCCCAATTCTACTAAAATGGTCCTCAAATACCAAATAACGCATTTTGAAGCGATCTAGGTGCCAGTTGCTCTTTCAGAGTAATTAGCAAATGACTCTTTCCATTCCAACCGGATGTCCGGATGAGAATCAATCAATTATATATTTACAAAATGGTGGCGACACCGATAATGCAAAAAGTGCGCATACTGAGTAGTATAGTCCCGTTTGGGTGGTACTTTTTTTTAAGTCGACAGAATCATTTCATCGAAGTAAGTATGTGTCTGTTTATGGTGCACATTTAACCACCGTGGATCTTAAAAAATATGACTTAGATACAAATGTGTGCCTACATTTCTTGAGGCATTATATCCAGGGCCGGTGAAAGGCTATTTGGCGCCCTAGGCGAGATGTTCTCAGCGCGCCCTTCCGGAGGTTATTCCTAGGTACCAGTACCAGGCAAAAAATAGAAAGTGGCGTTCATAAATACTTTATTCTGTTTTCACTGAAAGATAATTTTGGCGCCCTCTGAAGCTTGGCGCCCCAGGCAGCCGCCTATGTTCGCCTTGTGGTTTAACCGGCCCTGATTATATCAACGACTTCTGTTGACCAATTACTAAATGTTTCAATAGTTATTGATAACAGGTTGTCTATGTCGCGATCTTTTACTAATAAGATCGGCATTATTATTTGGACGTAAAGGACAAATAAAAAAAATTATTTTAATTGTTTGTTTCGTAATAACAACGCCTGCATTACCTACTTAGCAGCAGAAGTTGAGAAGCGACGACAGTCTTGACTTACCCCATACTCACGAGCAGAGCCACCGTTACTTTCATGTCAAAACGAGGGACGTTTCGCGGCACTTTTGAATCTGGGTAGCGGTCGTTGTTCAAACTGGTGGTTCTTTTTATACACATACGAAAAAAAAATTAATAAAAATAAAACTCATAATTTTGCGCGTAAAAAAGACGAGAACATATAAAACATATTGCGCACACAACCAAGCGATGTCAGGAAAACTTCTTTGTTACAAAAACCCTGGCATACCACGAATTAGATTAACAAAGACAACAAAATCCACAAAACATTTCAAATTGTATAACAATAAAATCAGGTCATGAATTTCAAGATTCTAGGAATGACATATTTGTTCCAAGAACATCAACGTGCATCATTTGGAAACTCAACATTTTTGTGCTGTAGCCATGCCTATAGTTGTGCTTTAGTCGAGGAAGAATTTGGTAAGTTTTCCAGCAAGCTACTATGATAACTAGCATTGTTCAAAATAATCAGTGATGGTTCTTCTAAATTTGGTAGCAAAGTGTCCCCGAGCCACTTAAGAAAACCTTAAATTCATAAATAATGTATTAAAACTCACATTCCTACCATACCCTAGCTAAATCATTTAACAAGGGTACATTCTACATTCCTGGTGGCCTTCTACAAAGTCCCCATCTCAACACGGTTCGAAAGCTGGAGTGTAGTCCTCGTGTTCGCTTGGTATATGTAAGGCAATGTATTGTAAACATTTGGATGGATAGTTAAGCTTTTTATTTAAAAATCGCCGTTTCTAAAGATCTAAACATTCTAATTCTGGCTACAGCCTACAGATTGTAAAAAAGCTGTTTTATGCACAGCGCACATATGTTTGTTTAAAATTCTCGTTACAGAATCATCTATTTTTAATTAAGTCATATTCATGAGTTGATAATACTTTCAATGCTATGAGGAAGTATGCGCACATAAAATGCATAGTTCTGATATTATAAATATATATGTTGTTATTCCAAACACCGCATACACAATTATTAAGCAAAAACTATTGTTTCGCTTAAGCTACTTATCGAATACAAATTCTTTTATTAACTTTCAGTAGCTCTTTGGAATAATAGGTAACTTCTATATTTATAGCATGAGATTATCGGTCGGTTAATTTAATACAAATTGACTATGGGAATGTACACTCTCAGTAACTGAAATAAGTTTTCCTATTTCATACGAAAGTAGGTACTGTATCTTACTTACTGAAAATTCTCCCTTTTGTTGTGCTTTACCTACCTGAAAAGTAGCTTCAAAATTAAGTTTCTGAATTGCTTGCTCTAAAACTAACTTCCAAATATTTAAACCTCTTGTTATAATGTCAGAGAAAATTAAATAAAAATTGTCATTCCACAGTACATTTCCATTTTATCAAGGTTTCTATTCATGTTGTCTGTTGTATTGTCTTCTCTTACTCAAATTTCTTTCTTAGTGGCCACCGTATTTAAAGCAGTATTTCTATTAGTGTGGAGATCCATAGATTTAAATGAGAACGGATGGACCGATTACGATGAAATTTTGCAGGTGGATTCTTTATCAAATTTGCAGATCGGAATTCGTGAATTGACATTGTAGGTCAAAAGTACAGAAGGCCCTTTTGACATTTTCGTTAGTTATTAATTACCTCGAATAAAAGTAAAACTAATACTTGCCTTGCCATACTTATAAAAGTGGGTTCAATTGCCAATAGGTGTCAATTCTTTTAAGAAAATTGAGAACAGCAAGGCGTTTTGTGATTACATTTGCCTTATTTAGCAAAATTGATGTAGGCACGACGATTGTCTTAAAGTTTTCCGACACCTTAAATTTTTTACAATGTTCAGAATAAAAACCCTTATACAGTGTGCAAATTTTAACTCTGAACAAACAAATCTCCTATATATTCAATTCTTAAATATACCTACAAGTCAAATGCCCCTTAAGATATGCAAACAATCTTACCTACTTTCATGATTTTCAATAAACGTCAATGTCTTGTAGCAATTTGAAATAGTGTGTAGGGTAGGTAGTAGATAGTTACGGTAGTTCAGGTTAGAGCTGTATGATATTTTGCATAGTTTTAGGCAAATTTAACACTAGATTTAACAATTTAGTTATCATAAGGTCATTTCCCACTTGGAAATTCTTGGGATATCAATTTTGGGAAAAACGTATATTTTTCGAGGTAGAGTGGATTGGGTTAGCTTTTCGTGCGGCTAGGGAGATAGAGAATTATAATTATTGGAATTCACTGTTTATCAGGATTTATCTCCTAGCTCCTGTATCTGATACTGGTTGGCTGATCGAATTGATGGTATAGTTGGGAATCAGTATAAGTAGTTTGTTTTATCAGATTTGAAGCAGCCTGAAGGTAAATTTAATTACAACTTTTCTAAATTATTAAAGCTATCATTTACAGAGAATACCAATTGGGAATTTGATTAGTGTATATAGTTAGGAAACAACGTCGAATTAGAATATTAGGATGGTAGTCATAAGTTTGAGGTAAGATAAATAATTGATAGATAGTGTAGTATTAAAACTTTGTAATTTGTAGTTTAGAACATTGCGGACGAGTTGCAAGCTATAACATCTAGGTAAGAATTAGGTATCTCTTAAGCTAGATATAGAGTATCTCATAACTTTCAGCTTTTTTTGTTCCGCTGCCTGAAATCTGGCACTTACTGGTACCATACCTTGCTGCATCTGCGTTTGTTCTGAAATAAAGTGGGAGAATAAAAAATTAATTAATCATAATTAACCTGTATTTGCATACTTACAATTTTTGTGGCTTTGAGTTGATGAACCCTCTTCAAGGGTTATGTAAACTGAAATCAAAAGAGTTAATTCTTACCATTTAATTACAAATAATTACATTCATGATAATACTTACCTGTGAAGGAAAATTCGTTTTGTTCTCAGTTGGGAGGTCTATCTGTACTAACCTCTATTTGGCCCAAATATAAACAGGGTGCGGGGGCTAGCTAGCGAATCCAGAACCCGTATTAATTACCGTAGTAAGATATTGTTGACACTGTTGATTTTTGCGGTGTGGACGAATTAATCCTATTAGTTTTTTTCCTTTATTATTGTTACCGTGCTTCACACCACAATTATAATTTGTAGTTACATACTAGGTAATCATATTTAATTTTAAATCGAAATACAGACGTATTAAATTCCTCTCTGCCACAATACCTAGTTTTTTTACACCTTCATTATGCTATGCTTGGAAGAGCCTATCCTCCTTGATCAAGAGGATTTATTACCTCGCTAGATCTGGCGCCCTTAAGATTTGAGTTTTGTAGTAGGTAGCAAGTTTTCCTGGCAGAATACCGAACTTTACGACCCTCACGTTGAATGTTAGCCGGCTACTGAGTATAAATCCAAGTTTAGTAGTGAATTTGTATTCTCCTAATCAGATAGTAATTTTATTTCGCAGCAGTCTGAATGATTTATTAAATGAATTATTAGTGATATTCTTAATAATGTAGCAAACATTCTAGAAATCCCCATAGACATTGAGGCGCCATGAAAAATTAGTCATCGGCGATAAGAGCGATGGTGAATATGACTCAATCCTTCCGGGAAAAATGACTAAGTGGTCGTTACAGGCTTTGGATTTGGAGATTATCTTTCTACAGCAATAGATTGACGTAATTAAAATAGTTGTCTTGAGTTAGCAATTATATTGACTTTCACTAATTTTTTTCTGTAATTTTTACTTTACACCTAGGCCAATATTTGCCTGGAAAATAATTTCAATTTGCTATGGTTTTGTCCGTCTGTCTGTTCCTCGTCTAACTCGAGAACGAACAGAGATAGGGATGTCAAACGTTCGCCAATCCATTTCTACGAGTTCAAGGATCATTGCTACTGAATATGAGCCGGATTAAAAGTTTGGTTTCCGAATAGGAGCTGAGCTCAAATCCAAATTAAAAGCTAGCATCACATAACGCTTGATAATCGTAATAAAACAAAATGTATAAAGAATAATTAGTAGTAGTAGTAATAGTATAAGTTATACTACGTTATTAACTATATATAGTAGCTGTCGCTAATTTGAGTATAACGAAGCTGAAGCATTGAATAAAATTTGATTTAATGGCTAAAGTTAGTATGAGGAAAAGCAAAACGTATCATAAAACATAGTATCACAGATCACTATGTGTAATCTCTTATACCGAAATAAAATTTGGGAAATCTTTTGCTATTATTTAATTCCCAACTAATTATATAGAGATCACTGACGTTAATTTTGGTGCTTTTTTTTAGATGACTGGCCAGAAATATGTTTAAAAGGAAAGAGACAATCACCTATAAATTTGGATTCAAATATTGCACGGGATCAGTCATTCGCAAAATTCCATTTCAGCAATTTTGACAAAGGATACAGGGCAACTGCGATTAATAATGGACATTCCGGTAAGTACATACACATGTTATTGACTTCTGTACCTACAGTATATTTGCTTGCAGTTGTATTAACTTTAGATGCAACTGCTTCGCGTCCAAAGGTATCCGGTGGTGGTTTGTCAAAAGAATACACAACAGATCACCTACATTTTCATTGGCAAGCTGAACACACAGTAAATAGACACAGGTTGGGGTTACAGAATAAATAAAGTGGTTGAAAAAACATATTTGTTTTGCAGGTATCCTCTTGAAGCTCACATAGTAAACTTTGCCAGTGAATACAAAAATATGAGTAATGCAGTAAAATTTGAAGACGGAATTGCAGTGTTAGGTGTACTTTACGATGTAAGTAATTTTAAACGCAGCACCGGCCGACTAACTATTAACTTTAGATGTCTCCTGATGATGACATAGAACTGCAAGCGTTAACAGATATTCTAGATGAAGTGGAAAATAACCAAATATCATTCCACGTGAACAAAGAGATTCAACTTCGCAGTTTCCTACCCCGGGATGTAGCAGGGTTCTTTCGCTATGATGGATCCCTAACGACACCAGGTTGCGATGAATCTGTTACATGGACAGTATTTACGAATACATTGCCAATATCTCATAATCAGGTACGACGAAAATTTACCCTCTTATGCTTTGATGTTAAGGTTTCTTACAGAAATTCCTCATAGGTAGGTATCCATGTCTACCTACTTTTTAATAGAAAAATGCTATTGCTCAGAAATTGTTTTCTTTTACCATAGTAGCTAATTGCTGCCATACTCCTTTGTCATTCATATTTAACTTGTTTTAGATTAAACGCTTTGAAGCAATAAAGAGCGAATCAGGCAAAGTGACCGAAAACTTCCGCGCTTTACAGAAACTTGGAAATCGTACTTTGTACATAAAAAAGAGCCCTTTACCCCATAACGGATGCGGATATGCACACGTTAATGTTTTGATATTATTGTCTATTATATGGCTACCTTTTACAATCGTATAATTAAAAGTGTTTGATAATTATTGTTGCATATTTTTAAGGGCGTCTTCGTAATCGTAATGGCACAGATTTAAGTGTTTAAATCTGTGGTAATGGATGTATAATATTGTGATGTTTTAATATTTTTATAATGTTGTTATTGCATATTTTACTTAACCGTAGATATACAACCAATTCAATTTTAGACGTGTATGTGTGTCTTGATGTGTAAAATCGAAATGCGATTGCTCAACCAGATTAATGTTATAATTATACAATAAACAAAATTAAATTAACATAACTGTGTTTGGCTTTTAGGTACCTACCTATCTACTCAATAAGCACAGACAGTATAAGTAAATAGCACCATCCAATTTGAGTTAAATTTATAGCTGGTATAGTAAGTATAAGTCTTCAAATGTATTTCTAACTCCAAATGATGATAATGGGACAACGATAAGTGCCAGGCCAAGGCAGGGTAAGTAACCCTTTATATGCAGGGTACCTAGTTACAATAACACTTTTTCTATTTTTTATGAAGTTATCCATTTTTTTGGCGGTGAGGTAATTTTTTTTTAAATTTTACAATAATGAAATAAGATTTACCTGTTCTTCTTTGTACTCACCCGAAAATTACAATAACACTATTCGCTATACATTCCCCAGCAATATTAAAGATTTTAGACGCCTCTATCGATCGCCAAATAATCAACAAAAAATTGTTTATTGTACCTATTCGTCTCTTAGGTAGGTATATGGGGGGTTCTACATTCTGAAGCAATCTGATGTATAACAAGGTAGCTACTTAGTCGCAACTTTATAATAAAACGGCAAAGTTGGTGAAGTTGTGTGTTTCACTTTCAAAGCAAGAAAGTATCACAGTATGCTATAGCGTTTTAATAGTACCGCGGAAATGGTATGAGTTTTAAGAAATTGCAAGGGTTTTTGATAACACCGTTGAGTGAAAGAATCGAGAATAACACGTTATTTGTTCATGAAAGGAGTTTTGGAAGAAAAGTTAGGGTTTTCTTTAGTCTCGGCATTGTTCGTGAAAATAAACGCAATTAAATTTTCTTTCTATTTACTTATGTATTACAACATTAGTTTATAAAGTAGCCTATGTAATGAAAATGTTCGCTCGCTTAAGAGATACGAGGGAAAATTTAAACATTCTTAATTTCATAATGACCGTATATTTTTCTAGTTTAAAGAGGTACACACACAAAAGTTTGTTTATATGATTTCCGTTTTCAAGCAAATAGGTATATACGAGGCCAGGTAAAACGGGAACTTTAATGTATAAATCATTCAATGTTTAGCATGCGGCACCCTGGCCAGATCCAAAAATTATCAGTCCTCGTGTGAGATCGCATTTTTGTGTGGCAGGTCAGTGTTTTAATAGCCAGTGCTGACTCCACCATCAATAAAAGATCTTGACGAAGGCTACCACATTCACTTTGTCGGTACCCGATTCCCACTTTCCGCGTGCACCCGCAATTCGCGTTTAAAGTTTTGACACCACCATCAGTAAGAACGTGTCGGGGGCTACCACATTTTCTTTGACAGTACCCACTTCCGACGTCCCGTTTTCGCGTTTGAAGATTTGACTCCACCATCAGTAAGATCGTGTCGGGGGCTACCACATTCTCTTTGTTGGTACCAACTTCCGATGTCCCGTTCACCCGCAATTCGCTTTTGAAGATTTGACTCCACCGTCAGGGGGATCGTTTCGGGGGCTACCACATTCCCTTTGACGGTACCCACTTCCGACGTCCCGTTCACCCGCAGTTCGCAATTCAAGATTTGACCCCACCATCAGTAAGATCGTGTCGCAGGCTACCGCATTTCCTTTTTCGGTGCATACTTATATTACACCCACATTTTGGTGGATTTCGCTAAAAACCTTCGACAAGATAGTATTTAATTTTTGGAGCACTTCTCATTGCTCGAATGGGCTCATCCCGCCTTCATTTTTTATTTCTGATCCACAAAGTACATTAAAAATAAAAAGACCCGTGTGTCCTCAATTTTTATTTGCGAGTAAAATAAACCCAAAATAAATTATTGAAAAGCTGTGTTTTTAGTCCGAATTTGAAACGCTTCGGACTAAATACGTCATAAACCTACAACCAATCACGTAGAAGTGAGCTGGCAACCTTACCCGAGGGTCTGACGTTTGTCACATTTGACGTTTTGAGAGGGATGTTTAACTGCATCTAGCACGAAAGTGACAAGTGCCTGTGACAGATGACGCAAGTTATAAATGCCATTCTCCTGCAATATTGCCAAGTCGTTATGTCATCTGAATGGTTCTAGGAGCTGATTGGTCGGGCTTATTACGTCACAGAGCCCGCCACAATCATATCGTTTTGAATAAACCTTTAAAACCGCACAAGTTCATTATTTTTTTGCTAATCGGCCTCTATTTTTAAATAAACTTTTACTGTACAAAAAAATGTTTTATGGTTTCAGGTACACGCTTATTCAATTAGAACTGCGGAATTCAACTACACTGTAAACCCCCATTGCTATTAGCGACACGAGAAAGAGAGACAGTGATTCGAGATTTACGAAACGTTAAACCGCGTGACAAAATTCCCTCGAGCGGTGGTACCTCGATAGCGGCGGTTTTACGTAGGATTTCTCTACTGAGAGTACGTGAGTTGGCTCCATGGCGTCGACCAAGTCCGAAGGATTTAGCTACCACTATTGTTTACATAAATTTAACCCGGCACCCTCCGACGACGACGGGTTTTTTACATTGAACGCAAGTTTGTTCTTTATTTTCTACTTAAGAAACCGTGTTAGGAAAGCCTAATAACAAGAAAACTGCCGAGATGCTTTGAAAAACACAAACTCCTATTTGCATTAACAATTACATACATTAAAACGTCGAGAAGTTGCGTTATACCTACTTTAGGTACGTTGTTTCGAACACTACCATTGAGATGAGTGTTGCGATGAAGCACTTTGCTGTTAGCTTGGGAATGGTATACCTAAGCAGTAGTCCGGTAGGTAGATGGTCAATGCCTAGTAGTCGAATTGTCGAGACCTGGTTGTTGTGTCTTTACACGAGATGTGACCGGACCATTGACTATACACAATTCGTTAATTAGTCTTTATTAAACACAACATAACAAGAGACATTGAACGACCTTTTTGTGACACTTTTCTCTAAACTCTATAGTACCAACTTAACTTACTAAACTTAACCCAATACATAACACTCTTCCCCCTTTACAAATCAAGCCTAGAGGGCGCCTTTATGGTTCTTTGTGAACGTCTGAGTACCTGAGGCGTTATAGAAACTGGAGCAGGACTTTTAGGTGCTTGGTCAGGATTTGGACTATCAGGTAAAGAAACACTTGAGTCTTCAATCACTTCTTCCTGAACATTCTCATCCGGAGCCTTCTCAACGCTGACCGAAGGACTGGGGTTACTCCCTTGTATGTACGGTCTTACAATTGGATTTGTCTCTTCTTCTAATATGGACATCTTTAGGTAATCGGCATGAAGATATCGTACCTGATTATTCACCATTACTAAATATGTAACTGGACTGACGACCTTTGCAATTTTTCCAGGAATCCACCTGTTGACACGAGTATCGAAGGTAAGTACTTTTTGGCCTTCATAGAATCTTCTCATTATTCCTCTTTTACTATCCTGGTATATTTTCACTTTTCCATCGATTTTATCTTCTCTTCTCTTCCCTCTTAAAAATGTTGGTTTTAGTAAGGAGAGTTTTGTTCTGGGTTGGCGTTTTAATACTAAATTCGCCGGACAAACTCCTGTGACTGAGTTGGGTGTATTGCGAAAAGAAAACAAGTATTCATCGATCTGTTCCTGTAAAGTCATGGTAATTTTCTGTTTTTCATTATCCTTTAATTGCTTCAATAAGCCTCTCTTGATGGTATCCACATACTTTTCCGCTTTGCCATTTGAGCAAGGATGAACTGGTGGAGTCAAGGATACTTTTGTGCCTATTGAAAGTGCAAACTTCTTGTATTCCTCCCCATTAAATGGAGGTCCGTTGTCTGATACTATCTCTTCTGGAATTCCGAACGTAGCAAATATGTGTTTTAGCGCTTGAATAGTTTTAGACGAATTTGTTCCATGCATTATCTGTATCTCGATCCATCGACTGTAGCTATCTACTACTATCAAGAATTTCTTGTTAAATTTTTCCAAGAAGTCAATGTGTATTCTCTCCCAAACTCGCTCGGTTTTTGACCATGGTGTATACGGTACTGGAACTGCTTTGGGTTGTAAGGATTGACAATTTTCGCAAGAGTTAATACAATTCTCCAGATCTTGATTTAGATTAGGCCACCAAACTTCACCACGTGCTAACATTTTTGCTCGAACTATCCCTATATGCTTATCGTGTAGCAATTTCAAGACTGAATCCCGCAGTTGGAATGGAATGACAACTCTATTCCCCCAGAGTAAACAATTATTTTCAACTGTTAATTCACTTCTTCGGATGTAATATGGTTTCAGATTACTTTCGTTAATCTTGTTGGGCCAACCTTTTTGTGTATATTCTATCACTTTAGAAAGTGTTTGGTCTTGCTTGGTGCATTCTACTATCTCAAGTGCTGTCAACGGTAGCACATAATAATCAGAAAAAGAATACGCTTTTTCTTCCGTCGATTCTTCAAGTGGAAGTCGTGACATGGCATCAGCGTTTGCCATATCTTGTCCTTTCCGGTATTTGATTTCATACTGGTAAGCTTGTAGGATCAACGCCCATCGTTGTAATCTCGCAGCAGACAGAGTAGGTATTTTATTTTTCGCTCCCAGGATTGTTTTCAACGGTAAGTGATCGGTGATCAGCGTAAAAGGCCTATTGGGACGCATCGGCAGCCATAACTAAAGGTAAATCAAGTGAGTATGCAATTAAAGCTTTACTGTTTAGCAATAACTGCTTGCTCTTCTCAAAGGCTTGTCGACATTTACTGGACCATTCGAATGGGACATCTTTTTGCTCTAACCTATACAACGGATGTAATTCTGAAGACAACATAGGTAAATATTTGTTATAATAGTTCAGCAGACCTAAATACGAGCGTAACTGTTGCAGGTTTTTGGGTTCGGGTGCTCTTTCGATAGCCTCCATTTTACTCTTCATAGGTTTGATTCCTATTTCCGACAACTCGTGACCCAAAAATTCCACCGTTTGGACGAAAAACTTACATTTTTGGAAATTCACCTTGACATTAAACTTATCTAATCTAGACAGAACAATTTCAACATTCCTGAAGCAGTCTTCAAGCGACTGACCCACGATAATGACATCATCTAAATAACAGCCAACATTTTTAATTCCCTGAAGTATCTGATCCATAATTGCTTGAAATTGTGCTGGTGCACAAGCTACGCCGTAAGGTAATCTATTATACTGATAAAGACCTTTGTGTGTGTTAATCGTTAACAAATGTTTGGATTCAGGGCTCATCTCTAACTGTTGATAAGCATTACTCAAATCAAGAACAGTGAAGAATTTCCCCTTAGCAACTTGGTTAAAAATATCTTCTACCCTCGGTAATGGGTAATGATTAACCTTGATTAATGGATTAAGAGTTACCTTAAAATCAACACAGATTCTTAAGGACTTCGATGACTTTTTGGGCACTACGACTATTGGACTCGCCCACTCGCTGTATTCAACCTTTTCCAATATTCCATTTACTACCATTTCTTCAAGTTCCTTTTCCACTTCTTCTTTAATAGAGTAAGGGACGGTATACGGTTTGTGGAATACAGGGGTAACATTTTCTTTTAACACAATATTACATTTAAAATTTTTGATGCATTTTGCTTTATCGTTACTAAAGACATTTCTGTACTTGTCTTTAAATTCAGACACAATTTTTGAAATATCTACCTCAATGACATTACAATGCAAACTTTCACGCCACCTAGGTAATAACATATTTAGCCAATTCCTACCCAGTAGTGGTATAAACTCGATTTTAGACAAGACAACGACTAACGGCAATTCATACTTGACATCGGACTCAATACATTTAACCTTTACCATCATTTCACCTACAATTTGTAACTGATCTCCTTGTACGGTTTTAATTTTTAACCTACTTTTACAAATTGGTATATCTTTAAAATATTTGTTACGAGTATCAACAGAAATTAAACTTACGCTTGCGCCTGTATCAACTTCCATGTCTATTATGCGTTTTTCAACATTAACTTTCAAAATAGCTGGATTAGACTTACTTGACACCTGAATGTTCTTGCAGAATCCCACGAATTCTTCATCGGTCGACTCTTCTTTTGCTTCCTCCGTGACATCCTCTTGATCGACTAGTAAATGGACTTTCTTCTGTTTATTCCTACAGACTCTGGACGTATGGCCTTGACGATGACATAAAAAGCACTCCCACTCTTTGGCTGGGCACGTGTCTGGATTATGGAACCTTCCACATCTAAGACAGGACTGGCCTCGACTTGACCTTTGACTAACAGACGTAGACGTAGAGTTTTTATTCGACTTTTGACTGGACGATGCTAAGCTCCGACTGGACTTCGGACTACACGACACTGACATTTGACCACGTACTTGACTTTGACTGACATCCTTCCTTCTTTGACTCACTTGTTTGGACGAGTTTCCTCTATACAACTTATTTACTTTACCATCTTGCTGTAACTCAAGGCTCTCTGACTGTATTAATTCTTGTGCTAAAGCCAACTCGCACAGCTTGGAAAACGACAAATCCTTCTCAGACAGTAGACGGTTTTGTATCTTCTTATTTGACATACCACTTATAAACTTATCTCTCAGTGCACGATCTAAAAAATTTCCAAACTCACACAAATCCGCTTGTTCTTTGAGTTTACTTATATATTCAGCGATCGACATACTACCTTGACTAATTTTATAAAACAGGTGACTTTCGAACGTGACTGACTTCACTGGAGCCATTCGCTGCTTTAATATTGCCTTTAATTCCTCGTACGACTGACTAGCAACTTTGTTCGGTTTGACAGCGTTTTTCATCACTCTGTATGCTTCACTTCCAACCAGGGTGACAAATAAATCGACTTCATGATTACCTTCGACTTGATTGCACTTAAACAGGTGATCCATTCTCTCCAGGTAGCTTTCGATTTCCGTTTTTTCTAAGTCGATGGGTTCGATCGTACCAATAAGTGACATTTTGTTGATTGTTGTTTTCTATGGTTTTTACAATGACATTCGACTGCAACTAACTTCCGACAATCCGACTGGACTGATGGAAAATGGCTGACAAGACTCACTTCCGGGTTTGGAGGTTACGACTTCGATTTTTCACGGATTTTCGCTTTGTTCCTTTTTATCTCGTCGCCAATTTATGTTGTGTCTTTACACGAGGTGTGACCGGACCATTGACTATACACAATTCGTTAATTAGTCTTTATTGAACACAACATAACAAGAGACATTGAACGACCTTTTTGTGACACTTTTCTCTAAACTCTATAGTACCAACTTAACTTACTAAACTTAACCCAATACATAACACTGGTGTGTATGATGTCTTAACGTTATGGCATTAGAAGCATTGGCAACACCATTGCTTTATATTGAACCTCATCTTGGGCCATTTCCCATGTAAGCAAAAATTCCAAAGGTGACTCGACAGCAACTCATTTTTGATCGCGTAGTACCTGTACCGCACATTTTTATGGTGGCCAGCCTTGCGCAGGGCAATCTACAGGAGGCAGGTAGGTAAGATACAGACTCGCCTGTCTGGCAGTCACCGTGGAGCCATTAAAATCACACCAACTTTGGCCATGGAGCCTTTACCCTTAGATATGTGAAGGCAGAGGCTCAGAAGCGTAATTACTACCTGTACTATTGCACAGATCCCGCTTACTCTCTACCGCGATACAGATTGGAGCAAGCAATACACGGTCTCCATTCTTTCCAAGTATACTACGGCGCAGCACAAAGCGTTACACTTATTACGCCATCCCATGAAGCATCAAGCTCCACCGCACGCAGTTCACATCCTAACAGATGATTACTCACTTATTCACTGCTAACATACAAAAAAAAGTACCATCCACGAAATCCTTTATAATTTTGTATTTTATATGTAGGCACCTCGAGGAAATTAATAGGTACCTTATTAAAAATTGTCATAGATCGTAATGTGACAAATAAAATTAGTGCCATAAAATTTTTCGTATCTCGTCAAATAAAAGAGATATTGAGGTGAACCTCTTATCTCAAACGCACTGTGTATCAGGCAGAGATGTTAGCCATCATGACCTGTGCACAAGAGAACATCCATAGAGGTTACCGTAATAAGCATATTGCATATGCAGTAAGTCAGGTGGCGCCAAGGACCCTGTCACCAGACAGGTTTCGATCGGCTATGGCGCTTGATTGCAAGCGACCTCTAGATAGATTAGGTGAATCTAATAGGGAAGCTTGATCTGGGTGCCAGCGCAGGAATAGGAGGCGACAAAATGGGGGATGAGCTGGCTTGCAAAGGCAATTGTGGGATCTTCCTCAGGACCAAACCTATCCTACAAATTACTCCCTCCATTGTCAGGGTCAATGAGAACAAGCAACCAGACTCAGACAGACCAGGGCCTTTTCAACAAGGCCCCTTGGCAAATCTGGGTCTTATAAGTTTCTGAAACTGAAAAGAAACCAGATTAGAAAGATCAAGTTTCCTCACGGGGCACTGGATAGTCAACTATCACCTGCATAACATTAGACTTGTAGGAGAGCCCATGTGCAGGTTCTATGGAGGCAGATGCAACTACCAAGCATATGGCCCGTCACTGTGACGCCTTGATCAGAGACAGACATGAACTCCTTAAAGACAGGTATCTGGAACAGGGAAGAGTGAAGCAACTTACGCTAAGCAAGTTCCTCCTCTATATTCCGAGAGACGAACTCTTAACCTTATTGCAAAAGAAAGGGGATAGGCACAATCAGCCTTTGGTGTACCTCAGTGCTGCCTGGTCTGGCTTCCCATATGAAATAGAAGGATTTTGAAAGGAATACTTACTTTGAACGCTAATATAAGGGAGTATGGGAAGTATTCATAAGGCAAATACATTCCATAGACAAGTGTTCTGGAGGAATATTCCAAATGCGAATATATTGGAACCCCATTTTCTCATCCATTGATTACATCACGTGCATTATGTTTGCTATTACTACACTGATCATAGAGCAGCATTGCAGAAGTTTAAAGGCGGCAATAAGCAAGTGAGAAACTACAGAAAAAAATTAAATGTGCTTACAGTATATTTGACAAACACTAATCTTACAAAATACTTGGTATAAAAGATACACAATCTCCAATTGTGGGTTTGGTAATATGACTAAGAAGTTTAGCTACTATAGGAAACAAATTAATTGTATAAAAATATAAAGTATGTACATTTTGGAAGATACATTATACGTTGTGTTTTGTACGAATAAGTTAAACATGAATACTTCACTCTCAAAAGTAACACTTTATAATTGTACAATTTGACTAAAAATCTCATTTTCAATTAATACTTTTTTTGCACAGAATTTGCCATCATAAGAAAACCAGCACAAAGCTCATTCAATAAATTGTGTGCCTAACAAATAAATCGAACTGCTTGATATTATTTGCGATAGCCACAGCAAAGATTTGCGTTGTTAGGTTGGTATATCAATATTTTTTTAAATTAAGAAAATATACATACAGCCATGTAGCTCAAACACATTACACATTGCTATCACGTTACGTAACCTTAAAGCAGCAAGCAAAACTACCACTATACAAAATATGAAAAAACAAACCCTTACAGAGAATATTTTAAATTACGACAAAAAATGGAAGTCAACATAAATAATCCTTATCAAGCTAACACTTATATCATAATAAATATATGTACAAAAAAATACTGACACTGGCCATTAATGTGATGGATAATTGTAATCTTCTATGGAATGTTAAAATAATCACTAAATTGTCATAATTCATGGTGCGAAGAGTATGAATTTCTAATTTCTTAGGTCTCACGAATTAGTATGCCATACACTCCAGTCAAGACATGTAATACTTTTTGGTAATATGGAAACAGTGTGGGCCACTGAATTAAAAATTGGAACACTATGTTTAATCCTTACAAATTGGATAGAAAATTGTGAATTCGACAACAGTAGTGTTTGGAGTATTCACAGAACAAGGAATTTTGTTTAAAAACTGTACTGACTAGAATTATATTAAGGAAATCAAAGCCCCTATGGCACATAATTAATGTTCAGTCATAGCCATATATGAACATCGATTTTTAATGGATTAAAATTGCGTGACCATCTTAGCACGTAGTGTAAAGAGAGAGCTGTATTTACGTAATGTAAAGGTTCAAAGACATTGTAGATATAGATACAGGAATAAACCCACTCATTTAAATTGTTATTATTCTTTTTTGTAGGAAATTTATTCCTCGACAATTTCTCCTCCATACATTTTTTCGAATCTGTTATGGGTTACCCTGCGTTGTGAAATAAATGTGGGTGATCGTGATTTTGGTAAGTTAACTTCATAAGACTCCACTAGTGTAAGTTGTTCCCGTCTTTCTTGCATGACATCGATTATCAACTGGATTCACTCTGTGCTTAAACTAAATATAGGGAGTTCACACATCTCTAATTATTTTATGCCGTGAATATTGTGAAAAAAATATGTTTGACAATGGGTGGAAAGATCAGGGAAAATTAAATGGGTAATGTTTAGGTTGGGATCAATGATGTACCTTACGGCTAACCCAATCCCTATCGTGTTCCACCTAAGTAATCTAATCAACAAAATATTTAAATTAGGTGAATGGCATACTGACAAGTAGGACAATACCAAGATTTGAAAACCGACTAAGTATTGTCATATTCACACATTATTTCCACAATGAAATCAATAAGTTAGAACTGGCGTTAAACGTAGGAACCGTTAAATAAGAGAGGACTGAAGTAAATCGTTAAACTGACTGTTGGATGATTGAGGTGACTGTGGCATAACAGTTTGGAAATTAGGTAGTTGCATATGAACGAAAGGTCCCAGTAAACCAGAATTGCTTGAGCCTAGAAAAAAAGATCAGATCATTGATTTTGTAAGTACAGACAACATACCATTTAATAAGTCCAACTGATGTGGTAACATAAAACGTTCTTCAAATGTAGTTGGCAAGTTGATTAATCCCTGCTGTAAGAAAAGCTCATCAGTTTTGCTCAAGGTGGCCAGATCTATCATAAGAGGATCAGTTGCATCTAATGACTGCGACAGTTCGCTAGGTGGTGAAGTATAGGGAATCGGTATTTCTTTGGAAGTATTCGATGGGAGATATTCTCCAGTCTTATGGTCAACTTTATGTCTTCTGCGGGTATGTTTCAACCAATTGGGGTAATTAGTAAAAGTGCGGTCACAATATTTACAAGCGTATGGGCGTTCACCGGTGTGTACGTTGTGATGTTGCTGCAACATTGATGTTTACAGAGGTTGTCAAAAATGGTAAACCTACCTTTAATTTAGTGCTACTAAGAAAACCTTTATTACAGTAGGTACACACAAATGGTCGAGCTGCCGCATGGACTAAGCTATGAACTTTCAAACACCTTTCAGTCTTATACATCTTTTGGCATACGTCACACTTAAATGGCCTTACATTGCTATGAAAACTGTAGTGACGAGCTAAATGTGACTTTTCCGCAAATCTAAAAGATCAAACAATTCAGAATCGAATTCAGAACATAATTTCATAAGAATGATTAATAATAATTTTGTGATCAAAGGATTTTTTCTAACAATGTTAATTGCTATATTCTGCGCCGTCTATACTTGGGTATAAATGACGCATCAATGTACATCGTAATAATAACCCTATTGTTTACTGCATCTCTACAGTTGTACACATTAAAAGTTCTTAGAAAAAGATGACAACTCGCGACTTAAGTCTATTGTACATTCATATTCCCAATCTAAAACGTATTTAAGGTAATTTAACAATTAAAATAGGTAGTGGTAGAGACATCTACCGGTGCACATTATAACAAAACACTGATTAACAGCCGACTGACGTCTTCCTCTTCGGCCTTCCGCCCCCTAGTTTATCAGCTTTGCTTGTTTATAGTTGAAAACCACTTGAAACTTGATAAAATCTCAACCACTGAGCCGATTTCGATGAAACAAGCACTAAACATTGCAAATTTTTGCGCGCCCGGAGACACTAGACGATACATTTTTAAACATATACCAGCACACAACACACCAAAATCAGTCAGAGCTCGCTCAAAACATGTCCGCTCTGTTAGAAAAAAGATGAAGAATCCAAAATTTGAAATAGTTCACAAAATTAATAATCAAAACAAACGTTGAATGTCCGGATATTGCCCTTGGACTCAGTACCTATACTATACATACAGGCTGGTTCACGCAAACCGTTACCTAAAATATTCAGACTTCCATTAATAATTTAAATCTGAAAATTTGCATATCAACATAGTTTTTCATGATCTATCAAAAAAAAATATTACCATAATCGTTTCACTTCCGGTTTTACCGGATGTGGATAGCAAATTGTGTTATTTTAAATAGAACACCATGCATTTTATCGTATTTTCGAAATCTTCATAAAAATCTACATTGGTTGATACCACATTTCTCTATGCCCAGCATCAAAAGTTTTTAAGTTATTCAAGATTTGTTACGTTTGACGGCTTTTCTGTCTGTATCTATGACTCCGTTGAATTGAATTTCAAAAAGTCTTCCAAAATCAACAATACCTACTGATGCTACATGGGAATGATTTAAATTATTATTAAAATTTTTTTGCACGTTCAAATGTCGGAAAAAATTCTACATCAATCAACTGTAAGATTATGACCGTTATGTACAATTTCCTTAGGAGGCCTTGAAATAAACGCGCTAGTAATGTCATTGTACCATCCTTGGGAACATTACCTAGGCAAAACTACGGGTTTCAACTTGACGGAGCGCCAGCTCATTCTACCCACGATGCTTATGTCTTTGAACATTTCTGAAGCCAAGTGGATTAATCCTACAGATCCACGGTATTGGTCTTCTGGATCTCCAGATATAACGTCAGTGGACTTTTATGTGTGGGGTCTTATGAAAAACAAAGTTTCTGTTATACAAATTGTTTCTCGAAATTAGGGTGAGAAGAGCTTTTGATAAAATGGAGTAGGAATTCGAGAAGCGACTACCATGCTATCATGTATTGAAAAAACGGCTAGCACATAGAACAAAACCTCAATTGATGTTTATTCTGTTGATTTTGGAAGACTTTTTGAAATTCAATGGAGCCGTAGGTACAGGGTGCTAAAAAAAAGCAATCAAACGTCAAAAATTTTGAAAAATCTTGAAAAACTAGAAACCTCTGATGCTGGGTATAGGAAATGTGGTATCAAACAACGGTAGATTTTCATGTAGATTTTGAAAATACAATAAAATATAAGGTGTTCTATTTAAAATAAGAAAGCTCCTATCCTATATTTTATTATAGGTACATATTTATCTCAGAAAATTCATGAATGTTACAAATCCACTGGCTAAAAAACTGAAGTTTACATAATACATATAACAATTCACCCATTACCCATACAATTTTGGGTGAGCTGATTAAAAACGCTCGTTAAAATGAAAAAAAGAATGTCAGAAAAAATCTGTTTCATGTATTTTATTATACAATCATAGAACATTTAAGGTGAAAAATCTGTTCAATCCTCAGATCGATACAAATCTTCAGCTGCACTACTCCTGAAAAGTATATACTTACGTTTTGCCACACTTATCACAGCGATGTGGTTTATCACCCGTGTGTTGCTTAACATGTTGCTGCATATTCACCTTCTGTGTGAAAGTTTTCCCACAAACATCACACATGAAACGTCTACCTAACCTGTGCACGTTCATATGGGACGTTAATCCTCCTCTAGTATGTAATCTGCATTAAACAATATAGCAACTGCACAATAGAACAAGAAAACAAAACCTACACTTTTCCACATTCAACGCAGGGATAATCTTCTTTAGCTTCTACATTGTGTTTCTTCGAATGTATCCTGAGGCCAGGTTTAGTGACAAAGCTTTTCCCACATATATCACAAGCGAATGGCTTTGCTTTCGTATGTCTTGATAAAATGTGCACGTGAAGCATGCTTTGCAAACTGAAACCTTTGTCACAATCTTGGCATCTGCAAAAGTAGGAACGTAGGAATGAATGGCCGATTTCATTCTAAATACACTTGAATGTTAATTTCAAATTCCAATTCTAGCCGAGAAGGCCACAGAAATATTTCAGACGCTCTAAATAGTCTAATGAGTTGATGAAAAGTAAAGAGAACCGCATAAGACTTTCGAAAGTGTTTAATTTGGCCCAAAATGTACGCTCCAAATATTGTTGAATCTCACCCTTTAAATTTTTAGATGGAATTTCTTACAACATTAGAAAAATGCATAGAAAATTGCAAGAGATTGCAAAATAAAAAAAATTGCTCAAAAATTACCTACAACTTGATAGTAAGTTTGCAGTGTTCTATTTAAAAAGCACATACTTCATAAAACCAAGTCAATTTTGTAACAGACAACATGTTAATCCTGTAACTTACTTATATCGTCCTTCAGTTATATGCCTGTAACAGTGCGACCTAAAAGTAGAATACTTCTCTGCAGATTTGTTACAAAAGGAACAAGTGTACACCGGAGTAATGCCATAGTTATCACGATAATGCCTATCAAATTCCATTTTAAAAGGGAACACTTGCTCGCACATATTACACTTCACTCCCCAATGAGATCTCCATTCCTCTTTCACATTATCAATTATCTCCTCGTCTAACTTTTCACCATCTTAAACAGAGTTAAAAAATATAACACAATCAAAAATACTCAATCGGGTATACTTGTTTCCTCCTGTAAGCCCTTGAAAATATTTTCCTCATCTATATCGCGCAATAAGTCTTCACTTTCTGGCAATTCAATTTCGTTTTCGTTGTCGGACATTAGTAAATCAGTTTTTATATTGAATATATTTTCTGCACTGAGCAAGTTCAGGAAACTACGGTCAGAGGCATCCTGTGAACACTCGGAACTAGTTCCGACTGAACTTCCCTGACTGACTTCTGAATGAACTGCTTTTTGTGGTTGTAATGCTTTACGTCTGTGCTTTCTTGGTATTACACTTTTCAAAGAGATTTCATAGACGCTTGAAGGACTGGAAGGGCTAAGAGGTAATTCAATGTCATTGAAACTTTCGTCGTCACTGTGGAAGTTGTTCTTCATTAAACGATCACAGTCCTCCAAGTTGAAGTCTGATAATTCCTCTTTAATTTCGATTATTTTTTTTAAGTCTTCTTGATCTATTGGCACATCGTTGGTTTGGTCTAAGTGCCTCATTGTGATGAATATTAAAACTGGGCAGCAACACAAATATATGTATCCTAACACTTAATCGTATCAAAAATTATTCATGGTTCATTACATTTCTGGTTAACAAACAAGATAACTGAAAAACGATCACTACTTCGCCAAAAATTTGAGAATTTTAACAAATTTACTTTGAATTAATTGTAAACACTGAAAGAAGCCATTTTTCCCAATCCCTACCATCTACCTATACGCTTGCCACAGCCACACATTCGAATGTGTCTAAACTGCAATTCCCAGTTGCATTTGTCGTAAAATGTACAGGGTGGCGTATCTAAAACATTTGTTAAAAAATAGGTATAAAACTGGCCGGTTGCAGGAAAGCGAATTATAATCAAAATCCTACATTATTTGCCAAATCTGAGTTTAAGCAAGAATTTTGACATTTGATTCGTTGCCTACTGCAATATACCTTAAGCCAATCAAATATCTTAATACCGGATTAAACAATAATCCTGGATTATTTTTTTTGTGCAACTGGCCTTATGGTCCCTTTCGACAAGCTCTGAGTTATCCAGATGTAGCCGTCGCGTCGTCGTTTCCAGTTTTAGCGTATTTTTCATCAAAGTTGGGTGCACTATTGCCGTCACTTTCTCGGTCCGTCCGTTTGTCCGTCTGTCCCTCCGTCCGTCTATCCGAGGCCTTAACTACTTCTACAGTTTTCAAGATATTTAATTCGTTCTTTTTACATTCGGGAGAGTAGGTATAACTCTGGCACTCGAGCCAAGGAAAATCTTGACGATTAAACTGCGCATGTGCAGACTGCGCAATGTCAACTTTCTTATTTATGATTTTATGGAGATATTTCTTTGAAACTTTAACCATATATGCCTCTAGTAAAGAGAAACATAGCGCACATGCATAGCTATAACCTTTTGGGGAGTACTGATCAATTTATGGAAAATGCGCTGAAGTTGCTCGCCTTAGCTAGGGCCTTTTTACTTGTTTGTTTTCATATTACAGTAGGCCTATAAAGGCTCTCCATCCCCAAAATAGACAAAAATCCAGTCTATAGTCTGGAAAATTAGAGCACAGTAGCGTTGCTTTTTAAAGCGCAAAAAATGATTCCGCATCATACTAACAAAAATTATATTTGTCCTAACTTCATAACTTCAAATTTCTTATAAATCCTTCTTTCTTAACATAAGTATTAGGAAACCTTAGTGTAATTCCATGTTTTCATTTTTCATTAACTTTAAGAAAATTTTGATGGGAGTGATTTAACAATATTCATTAGGTACTTTTGTATGATTCGTACGTGGGTCCTAGATTAAAACATTCTTCCTTCGATTTCTTGGAAATCGTCATCATCCATTACCCCGAAACTCGCATGCACTTTGGTGTGTTCTAAAATATAATAGAATTACACAATCATATGATATGAGTAAGCATAAGCACTTCTTAAGCAGATGAGATATTATTGAGTCAGTGGCAATAGTTTTATAAGTGTCGGAAATGGGATAATTCATCAACGTAGGTACCACATAGTGTTTACTGAGATTTCATTGGTAGCTTTGGTATTATTATTGAAGATAGAGACTAGGATGTACAACTTAACATGCTGATAAAAATTCCGTACAACAATTCTGGATCAACAAAGCAGTACCTAAACGTTTACTTTATTAACCATGTATTTTTATGGCAACGATTTTGAGTGTCACAAAAGAGTGACAAAGTATATAGGTCGATATTGGAAAACATTAAAAACATGGTGTTCAGACTTCGGACCCATAATATCTATCACCGGAAGAAGTTCACTTATATAGTATTTACTCCGTTCGCAAATAAATTCTTGAGCATGCCCGCAATCTGCTCCGTAGAACATAGGACGATTATGATTCTCTCTATCCATATTTAGACAAGGATATTTTAAGTCAAATTCGGTATCATACCATGGAGGATACCAGTCTATACCTTCAGATTGTTTCTTTATAATCTCATTGTCTTCTACCCATTCAAAATTTGTTCCATCTTCGTTTAGTCGCCCACCAATCCACACATGGTAGATCTCTTTGTTTAAAACAAACGTCAGTATTTCTGCTAAATGTTTAATAAATTCATACCATAATCCATTTCCCCCATCATATGTACTAAAGCATGTATTACTTCTAGCGTGACCTTCACTAAGGTGGTGTTATGCGCAAGACATGTTTCGTATGCTTCGTCCCAACTTTGCTTTATATAATATATCGTATATTCCACATTGTTAAATGTGTGATATACTTTTTCCGGAGTTTGTACAATTTCTGAAAACATTGTGATAAATCATAAGCAATTAGGGGAAATATATTTCAAATTTGTGAGGTAGTTAAAAAAAAAGGTCATATAGTATGTCCCCAAAGGCCAGGTGAGGTTTACTATAATACCTATAATCGACCATCATTTTTCAAGAAACAGTCATTCGTTATAAAAAATCCTGCTTGTTCCAAAACTTTAAATGTAGCATGAAAAGAACGGTAGATTAGGTATAAGGAATCTCATGCCGAGGCCCGAGACATACTGTATATGCACTATTTAAACATTTACAAATGCCAATCGTGAATGGTTCATATATGGTGCTAATATAAATATTACAGTAGGTACTTTTCGAACAAATATAACTCATGCGCCGGCTGCAGCGTGTTTCCACAAACACTGCTTCATTTGCAAGATGCCTATCTAATACCAAACACCCTCCCCTCTGCCGTGTCTGATTCAAGAACCAAGGAGGAAAGTGGGTAACGCTATCCTTGTGGTCTGGAATTATTACATCGTCTGATATAAATCTCCAGCCACTTTCCGTGTATCGTCCACCTATCCATGCATTTTCCAAACCTAGAGCGTTAAATTAATAAAAATGCTGTGAAAATCTTAAACCTACTTGGTCGACCAATTAGTAAATATTTGCCCAAAATTCCGGTTTCGTTCGTATTACGAAAGGTAGCTAACTCCCCATTGTAATATTTTTGACACGCTCTTACAGCTTGTGACCATGATTTCTGGAACTCAATTATTATAAGAGTTTGATCAACTTTACATCTACCCTATCATAAAAAATTCCATATTTGTAATCGTTAACTATAATCCATTCCGCGGTAGTCATAGATCCATCGTACTTATTCTCAAATGCTAAAAATAGACTGTGAATAGCGGTGATTAATGGTATTGTTCTTACGCCTTTCACAAATCAATGCTCGTTTGAGCTTACAATCAAGGTTAAAGTACAAGCCATCATTGTGATTTCTACGAGAAAAGCAAAGACACTCCCGCCCCTGAGGCCTTATGTAATCGGTACCACGTAATATGAAGCAATTATTATCTACGAACTGTTCTCCGTTATCAATCCAAAAAAAATGTTCGGCATTCTTTCGACGTTCTGCTCCAATCCAGTAAGTATCTGCGTTTGGTGCGGTTTCCTCTAAACATCTGGCCAAAAAGGTTCTAACTTCCAGATCGCGAATGATAGCCAAAGATCCGTTCTCGAAGGTTTGACAAATAATTAGAGCTTCGTCCCAATTGACACGATACTCTAAGATAAGGTACTCTTTGTTGAGATAGACAAAGCTTAATTCTTTTGTATCTTCCCAATCGAATTCCATGCAGTCTAAAAATATTTGGAAAAAAGAACAGCACTTACTTAAGATGTGACGTACTAGTTAACAACGAATAAATTAGTACCAAACAAAAATATGTTCCAATACTTTGCACTTTGTTCATATTTATTTACTATTTTTGAGCAATTCAGTGCACTAGTAAATTAGGTGTGTTTGAGTAGTAGCATAAGATGTGTACCGCAATGGTCTGGAACTTGGGTGTTAATAATATACTTGCTGCTTTGGTAGTTACAATAAAAGTTCATTTAAACATAGCAATTGCGTATTGGTTCAAATAATCATACAACTAGAGTTCGAAATAACTTGACAGCATAATTTTACTGAGTCCTGATATCCGCATAGCTTTCAATTCTACACTAAATTTCGCACCTAAAAACATACTATTCTACGAGCACGGTTTGCTTTGCTGCGTTCAAAATTATTAGGCCTCGTGTAAATGGCTGAACTATAAACATTCTGGAACGGATGCAATATATAAAAAAGAAGAGCAGAAAAAACATCATGCCATGAACAATATAGCTGTATTTAGTGATGCCGCCGATACGAGACCAAGTCTCGTCTCGTCTCGTCTCGTCTCGAATTTTCGAACCATCAGTATCAGTTTGGTCTCGAAGTTTTTTTTTGTATTTATTAAGGATCCTCAGATCCTTTATAGTTTTGTATTGTCGTCCGTCCGTCCGTCCGTCCGTCCGTCCGTCCGTGTGCGCTCTAACTCTTTTTAAAAGTGACCGATTGTGTTGAAATTTGGTGTACGGGTACGTTGGACATTAAGGACGGACGCTATTGATTTTCAGGAAGCTGGTTCAACAGGAACAAAAGTTATAGGACTTCGAGTGAATCGGGAACAGGAAAAACTGCGTACTCAATATAATAGAAATCAACATATTTCATTCCCTAGGTCATGTATCGAGTTCGGACTTTCGCTAGATTATTCCCTATGACTCTTAGAAGTGTAACAATTCAATATAACTCTCTCTGTGGTCTAGGTCAAAAGTTTTAGAGCAAAATGTACCCAAAATTATTCTTTACACATGAATTTAGAGTTGTAAAAGCTTTCAAACGCATTATCTTGATGCTGAAAGAGTTGATAACGTGCACGTTTGATAACCGCATGTGTGTGATTAAAAAATGTTAAATTATTTTTCTGAGGCCACATGGATTTTGATCAAAATATGTCAAAATCGTTATTTATGCACCAAGATCGTTGGGAAAAAAACCAAGACTCAATGCCCCAGACATGAATTTGATGCATTTTTGTTAACTATAAAATGTATTTTGTAAGATTAAAATAAATTGTCGTTAAAAGTGATTGTAATACTGAGGATCCTTCGATATTTCGTTGTATCGGTTTATTTGTACTCCTTTTTTTTAAATTTTAATCAAGGAAAGGTAGCACGAATTCCAATTGTTTACATAAACCGTTCCTGACCTTACTGATTTAGGACTTAATTACCATAGCTCTTATACTGTAACTGTACTTTCTCTTAAATCCACTTAGACAGCTTTATTTTATTTTATTGGCGGACAATTGATTCATTAAACCTGTACCCTCATCAATAGCTGTATACCTGACTGAAATAATGGTATTTGTCTATGCGGGAAAAACAAGATTTGATTATAATATTTAATAGGATCTCCTTTACATTAAAAGCCCTTAATGCTCTCATTGTATTTTCACAAGTTTATGGCATTAAATCCAATCGTTTCTAGGTATAGGTATCTACAGTGACTAAATTTAGAACAGTGGATACAACCGGGTATCTCGTTTTTGAATGGTAGTTCGTTCTGGTCGCCAAAAATTGGAAAAGGCTTTGGTGCACCCCCTGGAGTTTGATGCTGCAAAGAAAACGTCTCATGGTAACACTCGCGTGTGCACCATTTCTTCAGAAGAAAAAAACGAAAATTGGGAAGAAATAATGAAAATATTACTGGAGTAACAACGGATAAAACGACGGGGACTGCAATGCTAGGCCTGTGGTAAAAAGGGCGTATTAGAAGAAATTGCCCGACAGTAACAACGACCAATAATCAGGAAAACTAGAACGGATCGATGGGACGAGCATCGACCTACCTAAATTATGCCCCGGAGCTAGACATATAAGTAGCACACTTAAGAGCCAACCTAATAGTTTATACATAGATGGTACTGCATTCGGGAAAATGTGTACGATGTTGTTAGATACGGGTGCAACGAAACCATCATAAGATCTTACCTAGTCCGAACGAAAAAATTGCAACTGAGGCTGAAAACGACAACTGGTGAGCAAATTCGTGTGCTGGAAGAGCTGACTGTCGATATTGGTATTGGATTCAACAAAGGTACGCATCAATTAAGTGCTGGTAGTAGACATCGTCGATGAGTTGATTTTGGGAATGGACCAGAAGAATGGAGTGCTTCCACTGGCCTATGAACAAGTTCCTATGCACAGATAATAAAACGGGGTGCGACACGTTATGCTTGTGGAACCTGCCGGAGTGTTACAACAAAGTTGTGATGGTTCGCATGGATGGATGTCTCCGAAAAATCTGCTTGGGCGTGACGGAACCCAATTATACCAACAAGGTACTAGTAAATGCTGAACAACTAACGCCTGTCCGGCTGATATTCCCGACCAAGTTAAGGAAGGGCACTGAGACTGGTACGTGTACCGCAGTATAGCTGCAGTAGCGCGTTGTGTGAATACAGCCAAGGGTGACGACACTTTGGAGTGCCCAAAAAGACTTCAAGCAATAATCACAACCTCCTGCAAGAATTTAACAACAAGCCAAAAGGACCACACTAAAACGTTAATTTGTCGCTACCAATATGTGTTTGCTAAAATAAATACGAGAGATATCCAACCTATTAAGCAACATTCGACAAGACTCCCATGGGTTTAGTTAAACGAGATGAAGCTGAAAAGATCTAGAGCAACATGGCTAGTCAAATGAGCCATCCATTGAAAATGAGGTTTAACTCCACCAATTTCAATGATTTAAATAAGAACCTTTTTTTGAGACATTGCCACAAATCCTTCTCTGATCAAACTCTGCTCTCGGATATCCCTGTTTCGATTCTCCGCTACTTACAAGGTTCTTAGTATTAATCTAGTATCTGTTAACAGTGCTGATATACAAATTGAATAGAAACATTTTGCAATTTGCGCATCGCAGCGATTTTTTCTAGTTAAAACTTTGAATGCATGCGACTATCGCAGCACATAGAACATTTACTATTTTTCTTGTAACAAAACCTGAAATATACTTAGTACCAGTAAGTACTTAGTTATGTCTATACCTAATAGGCAAATAGGTATTGCCGTTGTCTTGCTGGTAAAGGATGTCGAATAATAGTTCTACGTTATTTTAAGTGAATGGGAAAGTCGAAAACGCTCGGTATTGCATTATTCTTTAACACCTTCGTAGGTACCTTTCTAAAATCGGCTTCATTCCCCGCAAATGCACTATGGTGGGAGTAAATTTTTCTCTTCGAATGGCTCTGATCCATTGGCCCTTTAAACTTTTATCCGTTGAAAATCAGCATATTATTTAAAAATTTATCGACAGAGTACATGTTGATAAGGCACAAGTTAACCTAAGTTTATTGGATTATTCTCAGCAGAAATTTATCTGTTCACTAATTCGAGCTAATTACGAGAATGATTAATGAAGGGAACATCTAAAATAACAGCTTATTTCATTATATTGCATATCATCTCAGCGATTTTTGCCCCGCGGTGCATTGTGTGTTGCATACTGTGTCGACAACACCTTAGATACGTTAAGCGCAGTCTATAATAGCATTGAATAATGTTTTTATTCAATGATAATAGTTATAGCAAGTCTCTGAATTGTATGGATTACAATACAACAGAGAATAATTAATAATAATTCAATACAAGTTGACTGTGCCATTGGTTTGCATCAAATTGGTGCAACGAATTGATTTTTAGTCGCAGTACACAAAAATGGATCTTGAGAGAGATCGAGATGGATAGATGGTTCTAGAATTAGGCGTTGATCAGTTTCTTTAGTCAAATACAAATATCGCTTGGCACAAAATATTGTAAAAGAACTACTTTGATTATAATTGATCTTCAAGGATCTGAAATTCCCGAGTTTATATCAGAAGGTCCTAGTTTAAACCACAATTTTCTGAAATTAAAGTCAGAATCTCCTGAGAGCGTGTTTTCGTGTCATAATTTACCATGGCGAACTTTTCGCTGGTTGAATTTAATGAATATAATTTAATAATTGGCCAAACGGACAACAATGGATCACGATTCAAAAGCTAAAAGCTATCCATTTATGTATGGTTTGTAGGCCGACACTAACATGCTAAGTTAGTGTTTAATCCGCCAAAATCCAATAAAATTACCATCTCTCTATTCGGATCTATTAATATTAATTTCTGCACCATTCATTGGTGTTGAATGTTGATTGCTAAAATTCACGTAGGAAGAATCAGTACGGAAACGCATGATTGCGCAAAAAGGTACCGCCAAATTAACCCATGATTTGGAATAACCTTCTAGAAAACTCCCACGGTTAATTTGGCATTCACCCTCGAGAAAGTTCACTCTCCTGGCAGCTGGCCCCTCATAAGTTAGTTGTAAGTAGTTGAAGTTCAAGCAACTATTTTCGAATGCGAGTTCTTTTCGGAGCGAGAAGGAATACCTTGATAGGAAAAAGTCAAAACGAAGGCGAACCTTCTTTAGGACGAATTCTTCCTTAGAGGCGAATTTTCTTGGGAGAGCATATATTTCGGAGCTTCAAAACGTAACTGCATTTCCGAAATACCAAGAACTTGTTTTATATGTAGTCCAAGCACTGTTCTTGCAAGCACTCAAAGTAATAGAAGTAATTGAAAAGTTCTTTTAGTGCAAGCACTACTTTACTAAGTGCGGTCAAAATCTGATATCTAATCTCAAATCAGTTTGTGGATCGGTACCTATACGATATGCTACTAACATTTTGGTAACTATTTCACCATAACGCTACATCCACAAATTACACAGCGCATTTCAGTCAAAGAAAGCCACCCTTTATATAGTAATTCATTTTTTGATATTGAGACTGTAAAGAAATCGTGAAACAGGTCAACTTTAGTTTTGAGGAGGGCTCATTTTACGTAAAAATGGGGCTCACTTTTGTCAAATTTCTTCATTAATCTAGACCCGAAGCCATGGTTTACGAGCCATTCAGATTTGATGCAATCATTTGCTGATGACCAGCTAATTGAAAACATGTGAATACACAGTACGAAAAGTTCAGATCGTCTTCAACATTTTAACATGAGTAGGTAAACGTATCGAAACTACTAAACACTTACCATCAGCTGACGATAATCGAAATTTCATTAAAATACACCTGTAACGGTAATACCCTTTTCCAAACTTTCTTTAGGAATTTAACAAATCACAACGCACTATGTATTAAAAATTATGCTGTCGAAAATAAGATACTGAATGCATATTTGCCATTTTATTGCTACGATTTTTGCGCAATATATGGATACCTACTGAAGTGAACAATACGGAACTACTACGCTAAAATGAACTTTTACAGTAACAACATCACGTCGCTGTTGAGTATAAGTAATACCTTCTCTTGATTTTATTTATAAACACAATTGTTAAAGGCTTAAAAAGTTTGCAAAACAAGTGACTGCACCATTTGGGGAACAGGTACCATGTTGTACCACTTACAGCCGCATTAATTAATGGCGTAGGTTTGCAGTTGCGCGAAATAACAAAATAATTCGGGTCCATTTAAAGTACGAGCGAAATGGACAATAGTGGAACACATTTCTGTTTGGCATTTTTGTATTTAACGATGTATATTAGTAAGTCATTTAAAAGTAAGCTTTATTCTTTGTTATATAGACATTTCTAGACTGTATGGAAGATGGACACGAACCGAGCTTTGTCTATCTCAAGAAAGAATACATTCTATTAAACTACCGTGTCAATTGGGACGAAGCGCAAGTTATTTGCGAAACCTACGAAAATGGGTCCCTCGCTATCACTCGCAATCCAGCAATTAGGATCTTTTTAGCCAAATGTATAGAAGAATCAGCACCACATGCGGATAGTTACTGGATTGGAGCTGAACGTCCAAAAAACAGTAAAATTTTCCATTGGATCGATGACGGAGAGGAGTTTAAAGATACGTATTACTTTGTACTACATAGTGTGGATTACGTACAACCTGATGCTCGGGAGTGTCTCTGTTTTTCCCGTGAAAATCACAATGAGGCTTTATATTTCAACATAGACTGCAGGTTAAGACATGCACTGATTTGTGAAAGACGTAAGTATAGCAAGTGGCCACTGTTAATAATTAACGTTCCGTTTAGCATATGAGAACAAATACGATGGTTCTATGACCACCACCGATTGGATTGTGGTAAATGACCGCAGATACGGAATATTTTATGACCAGGTAAGCTTTAAGAGTCACGTAATTCAAATCAAACAATTTAGCCCTAGAGAACATGGTCAGAAGCCGTAAGAGACTGTCAAAAAAATCATAAGGCGGGATTGGCTTCTTTCCGGAATAAAAACGAAACGAGAATTGTAGGAAAGTATTTATTAATGGGCCGACCAAGTAAATTTCAAAACTTTCTTCCGCAGTTGCTTTTATTTAATTTTACAGGTTTGGAAAACGCATGGATAGGTGGGCGCTATAAGCAAAATGCTTGGAAATTCATATCAAACGACGTAATAATTTCGGACCACACGGATAGTAATACCTTATACCCTCCATGGTACTTAAATCGAACAACACAACGAGGAGGTTGCTTGGTATTAGATAGACACATCGCAAATGAAGCAGTGTTTATTGAAACTAGCTGCAACAGACGCAAAAGTTACATTTGTTCAAAAAGTATTATTGTATTTATATTAACACAGTACATTAAACCCTCCCTAAGTATTTTTCATTTGTAAAATATTCATGATAGAATTATATTCTAAAACTGCCCTTCGTGACAATGTCATTTTTTTAGGTATTTCGGAAACTCCCGACAAACTGTCTCGTTTTATCGACAAAATTGAGTACACCTTATACTATACAAAGCAAACATGGGACGAAGCATTCGAAACATGTCTTTCTCAGAACGGTACGTTAGCCAAAGTTACCCGCGAAGTAATACATTCATTGGTACAAATGATGGGCGAGGAAGATTACGGTATTAACTTGAAAGACATAAATCAACAATACTAATTTTTTTCTTTGTGAACAAGAGGTTTACCATGTGTGGATTGGTGGACGACTGGACGAACGCGGAATGGATTTTAAATGGGTGGAGGACAATGAGATTATAACAAAACAAACTGGTGGTATCGATTACTATCCCCCATGGTATGATGTCGAATTTAATACAAAATATCCTTGCCTCAATATGGACAGAGAGAATCATAACCGGCCTATTTTCTATGGAGTGGATTGCTCACGTGCTCAAGAATTTATTTGTGAACAGAGTAAATACGAGTATTTTACAAGTTATGAATATGGGTCTGCACAAAAACGCTTTCCAGATAATTTAGTTCATTACTTGAATATTTTATATTTCATTTATTTCACAGTTTGGTATGTGTAACCATTAAAGACATGATATTTTTGTGTTGTAAAAACCCACTCTTACAAAATTAGTTGTAGCTTTCATAGTCAACGCGCTATCCTTTCATCTTTAGTTGCTGAAAAAGTGCAGGATAACGTGTATACGTTTTACCGTTGACACCATATCCATGAAAAATTAACGTATAGTGAGGATCAATAGTACTCTACGTACAAAAACTTTTTAGGAGAGTTGTTATGAAGAGCGAAATAAATAAGGTGCATCTATTGATAGATTTTTTTAACTTAAAACTAAAATCATCATGGCCACTATTTGACTAAAAAGTTTTTGCACATATTTTGAGTGTTGTAATACAATATTGTTGTAGAATCTACACGTGGGCACAACCATTTCGGTGATGCAGACATCTTTGATGAAGAAATAGAGGCGAGAATGTTTTAATTAGAAGTTCTACAAATTTTGTAACATTGCGCGTAATAAATGATGCCAAAGATACAATTTTGTGAACGCAATTATAGTTTAAAGGTTGTTAATAAAACGAGACGAATTATTGTTCAGTTTTTGGGAATGCTCGATTGTCGAGAGTGCTTGGGCTGATACCGACGTGTTCGGGCCAGTAGCACCGATTGGCCTAGACAGTGTGAAATCCTTCGTCACTTTTATTGATGACTGAAGTTGTTTCACTGTGACGTTGAAGCCACAGATACTGCATAGAGCCAATGTCGAAGTTTTCGAGTGATTTTGCCCGTAGAAAGCTTACGTGACGGCTTAGGTGGGAAACTAGATATGAAGAAATGTCCATGGGGCAGCCAAAGTGTTTTGAACAGAGCGGCAATCTGGTGCGTCTTCTAGATAAGCGTGAAATGGCCGTTTCTATGACCCCATAGTTGAACAGCTGAGGTTTTCAAGGAGCGCAAATGACGTGCTGATCGGGAAAGAAATGATAATACTTGTGATTCACGTTCACGAAGTGATAATTGCAGGATCCGCGAGTAGTTGAAGTTGTTAAGCGATGTTTAGCAAAAGAGTTTCAGATGACCAACGGCGGGGTTTTCTCAATATATTTGACATGAGCAAATGCAAACCTGGGTACACTGCATTGAAAATGAGACAATGGGCCGAACATATGCGATCGATGCAATTATATAGGGAATTAGATGAAACAGATGTTACAGCAGTTCTAAATGTGTATTCAGCTGCTGACTGAGCAAATAATGCATCTTCAAGGTGTTAAGATGCACTATTCCTTATATAGCAGAAGACGCTGCCGCTGTTGTCTGCGGAGCGAAGTTGAATGCGATGTGTAACCACAGTGCAAGAATAGTACACTATAGTGTAACGTAGCATGTCATCAGATCTGTTTAAAATTTGTCGCATAAAGGATCATGGATTTGATTCGAAAGACCGACTGGCTTTCAAAAAAATAAACGGTCCATTTAAGAGTTCCTGAAGGAGATTGTTTGGGAAGGGTGGATTCGTCTTGCATATCTCCGCTCTGAGAACCTACCAGCCATCTAGCGTTTTGTCCCACATTACTGGACGCTCTTCAATCGAGATCTTTAGGTTAGGTCGATCTCTTGCTTCATTTCACAACGTAGGTACAACACAACTGAACAACTAACTGCAGCAAATTGCATATAAATTCCTACCGAAACAAATTAATACGGACAAGTGTGAACCAGTTCATAAACCTTCAAGTGTTTCTAATAAACACTTCGCTTTTTTTCATCGGTCCTGTGACGGAGGAGTAGAACTAGAAACCCCTCCGTTTGTGCACCGGTACCAGACCAATTTTTTTACGGACGTCGATAAGTGTGAATGCTCAAATATAAGTGTGTTCCTACAGTATCCGGTAATTTCACCCCGTTAGTTTACCCCCCCCCCTCCCCGTTAAAAAAACGGATAATATGGAGGTACTCTTAGGTATTTGTTCAATTCCGCTCTCATGGAAGATGGGTGTGGCAAGTTTGAGGGACCACAAAGAACTCCATGGCGAAAAGAAGATGCATATTTAATTTTTGACAGATAAGTAGGTACCTACTATGATTAAATATAGCATTAAATCGTTGATTGGAACCATTCGACGAAAAGAAACTGCAAAGCGCTCTGTTTTATCAAAACAACCCTTACTTCCACCAAACAAGTAATCTTGCCCTCTGAAAACAAGAAAAATTTGAAATATGTACCTAGATACTTTTGCAAATCGGCTAATTTTGATTGGGGCTGGTTACTGGAAGAATAAGATACCTTCACCCCTTTCGCTTTCTGAATTAAATGGGTACGAAAAAATTGTCCATTGCAATACCCAGGAATTGTAAACCGGCACCAGATTTTACTCTCGAACTCGCAGAATACCTACCCATTAAAACAATTGATCTCTGTTAAGTGCAACACATCAATTCCACCCTAATAAATCCTTGCACGGAATACGATCGAGAATAAACATAAAAGGAACATTTCGCAGTATCTATGCAATATATGCAATAAGATAAATTTTAAATAATCTAAAATGCACTCCTCTGATACAGACTATATTGGGAAACACATAATACATGCACCCAGACGACACATTTAGGACTCATTGTATTGTAAAAAACCTACGTGTTTCGCCTCTCTTTACAGCAATATAGCCTCCGCTTTCTAAATTTACTTTAGCTCATATAATAGGATCTTCAGTAAATAATGAAGCAGAACTTGATATATCAATTTTCAAAGAGAAGCTTAATGGACCTATTGTGATTAAGAGTATATATTCCGCACAAGAAGCTTATATAAAGTTCAGTTACTAGGACGCAACGATGAACATTCTTAAAATTAAGGTAATTTACTACGTTAGTTTTTAGTGTGTACCTTATCATTTTTGTAATTTTCAGAATGTCACACATCCTCTGTTTTTAATTACTGTTTTGTGTTTAATGTGGATTCATTGTCAAAAAATAGAGTTTCCCGAATGGGACACAAAACGAGATGTACAATATTTTGATACGTTTATGGAGAAGCCACTGTGCGCTATTAACTCAGTTAATACCTGCGAGGATGAACGAAATGTAGCTTTTTTTAATTGGTTATTCAAAAATCGCAAAGAAAACAGTATGACCACACAACCTTTCTCCACAGTATGTATACTTTCGCTTCAATATTATGGTATCTTTCTTATGTGTATATATTGTGTTGCTTTGTTTTAACAATGTCGTACTGTAAATTTGATTTTAGAACAAATTCAGCAAATCTATCCGAACAGTTCCATTATTCCAAAAAAAGGGTCTTTCTTGTGCATGTAAAGGAGAGCCGGAGATGAAATACCTTGGAATAATGTATTTCCCTAGGTAAGACTACATTGTCGCAAGAGTAATATTTTATTAGGTAACTTACAGACAACTACCAACGATAAAATGTAAACCAAGCAGTTGCCTAGGCGGTCCTTATCAATGCCGCCCTAAGGAATATAAGGTGCACGTATTGAAACAAAAGCAAGCTGAAGATTTAGATGTTTCCGACGCAACTTGTTCGTCTACTCCACACAGTGTGAGAGATTTCTTCATTCCAGAGGAGATTACAATAACAGTTGCTTGTGAATGCGCACCGTAAGATTAATATAACCTGCATCGTTATCTACAAAAAATTAAAGAATTATAGCTACAGCAGATATATAATATACATATATATACGTAGATACTAAATAATTATTTTTATGTCTTACTAACCTATCATAGCACATTTTATATCTGTGATACGCGGGCATAAAGTACCACTTTATGCCCTAGGGCATTAAGTATCACCATAGTAACTCATTTATACATAATGACAAAACAAACAAATATTTGCAAGTCATTGAAAATTAGAAACGTCAATTATTAATTGTCAATACCTACTAAATCACGTGATTGGCCTTATTTCGTATAGTTTCTGGAACTTCTTGCTCATTCACGATGAATTGAATTATTTAAAATTACGTTTGACGTTTGGATGGTTTCAATCACATCAACAAATTCGAACCACGCATACTCGATCAAACATAATGAATTATTTTGTAAACGAATTTTGACGAAGAAAACTATTTGTAAAACATAAAATTGTGTATGTACCACGGGCATAAACTGATGTTTATACTCTCGGGCGACTAAAAAGCTCTCGGGCCATAGGCCCTCTAGCTTTTTAACTCGTCACCCTCGAGAATATAAACATCACTATTATGCCCTTAATACATAAATAACTATTGTATCACTTCGCCATATTTAAACATGTACAGCTTCCTATACTTGTTAGCACAAGAATAATAATTTGCAATGGGCTCAGGAGTCAGGGCTGTAATATGTTAGTTGCCCCAACAGAATTTATATAATTTATAATAGTTTACGCACAACTGCATCATATTCGTTTACATCTTAGTTACCACGACCGAAAATTTGACATTACACCCGTCAAAATTTTGCCGGCCCGTGGGCCTGTAAAAGAATTCAAAAGCCCGCATCAATATCTATCATCTTTATTATGAAAATTACTACATTTATTGTAAGTATTGCAACAGTATTGTGTCAATTTGCTAGTTTTCGTTTTTGGTGTTGTTACAACTAAGACAGAACCCCTGCCTTCGTTATCATTTACTGATATATTTGCTTGTTCTTCCCTCCGCAAGGCCCCATAAATACCAAATATTAAACCAACGTAAAATAATGACGTTTATACTTGTCCATAATGTCGAGAATGTTACCTAATAAATACGTATCATCTGGAGTTTCCTTCATAAACTTGATCACGTTTGCTTTAGATAATATCTTAGCTTTTTTGAACTCATGGGCAATGAATTTACTTTTCAAGAATGACACCAGCTTACAATATTTGCTAATATCAACATTTTTCTTGATTAATAACATTTTCTTTATCATGGAGTATTTAGCCCACAAAGAACTGCACTGGTAAGTTTTCGACTATAAATGAACAAAAAAGGATAACGCCTAGGACACAGAATCTAGGATAACAATTAATAAAAAAAAACCATTTTAACATACCTTCTCGCTAAAATACGCTAGTAAAACGGTTTCATTGATAAATGTCACCTTTTTTTCCTTCATCCAGACTTCCCAAGATGAAAACTCCTTTTCATATCGGTCTTAAGATTTGCTTGGGGTTAAACCCAACATAGCTTCATCAGCTTCCACTAATATTTCAGAGGGAATTTGCTCAGCCTTTACTTCCATTCCGAAATTATGAAAATTTTTGTTTTACAATGTTTGTTTTTTTCCTTAGAAACAAGTATCCTAGGGCCCTAGGTGACGAGCGGTGAATTTAAATCACTGTCGTATTTTTTCATCGTTTTTAACCATTTTTAATTCAATTTTGTAGGTTGTGTGCAGTTGTGCGTAAAACGTTGTACATGCCTCGAACCGGATGAAGATTACGAGCTTGGCCTCATAAGGGCCCTCCTTCGTCGGGTCTAAAACTTATACCTCCGGCCCTCTACCTATAATGAACAACAACCAAACGACCCCAATTATATAGGTAATTGGTTGGCACCTACTAGGAGACGTTGGAAAATAGGGCCACGCAATCTTGGCAGAATTAGCAATTTCTCACACACGATCTGCTAGCGTCAATTTTTTTGTGCATACTCGTGGAAATTTTTGTGGTTCGTTCTTGCGCACAACGCGCACGGAGATACGTCACGGATTTTGGTACCAACACCCATAACCGAATCGTTTGGGTTAAAAAAAATAAATTCATTTGAATGAAGTAAACGAAAAGACGAAAAAAAATAGTTAGTCTTGCAACAACACTTATTTATATCATGGTAGCGAGAAGACAAATAATTTCGATTTTTGTATTGCACACCCTAAACACTAACAATGGAGTAAACCAACGGACAAACGGACTAACAATGGAAAATAAACGCTGCCAATTAACGGTAACTTTAAACACTATGATTTTGAGCATTCCACTCCCAAAGGACAACATGCTCAGTGCCAAAAGTCCCAAACGTAGGTACTTACTTTTCAAAATAGGATTCTATTATTGCGATGGCCCACGAGGAAGAACTAATGATCAGTGCAGTCCCTATAAGTATTACAGGAGTTAAAATTTTCAATAGTCTGCCAATTACCATTACAACGGCCAACAACTTCCATACGTTCAAACGTAAACTAAGTCTCTAGACAAGATGTTCTATAACGTTGAAAAACTCTTAAATGATCCTGGTGCTCCTCGGTACATAGCAAATCGTTAATTGTATTTCTGTGCTTGTTTCACTGTTTTATTGTACATTTGTCCTCACATTTGACTTTGTCCTATACATTTTTATGTCGTAACAGGATTAAATAAATATTATTATTATTATGTAATTTAAAAAACACTCTGTATCACCACTTCCCACACGTTTCTGCACATTCAATTAAGGTGAGACAGTTGTTGAAGTTGATGGGGAATCTGACCCAGTGGTTGTAGAAGCAGCTGGAGAGGTAGTTTCTGTTGACGAAGAACTTTCAGACTGTGAACTGCTAGTAGTAGTTGAAGTATTAGCTGGCATGGTAGTAGTTTCTGCATCATCATCATCATCATCAGCATCACAAAATATATCACAAAAGAAATCTCCTAGAAAATCGAAGAGACCATCATCCTCATCATCGTTGCAATCTTTACAAGCGCCCTTAAAAATAAATTATAGTTTAGTAACCAATTTTCTATTATCTAAACACGTTTTATCATATTTAACATAAAAAAAGTATCAAGCATATATTTACCAAGAAACCAAATCCGTGAGATGATGCTAAGCACATCGCAACCAAAAACAAACTTAGTGCGCAAACCATGATCTTAAAGTTACTAAGAGATCCATAACTCCGATTCTTATATATTTGTAACAACTAAAATAATTATGCACATTTCTCTTACAATAATATTAATAGTCACGTTCAAAGTATTAAAATAAAAGAAGTTATAATTTCATGTAGTAAAACTATTATGGCAAGTTATTATTTCACAATGATTCATAAAGCAACCTTGTGCTCCATTTCATAGTTTAAACTCGGAATTTCCCAATGAATAGGTAAATCTTATTGACTATGTCAATTGGCACACATGACCTATTAAAGCGCACCAACAGGAATCAGCAACTGCAACATTTATAATAATATATGTACTAGGTCAAGGTGTGTTCAAAAGGTATCGAACCTTTGATCGGGATACATATATTTATTGATTTGTAGGTCGGAAACTTTAATCCCCTTCAAAGTAGTCTACTTGGTGATGCGCACACTTTTCCCAGCACTTCCGCCATCAACTCCTGTGAGGCTATAACCTTGAAACGTAAAGGTTCGGTGAAAATTTGAAGCAGGGTCGGCCTACCTTCCATTCCGAGGCACACAGATTCTTGGCAGCCCGTAGGATATGGTCTTTGTTCCTCCTGTTTATATGTCCCCAGTATCTCATCTGTCTCATCTTCAGTCTCCTGGTGATCGTCTTTCCCTCTAGTAGTTCCCTTATCTGCTTTCTTGTAAGGTTGCTGTTTTCCATCAGTATCCTGAGTGCCTTCCGCTCCGCCCTCCTCAATGTTCGTCTGTTACTTCTTGTTAGCGCTGAGGTATTACCTCCGTATAAGATTGTCGGTGCTATGATCGTGTTGTAAATCATCATCTTCAAGCTGTCCGGTATTTTCTTCTCTCGTATAAAGTTCCGAATTCCGTGTGTGATTCTGAATGCGTTTTTTAATAGATTTTGGGCTCTAAAATCCATAACATTCGATTTGTTACAATCCGTAAATTACACCAAAAGCTAAGAACAAGGAATGATCAAAAGGGAACTTTCCTCAGATCTCCTAGGGGGCGTCTATATAGAATCAACAAGTGTTGACATAATCTAACATCTGCAGCGAGAATTAAAGAACGATTTTCAATAAAGCAAAGTGTATACCTTTGCCTACAAAATCCTACAGACCCTTCCCCTAAATCAAAGAAGGAAGAAGAAGAAGAATGCGTTTCACCCTGTAAAACATTGCTGTTATCAAAAGGAAGATTGGTCAGACCCTTGCAATTTTTTGATTAATTTCTCAGTATACTCGTAGTTCACTTGGTCTGCAAATTTCTAAATTATTAATGTACAAAAAGGAGATTTTGACAGATTTCTACTTCTCAGTTTTTTCAATGATGCCTGCTGTAAGCTAGATATAATGGTTCTGGTCAAAGTTATCAAAGTGTTATCATTTACACGATCTTTCTTTTTTTGGAACCAATCATCTAATCAGTATGATTACATTATACATAATACACACCTTTGCAACTAATACATAATTGAAAACGATACAATGTATTCACTATCCTGCGACGCATCTGATAATCACAAGACACGCAACCTTAAAATTGATTGGATCAATAAAGTAAGGGTTTGTGAATCTTTGATACAATAATTGTAGAAATATTGGCAATGAGTACCGATACAGAGCATCAATTTACATTAGGCAAAGAATGGAGTAATTTAAAGTTCGTGCAATGGTTGGGAGGATTTTTGGGAACGACACCCCCTTACAATTTTTCTACTCACCAACTTGGTGCAAGATACTACAGAAATTACGCCCTCGTATTATTGTTGCTTGTAGCAGGTGGAGCCGTTTCTACTTTTGTATCAAGAAACAATTACGTCTATCGATACATGAATTTGACAACAATAACCCTCGACGTTCTCTTCCTCACAGTTTCGACCATTCTCAATGAAGTTATCATTTATGGCTCAATACGCAACGCAAAATCGACGAATATTTTCCTAACATCGTTAATTAAAAACGACATGTATCTTCAACAGAAGCACGCACGCAACGAGGGAGAGTTACAACATTGCTTCTGCACAAAATTCACCTTTATTAATTTGTGCTTTACTGCGATTGTAAGTTACGACATTTACTTCTGGTTTACTTCGTTTGGGATGCAAGAGTTGCAGTGTTACATTTTCAAATACGTCCAATTTTACATCTTCATTTGTGAATTATTTCGATTTCGCGAATTTCTTAAACTGTTGACATACAAGCTAAAATTTAGCACGAAATTATTTTTAAACTTAATTGAAGATATGCACAAAATGTCAACGGACGAAGAAGAATATTCAACGACAAACAAATGGATGAGAGTGAGCCAAAAAATTAAACCTCGGGAAGAGGATTTAATGCAGTTAAATCTCTTGTTCAAAATCTATGGCTCACTGTTTCAAAGTGTGGCCTCATTTAATGAGATATTTGAGTATCCATGTTTATTTATATGTTTCTCTGCCATCGTTGAGGTGTTTCAGACCATGAATTTTCTTATTGCTTGTGCGTCAGGTGCACTCAGAAATGACAAGTTGACAGGCTATCAATTCTCCCTTATTCACCTTTTATGGTGTCTTTTGTTACTGGTAAGTGTGTGAGATAATTTATCTATGACAATACTTGCTTTCTTGTAGATACTGAGCATGTCAATGGTAAGCTCGGCCTCAGCGTTCGAAGATGACGTGAAGAGAATTACTAACAAGCTGTATAGACGTATATTAGACATGCCTGTGGAGCAACTGCTACGAGATGAAGCACAAGAAGCACTTACCTTGTTATATCATCAGTTCAAAGATCGAGAATTGCATATTAGTTCTGTTTGGTTCCCTTTAAACTATGGCTACGTTGCTGATATAGTAACTGTAATCACGTCTTGTACGCCAATAGTCATTCAATTCAATAGGGTTGAACAAACATAATCTGCTTTTGAAACAGTTAGATCATGTTTCTTTACCAGTACAGTACATTGCACTTAGGGAATGTACTATTCTAGTACCCACCGTCGCATGGGCATGACCTATATGAATTATTTTCATTACAAAGTGCTAATGTTGTCTGTATTACCTAATTCCCTCGCACTTGTGGTTGTGGCATCTTTTATAAATATTTGTTGCATTTATTTTGTCGTTTCTCATAATATGATCGAGAATTGTTGAAGTAACATCATCCATTCATCCTCAGCTGGGTTATGGGTACCCCGTACCCATCAAATAAAATTATGATGTCGGGTGTCAGAAGGCAGTGCAGGTTAACAATTAAATTTTCTAGTATAATTCCCTAACAGTAATGCATTTATTACAACGCTTGAACAAAAATTCAATACCCCCTAAAAATATTCGTTCAGGTTGTCGTCAATATGTGACCAAACTGCAGCTTTCACCTCTCCTTCGTCACTGAAATGGCGCCCTTTAGGTCATTTTTCAATTACGAGTACTTTAGCAGGTAACTATATGGCTCATATCTGTACTACGAGTTGAAGTGTCGTATTGTGAAAGTTTTGGCTCGCTGCGATTTCTGGATCTAGATCAGGCCGAGAATTTTTGGTGCTACCCTTGTATATCACAGGTTTATACACTATGTCACTATTGACTATCTGTAATGATATGTTTCCTTAAGTGGATAGGTTTGATATTTTCGACACCGCCACCGAAAGTTTCGCCTCCAGTAGAAAACTAGCTCACCAGGAACTAGTTCCAAAGAAGATTCACGTTCAAGAAAACGACTATATGTAGACAATATTTCGAAATATTGACAATATTTTTGACATCACCTTCCTCACTACAGATGGTTTGATGAAGAGTAAATCTCAAAGTCGAAAATATTGAATTGCATGCGTTTGCATCAATATCATTGTCAACACAGTTAAAAGGCAGAGGTGAGTTCTCGTCACGCGCTTCCGCCAGATCTTCAAAGCCACTTCCTATTGTTAGATAACGAAGGGCCAAAACACGTCTTTCTTGAACGGTTATACATGTTCGCATCTATTATTTTGCATAACCAAAGACATTTTCAAGTAATTGGTGTAGTGATGTAGCAACGAGTCACTAAATATAGAAAGTACCGCAATCCATTGGGCTCGTGTGTTAGAGAGAGAACGCATGATTTTTGCCCAAAAATGGCGGAAGTTACCCGATTCTAGTAACTTTAATGTTAGGGATTGTTCTACCTGTTTGGAGATATCTGTATATATTTTTATAAAACATGACAGTACTATGAAGTTAGGTTATAAAAAATTACAGCTATTCAGATTTTATTTGTCAATTTTTTCAAGTTGGCAGCAAATTTGCCCAAAAATGGCGGATGATTGCGGTACTTTCTATATCTAGTGACTTTAGTAGCAACCTTAGGTGTGTACCTACCTAAATACCTTTCAAGTTTTAATAACCATTCCTACGCCCACTTTGCTACGATCAACCCTTTTTTTCAAAATAGAATGCGAGATAATCGCCACACATAGTTTCTTTTTGGTGCTCATTTTTACAAATTTATCGAAAAATATTTTCAGTGATATTGACCATGTATGGTGGTTGGTGAGGTAGAAAAAAAAAGCACATTTCACCTGGTTTGACAATATTATAGAATCCATAACATTGCCAATAGTATTACTTCTATACGGGCCCCTTAAAGGTACATCATTGGCCTCGCCCGATATACATACTGAAGAAAAAGCACCTACTTAATTTTTTTTATTAAGTAGAGCGAGAGATCAAAAACATCCAAAGATCTGAACATCCATCTGGCCCCCTCGCTCTTCGCACGACGACTGAAACACGATTTGACATAACGCTCAAATTTGGTAGGAACTAATGATTTAGGAAAGAAGTGATTAGATTATGGATTTCGATGATCACCCCTCTGGAATAGAGTGAAAGGTTAACAGGATGCTCGCATTGATCATTAAAACTTGGCGTGATTTTATACACAGAGGGATTGTGAAAAAATACATTGATAGTTTTTATTAACGGCGCACTGACGCGCACAACGAGGCTATTAGGATCCATTGTTGCCAAACATTATTTATAAGTACCGGTATGGTACCTACCAACGAAAGGACGTTTATTTATTATTACATGACCAGTATTTAGTTAGTTTTTATTATTTCTAAAGAAGTAATAAAGTCATATTATTATTATAAATTAAAGTCAAAAAGCATTTTAAAAGAAGATATCATCATTTGTTTAAATACTATTGATAATGATATGCTTAAAATAAATAAGTGGGTATAATATTTTACATCTTTCTGAAGTAAAAGAAACTACTAAGTCGACTTAATTATAAACATATACCGTGTGTCCCAGGGAGAACACACCATAGGGAAACAGAATTAATGAATTTTTTCGCAAGGGATCCGCGAGGCCTTTGATATTTAATATGTATTTAAAGTTAGCGTTCAACGTACGTTATTGCGCTTACCTGATGCTAGAAAGAGATTGGAGTAGTACGTTGAACGCTAATTTCAAAGGCCTCGTTGATCCTCCACTAAAAATACATTGCCGTTTCCTTATGATGCGTTCTACCTGGCACACACTGTATGTTATAGAGAATATAACATATTGACTAATCTGCACTAAATCACTATAAATAAATTTTAGGGTATTTAAGATTATTTAATAAAGCTAGGCGAATTATGTAGCTGTACTTTTTTGTGTGCAATAGATATTATGGAGGATATTATGAAGAAGAACCATATTCAAAAGTATACCCAATACCTCTTTATATCTACTTTTAGGTTATGTAGGTAACCAACTAGGTCGCCTTTAGAAGTTGAGAGCCCAGAACAAAAGAGGAATAAATAAATAAATAAATAAATAAATAAATAAATAAATAAATAAATAAATAAATAAATAAATAAATAAATAAATAAATAAATAAATAAATAAATAAAGTAAGATTTCCCATGTAAACAAAAATTCCAAAGGTGACTGGACGGTCACTCATTTTTTATCGCTATGCATTGTCATTGACAAAAGTAATGATCGCCTAATAGGTAAACTCTGTAGCATCAACAACCAACATTCCTATCGCATGGGTCTTCGTTTGTTTCTTGAGGAGGAGTTGCACAATATATTCAAATGTTGCTTACGCTTACGTATGCTGCAGGATTTACCATTTCGGCGATCATTACTTTTGTCAATGACTGATAAATATGTGTAGATAGACGCACATTTACACTAATTCTAAGCTTTAATCAAACTGAAGCAACATTACTATATGAATCAAAATCATAACCAACATTCTCGCCATGAACGAAATGTCTACAGCAAATGCACCTAGAGCATTAAAACGGGGACTGCGGTAGCGGACCTGCTGTGTTAAGCGCAGTAAATAGTCCCGCACAATTATAATATGCACGTTACTGCTTCTCGGAGGAAACTTTATCAAATACTGATAACTTATAGAAGCGACTTTGTGGCTCTCCTGCCTTACTTGATTTGCAAAGTAAGCTATCACGAAGGCGCAAATCTGAAACAAAGCATACATTAATCAATTAATTAATTCTCAATCAATCGATAATCGGTGCAAACAAGTTTTTGTGTTTTTGCTGAAATTGGGTATGTCCGTTGAGTTTCACTCAACGGTATGTCACAAAGAGTGTTCAAATACCGTAGTTGCTCATTTTGGATTAACATTTGCCTAACGTTCATTACAATAAGTATAGGTAGGTACACCAAAAGCAGCAAAAAAGCAATATAGTTACGTATACAATACAAATACACTTACCAAGACTGTAACAGTCAAAGATAAACTCCAATAAATCTCCAAATCAGTTATACTTATCGATATATCGTCCAGTTTTAGTTTATATTCCAAAACAAAATTGATAGTCTGCAAACATTGCGCAGGTATTAACCAAGAAAAACAATAAATCGGCAAACCCAACAGTCCATTAAAACAATCTTGAATGTCGCACAATTTATCATAAATTTTTAAACACTGCACAACATTTTTTTGATTATTTTTTAAATTTTGCGCGCTGTTAATTTCTTCAATTGTCGTTAATAACTTTTGATTTAAAGTATCAAACTTATTTCTTAAAATGACAGCATAGTTTTGAATTTGTAGTGTAGTGATAATAACAATGTATAAGTTTACAAAACGAATTATAGAAAAGATGACATTAATCTTACCAAAGTAAAACAAAACTATCGATGTAAGCAAAATGGCACCAATACAAGTATGCAAAAGCCCTACTAAAGCTAAAAACAGTTTGGTATCATTACATGATTTTAGTATCAAAGGCATTTCATGAAGATTACCCAAATCTTCAATGTACCTAATTGCAGCTACTAGATTTTTTCGTTGAAAAATGACGGTACCAATTATTGTTACGGAATTTGAGACTGTATAAAAGACCATCACCATCAAATCTAACGCGCAAGTTTTATCAATGAAACTGTAATAATCTTCCAGCTTTGATTTTACCGTCCAGCATAGTATTAGTATAAGCAAAGATACCAAAAGTAAACTGTACAATAGATACCACACCGACAACCCGTTATAATTATAAACATTTGGAATCGTTAAGCAAAATATCTGCGATATGCCGTTTATGAATTTTAAAATTATGTCGGGCTGTAGTGGTTTTCTTTCTTCAAAGGCGATTTGAGGTTTGCTGGCGTTCTTTATTGCAGACATTTTTTGTAGGGATGTACTCGTATTAAGTCAAGTGCTACTTTGGATTAAAGACAAGCTGCCGTAATTAGTTAATTACACAGATATGAATTATGTATCGCAACGTGTCCTTTACTCATTTATGATTTATGTTAAATCCCACAGGTCCCCTATAATTTTCCAATTCCTCTATTGCTCTGAGGCTTTCATGCCACGCTAGGACCGTCCTGTTTATTTATAATCCTTGTTTTCTGTTCCCTATAAATTTTTCAATACACCATAATATGAGGGATGGGCTGTAGTATTCATTACACTAAGGCTGTAGGTAGATTTTCTGCTTCTGTTAAAATTTCCACGATACGAGTTGACTCACGTTTATGTTGTTTTCAACAATTTGCTTATCGTAAAATCTAAATTTTACCTCACACTCATACAAGTATATAATATATATATATATATAAGATTTAAAAAGCGCTAAGGTGAGATCATTTTCACATATATTGCAGATAAGGTGAGATCCATTTGGTAAACCCGAGATCCGTTTTCGGATCTCGCCTTTTTTACTGTGTATATCGAGTCTATTAGCTCGGTCGATCATACAGGAAGCTAAATTTCAATTTTCGCCCGGATCTCAACTTTTAGGTTTTTGTCAAAATTTATACACGCGAAGTTCTTGAGTGACCATCTTAGGGGGCGCTGCTTACGTTATATATAATACGTTATATTTTAAATAAAGTGAGATCCAAATAAACGGCAACATTGTAAAGCGGTACTCTCGCTTTAAAGTGCGATAGCAAATAATGAAAGAGGTAGCTGTACTATGTGCGCTATAACGTAAATAATTTGTTATCTGCTACCTCGTATGTATTATTCCTAATCCACGTTACGTTACAAGGGCGGATTTGTATTAAAGAGATTAAACTGGTGGATTGAGGAGAAATGTAAAATAACGTTTAGTATATTTTAGTAAGCGCATTAAATTAATAAGAGGGTCATAATGGATTCTAAGGGTATCGTAACTATAAGCTAGGAACACACCTACCACGGTGCCCACTAAGGGAATTTGGTACACTTTCGATGACCACTTGTATTTTAATCAAAAGATGTCAAAATCGTTATTTCTATACCAAGCTCATCGGGAAAAGAACCAAAGATATTACAGCGCTGTCTAAACAGAGAATTTGGTAAATTGTTTATGATTGATTTTACCAATTAGGTACCGTACGCATTTAGGCAGAACGTACCACGTATTAACCATACGGCAAAAATTGGCCGTTCTGATTGGACCACGGCGAAACGCGGTACGTTTTGTCCAAGTTGGGTCCTAACGCGGTCACCGCTTTGGTTTTATCCTGATTTCTTTGGGTTTGGTGTTTACACATGATTGCCGGATAAGTTCGATATTTTTGAACCGAAATTGTCACCTCCATGATTTGAACCAATTTGACTAACCCAGGCATCTGTCTTAAAAAATGAACTTTTTGCAGATTTCGTTACGAAATACTGAACAACCTAATGGTTTACATGTAATCATAAGCAAATAACTTTAGACTTCTTGTGATTGCTTTTTACCAACCATGCACCATAAGGTACTAGAAGAGAGATAAGAAAGCAATTTGATAATGAGTTCTTTGGATTTGGTATTTACACATGATTGTAGGATGAATTAGATGTTTTTGAACCAAAATGGCCACCTCCATGGTTTGAACCAATTTGACTAACCAAGGCATCTTTCTTAAAAAATGAACGTTTTGCAGATTTCGTTACGAAATACTGAACAACCTAATGGTTTACATGTAATCATAAGCAAATAACTTTAGAATTCTTGTGATTGCTTTTTACCAACCAGGCACCATACGATACTGGAAGAGAGATAAGAAAGCAATTTGATAATGTTGGGTTCGGTGTTTATACATGATTGGAGGATGAATTAGATGTTTTTGAACCAAAATGGCCACCTCCATGGTTTGAACCAATTTGACTAACCAAAGCATCTTTCTTAAAAAATGAACCTTTTGCAGATTTCGTTACGAAATACTGAACAACCTAATGGTTTACATGTAATCATAAGCAAATAACTTTAGAGTCCTTGTGATTGCTTTTTACCAACCAGGCACCATACGGTACTGGACGAGAGATAAGAAAGCAATTTAATAATGATTTCTTTGGGTTTGGTGTTTATACATGATTGGAGGATGAATTAGATGTTTTTGAACCAAAATGGTCACCTCCATGGTTTGAACCAGTTTGACTAACCAAGGCATCTTTCTTCAAAAATGAACTTTTCACAGATTTCTTTACGAAATACTGAACAACCTAATGGTTTACATGTAATCATAAGCAAATAACTTTAGAGTTCTTATGATTGCTTTTTACCAACCATGCGCCATACGGTACTGGAAAAGAGATAAGAAAGCAATTTGATAATGATATCTTTGGGTTTGGTGTTTATACATGATTGGAGGATGAATTAGATGTTTTTGAACCAAAATGGCCACCTCCATGGTTTGAACCAGTTTGACTAACCAAGGCATCTTTCTTCAAAAATGAACTTTTTACAGATTTCTTTACGAAATACTGAACAACCTAATGGTTTACATGTAATCATAAGCAAATAACTTTAGAGTTCTTGTGATTGCTTTTTACCAACCATGCACCATACGGTACTGGACGAGAGATAAGAAAGCAATTTGATTGGGTTTGGTGTTTATACATGATTGGAGGATGAATTAGATATTTTTGAAACAAAATGGCCACCTCCATGGTTTGAACCAGTTTGACTAACCAAGGCATCTTTCTTCAAAAATGAACTTTTTACAGATTTCTTTACGAAATACTGAACAACCTAATGGTTTACATGTAATCATAAGCAAATAACTTTAGAGTTCTTGTGATTGCTTTTTACCAACCAGGCACCATACGGTACTGGACGAGAGATAAGAAAGCAATTTGATAATGATTTCTTTGGGTTTGGTGTTTATACATGATTGGAGGATGAATTAGATGTTTTTGAACCAAAATGGCCACCTCCATGGTTTGAACCAATTTGACTAACCAAGGCATCTTTCTTCAAAAATGAACTTTTTGCAGATTTCGTTACGAAATACTGAACAACCTAATGGTTTACATGTAATCATAAGCAAATAACTTTAGAGTTCTTGTGATTGCTTTTTACCAACCAGGCACCATACGGTACTGGACGAGAGATAAGAAAGCAATTTAATAATGATTTCTTTGGGTTTGGTGTTTATACATGATTGGAGGATGAATTAGATGTTTTTGAACCAAAATGGTCACCTCCATGGTTTGAACCAGTTTGACTAACCAAGGCATCTTTCTTCAAAAATGAACTTTTCACAGATTTCTTTACGAAATACTGAACAACCTAATGGTTTACATGTGATCATAAGCAAATAACTTTAGAGTTCTTATGATTGCTTTTTACCAACCATGCGCCATACGGTACTGGAAAAGAGATAAGAAAGCAATTTGATAATGATTTCTTTGGGTTTGGTGTTTATACATGATTGTAGGATGAATACTTATGCATAATCAATTTTGAAGCATTTCAGTAATGGCAAAAATTTATTACATTAATTATAATGGCAATTGTACTTTGAAAGTGAGTTTGAATTGGGTCCTTTAATTCAAAGATGTAGACTTATGAACCACTATCAGCTGTTAGAAAAATAAAAAAAATCATTTCCAACGGGAACTCTTTCCTTCAATAAATAGGTAATCGTTTTAATTTATCATCGATGTAAAATAGAGTACCTATTACACTAGGTATTATTTAATTAAATGTTATAATATTTTCAAGCCCCGGGTGCCAAATAATATTAACGCTTTATCGAAGAAAGAATACGCGAAGGAATCCCACAGAAGGCTAACAACCTGTTAAGTATTCGCAAAAGATAACGAAATCTATTTTTAGAACAAGTACATTTGACAACACCGCATGATCTCTACTTAATACACCAATGTCATTTTATACACTATATGATCTCTACTTAAGTGTATTTATTTTTTGATCTCATCCTAACTGCTTTTTATATGGATAATTTTAATTGTATGAATTTCTTTCCCCTCTATAGGGGTAATGATAGAAGAACATATTTCATGTCATTGGCAACCCATTATACACGCATATTTTTAACTTTAAAGGGGGATCTCAGGTTATCCTACTATTATCCGGATCTCGACTTATATCAATAATATATATATATATATATATTATTAACCTCGAGAATCTATTTTCCTTCCTACGGGAAAAATAAGTGTTGTAAAATACAACTCCTCATCCTTCAAAATGACAAATATAATTTATACGACCGATTACAATGATCGTGAATAAACTTACTGGTATATATGCAACCAAACGTGCAAGTCTGTTAATTCATAGATTGCGTTTGCCTACGTAACAGCGTAGTAGGAAAAGCGAACTAACATATTTTAATTTATTTATTGTTCAACAACATTATTAGTTCAAAAGTAAACCAAAAATACATTATTTGATTGGTTTGCCACGTATTTATCGAGAACATTTGATATAATATTAGAATATTATTGAAATACACCAATAATTCGTCTACTACTACTCACATGTGATGTGAAATAATACCTCAGTATATATACTGTCCCTGAAACTTAAATCGTTGTACTCGCTTCGGCGGTACATATACTAAAATTGGAACGATACAGAGAAGATTAGCATGGCCCCTGCGCAAGGATGACACGCAAAATCGTGAAGCGTTCCACATTTTTTTCTTTTTTTAAAAAACCAAGTTGAAAAACTCGACAGAAAGCATAATAATTACTCTGACGGTCTGTGTCCTGTGAATTACTCTTTGCGCAATTTTTCCCTAAATTGACCATCTTCGCATCTTCAATGGTTTCCGTCTTCCCAGATCCCCATGATAGCCATCCTTATCTTGAACACTGACCGTTTGTAACCTGTGATTGCAGTAATACAAGTAGTGTAGATATAGGTGGTTAACACTGCTTACACCTATATTGAAATAGTTTAACGAATCACATAAATCAATTAAAAGTAAATTACATGAATACGAATTCCGCACTTTTCGTTAGTATTCGTGCAACGGTCTAATCTAATTTAAAAAAATACATGTAGTATGCTTACGTAGGTTTTTTTTAAATTAGAAAAAAATGTGGAACGCTTCACGATTTTGCGTGTCATCCTTGCGCAGGGGCCATGCTAATCTTCTCTGTATCGTTCCAATTTTAGTATATGTACCGCCGAAGCGAGTACGACGATTTACGTTTTAGGAACGGTATATATTTAGAGCGTCTATTTTAGACCACATGTGAGAAGTAGTGGATGAATTATTAATTTTATTTCTATAGTAAATTAATGTTATTATAATTTCTATTCGGTAATACGTGGCAAACCTATAAAATGATTATTTTTGGTACATTTGAACTGATAATTTTTTGTTGAACAATAAAAAAAATCAAAATATGTGCACTTCTACCACGTTGTGACGTACGCAAACGCAATCTTAAGTCACACATACCAGCTCGTTTGGTTGCATATATTCCAGTGAAAACAATTTGGAAGTTTTTGCGGATCATGAGACTGGTGTGAACATTTCATTATACTATTAAATATACCATGGTTAATTTAAATTTTTATTTTAAAAACATTTATTACAAGAAACCACACTACTACGATTACACTTTACACTTCACGACTGTGTAATATCATAACCAATACACATTAAACTACTCAGAAGTTAAATGTTTGTGAATCTTCATGTGAGTATACAAAGACCCAGACTGAGTAAACCTGTACCCACACATACTGCATACATAGGGTTTGTTACCTGTATGGATGTTCGTATGTTTTTTTAATTGAGTGGTGTCAGCAAATGCTTTATTACATGTGTTACAATGGTGGCGCTTTTCACCTAAAAAAATGTATATATAAAACAAGTAAAAAAAAATGCTTATTAAGTAACATCAGGTTCACCTGTATGAGCTCGTATGTGAGCACTTAGTTGACTATGAGTTTTGTAGCGTTTATTGCAATTTGGTATTCTGCACTCAAAAGGTTTTTCACCCGTATGAGTTCTTAGGTGAGCAGCTAAGTCAGGCGACGTTCTTAACCCTTTACCACAAATCGAACAAACATATTTTCGAATTCCAGTGTGAGTTAGTTGATGAGTTGCCAGCCCGCTGCCACTGGCAAACGCCTTCAAATGGATATCCTTAACTCAATTTCATAACTGCAAGTGTAACCTACTTTTGGGCATACGGAGCATGGGTAAGGTTTTTCTTGTGTGTGAGTTCTTGTGTGCAATGTGAGTTGCGTAGACGTTGTGTACGAATGCCCACATGTAGAACACACGAACGGCTTTTCACCGGTGTGAACTCTGCGATGTGTAGTTAAAGAATATGAATGAATGAACTTCTTTTGACAAATTTCGCAGACAAATTTTTTCTCCCCTAAAATCATTTATCATTAATTTGTTGTTGTTGTTATTTGCACCTATATGGATTTTAACGTGCTTTGCTAAGCTTCTGGGATCTGCAAATCTTTTTTGACATGTTGTACAAACTAACGGTCTCTCCCCAGTGTGCTTGCGCATGTGAATCTTAAAAAAATCCAGTACATGTAAATGAAATATCTTTCAACAAACTTACCGTAAGCTCAGTTTGAGCATAAAATTTTTTTTCGCACACTGAGCACTTATGCCTCCTCTCAAGTATTCCATGTGTACGATTGTGTGTCTGCAGAGCACGCTTTGTTGGAAATGGCTTATAGCAAATACCACAAGTGTGATTGTTTAGTTTACCATGCTGATCTGTTCTAAGACGAATGTTTAAGGATAAACCTGAAAGTAACGGTAATTACCTACTTTCACAAAAAATGTGAACGTGCCGATGTATTTTTTAGTTCTATAGAGTGAAGAAGGGTAAGACGGAGAAGAGGCTAAAATGATGAATCTCACTCACAAGTTTCTGTAGTGAAGCTTCTGCATTTATTCAAGTGTTTTCGGCCAGAGCAAAGCGACACAAAAGCTAACATAGGCCGACTAGATGTGAATGCTTTTAACAGTACGTTAATATGTATCAGTATAACAATAAAAAATCACAATACTACGCTCAAAACAGGGATCTGATATTGTCTACCCCTTTACATATTGTAAAAAATTTGTTGTTTGAGAATATGGAGTAGAAAAAGCAGAAAAAGAACACCAACAAAAAAGTCAAAAGGGAATGACTCGGGGAATGATGAAGATTCTTCTTCTGATTTGTCAATAGAAGAGCTGTTGTTCAAGCTATTACTGGAGTTTCTCATCTAACCTGTTTGTATCGAGTAGCTATAATGAATGAATTTATGAATATGCACGAAAATTACCAAATAAATTTTATACTAGAGTGGCAACTTATTTTGCGAGATCATTGGGGAAACTAAGCCATAGCAGTTTGTTGCGCTGACATATGTTCAATTGTTACCATCACCGTCTTACCATGCTCTCCCCTAAACAATAAGATTCTATATGTACATACATTTGACATTTCTTAATGGTTCAATATCATTCTCCATGGTATTTTGTGTAGTAGCTATATTCAAAGGTATGTTGCATCCAATATTCTAAAATAAATTCATTTGTTTCTTAATATTTTGTGTTTTAATATTACCTTATCAACTGTCTGTGTTTTGTTGTTTAACAATTTTTCCTCTGATGTTGTAGCTAATAAAATAATGTAGTTAGTGCCAAATTAAGTTTTCATAGTAATGAATCCATTACATGCTGCTTGATGATACCCTCGACATGCCGTGTGTATACAAGAATGTTTTTGAAAATTGGAAATTTGAAAATATTGTGATAAGTAATTGTCAAAATGGTTACTAAATGTCGAGCTAAATGTTAACATTTTAAAGACGGCCCTGATATTGGACCTATATTATTCACTACTTATTTACAGAAATGCATTCAATAAGAGAATCCTTGTAGTAACAAAAAATTGTCTGCTGCATTTACCTAACTAACAAATTGCAAGCAAAAATGCATTCCATTCAGTTTGGATGTCAATTACCTCCCTCAGAAATTTCACCGAGACCCATAATAGATTGTGATGGATTTTTATAAACATAAAAGTATTGCCTCAAGGTAGTATCAGAGCTTTCTGCTTGTTGTTTAAAATGGTAAGCTTGTGTAATTTGTATAATGCAATTAGCACATATTTGGGTAGGTAAACCGTCATCTACATGGATCTGAAACAAATTGCTGCCTCATAAGCTTTATTTTTTGGCCCTTGGCGGTTTACCTGCAAAGCAGTAAAGTGCATTAGCATTTTGTCTATGTTGGAATCAAACACAGATTGAGTCGTATTTGAAACATCACAGAGACATGTTCGACAGACAAGGTGGTGATTTAATGTTTCCGAATCCAGTATTTGTATTGTCGTAGGAGCAATTCCTGGTAAGGATTGGTCCATAATAATATAAAATCCTGTGATAATACAGTAAACTCTCTAACTATAGATTATTGCTTTTTTATTTATGATAAGATAATAATCATTAATATTTATATTTATGAATAACCTAACCTCAATCCCCAGTTGTCAACAATATATAATTCGTGCCAGTGGGACCAGCAACAGAACAATAAACAAACTGACATACACAGCGTGCGCCAAAGGTATTCTGTATTTACATGTTTTCAAAAAAACAGATAATTCTAGCTTTAGTATTAAATTATGTTCAATGCTTTGCAGCTATATTATATTAATTGAAAATTTCACTTTCTTCCGAAGCATGTAAAAATACACAGGAGATTATATTTCAAACATACCTACGTAGATTCGGCGTCTTTTATTTTTTTGATTTGTCCATTGGACTCCTTAGAAAGAACAGTTTTTCATATTCAAGAGAATCTGGTAAATTTTACATCGCCTGATGATGGTAATTCGCCAAACTATATATAGCCGCCTTTAACTCAAAAATAAAATTATATGGGGTAGGTTTTTCCTATCGTTCCTGCCAATGAAAAGTCTTCAGATAAAAAAGTTAAATTATTTTCATATGAATTATTTTTATAGCAGATGTCAAATTGACATTTTAATACTTTGACTGAGTCGCTCTTTAACCGGATTAACCGTAAGGGTAGATAAAGTGAAACAGATGACTGTGGGTTTTAATTACATATGCCATTCATATTTAAAATGGTACGCAGAGTACGATATAAAATGAAGTTCAGAACATATGACTATGCTGTTTCTATGGAAACAACCGCGACGGCAGAACCTAATATAATAAATTAAATTCGGAATTGGTAGAAGCTTTTCAATGACTTAGGTATATGTATATGGCTTCTGCTACAAAATAAAGTTTTGTATTATACACGACGATAAAAGAAAACAAACCATCTCGTAGTCAAGACATTCGATGGTTAAAATATCCCTTTATCGTCTTGTATAATCAATAACTATTATTATTATATAATAATTATTTAACAGTAGCCCATTATTTATATACCATTATTATATTCAGAGGACAAGTGACTCTGGGTTAGCTTAGAATGGTGACAAAGGTGAATGTCGACTGTTTACTGCGGGCGTGCATCGTTGCCACCTTAAGGCTGGACAGTACACCCGTTCCGTTGCCCGAAAACGCGTGATTTCGTTCCACGATATCTTAATTCTGAGTGAAGTTGAAGAAGGGGTCGAATATTCCTGTGGAAGGTGAATGCTTTAGCTAGACAATAACGCCGGGGTTTACTAAAATGTTTTAAAATAATCTTTTTTTTAAGGGCAACGTCGAGGGCTGTTAGGGTGTCATATTTTGGAAAAGAAAAAAAAGGAAATAAATTTTCCTGGCGTTATTGCCTAGATATTAAGTTTACGAACGTATCTTAATTTTGGAAATTGTTCCAACTTCATTTATAGATAAGTTATCTTGGAAAAACAACTTAAAAGTTTTCCTCAGAAGCGCGAAAAGATAGCTTCCGCCGCGTGGCTGGTTTTATACAGATAGAAAATATGCATTATAATTGGACTAAGTTTATGTTTTTACCATCGAACACAAATTAATATTATAAATAACCAAATTTGGGGATTGACAATAGGCAACTTTACATATTTTTTTTTACATACTTAAAGGTGGGTTCATAGCTCTCCGTTCATCCGTTGCGTTGATCCGTCAAACGGATAGTACATTTTGTTAAGGTTCATAGCAATCCGTCCACATTGTACATTTGCAACGTATAACCATAACCTAAATTTTATTTAGTACTGTACCCTCCGTGATTTTCAGTATGTAAAAATGGTACGATAGTAAGAACACGCTGCTATTTGATTATTACCGTGAAGAACGAATAGGCGAATACTGTTAACGTACCAAACACAACCTCACTCTTGTTAAAAACGGACCAACGGAAACGTAAATGTTCAACTTCAACCAACTTTTCCGTCGAAAACGGACGACGTACGATTTAAAAATTTGCTATCTTCTGATTGGCTAACGGACAAACGGAAACGTATGAACGGAGAGCTATGAACTTACCGAGAAAGGTAAGTTCATAGCTCTCCGTTCATACGTTTCCGTTTGTCCGTTAGCCAATCAGAAGGCAGCAAATTTTTAAATCGTACGTCGTCCGTTTACGACGGAAAAGTTGGTTGAAGTTGAACATTTACGTTTCCGTTGGTCCGTTTTTAACAAGAGTGAGGTTATGTTTGGTACGTTAACAGTGTTCGCCTATTCGTTCTTCACGGTGATATTCAGATAGCAACGTGTTCTTATTTTCGTACCATTTTTTCATACTGAAAATCACGGAGGGTACAGTACAAAATAAAATTTAGGTTATGGTTATACGTTGCAAATGTACACTGTGGACGGATTGCTATGAACCTTAACAAAATGTACTATCCGTTTGACGGATCAACGCAACGGATGAACGGAGAGCTATGAACCCACCTTTCTTGCCACACTACAAATCCGCCGTTATCAATTCGCTGCTTATTCAGGAGTTGTGTATGGAATTTGACTTATAGTATGTATGTTGCCCACTTCTTTTTTTGCCCATAATAATAACATTTATCAAATGTCAGGGTTGAAAAATTTTGATCTTGATATCCCAATAAATTTTATCAAGTAGATACATTTAAAATCTCTTTGTTATTGTCGTATTTTATTTACATCACTAACGGCTCATCAAATGTACAGAATATCAAAGCACTAGGTAAGTATTTTCACTGGTCACACAAAAATAACTACTCAAAATTGTACTTAAAATGTTGCAGTTTATAATGTAGGTATTAGTTATGGAGGATAGTTTAAGTGTGAAATCGAATGAATCTATAGCCACTAGTGAGGAATTTGATTTTGTAAGTGACAAACCAGAGACCAGTAAAACACCCACCTTGGATATTCTAAATGGAGACATTAATGAGTTGAAGAACGCCCTAAAGGAGGTCTTGCAAGAACCAGGCGTAAGGATGAGTGAAGATGGGGACGATAGTAAAAAGGTGGGACAGTCGAAATTCTATAGCTGTCCAGTGCAACCCGGTACAGACCCACTCAGTGGACCAACATCTACTTCTCCAAATGAAAAGCAAGATGCAATGAAACCTGATTATAGCGATGAAGAAAGTAGGTTTAAATATAATTAATAACACTTACATTGCATGAAAGGACATTAGATGCAGTGTGCGATATAAGTCATACATAAATATAGTGTGAGTTTGTGAAAATTTGTGTTCGCAAACTTATTTAAACATAAAATATCTTATAATTGTTAGTTTCAGATGTGGATCAAGATTGCACAATATTTAGTGGGGTAACCTACTTAGGGGCAGCTGCCATTAATGCCCCAAAGTCGGAAACTGAAATTCAGCGTAATATGGCCATTCTTAACGAACAGAGTTCTGATCAAGGAATTAAAATTGCCGTCTCTGTACCTTGTTCGTCTCAGGGTTTAGTAGTGTATGTATTTTCTTACATTTCTTCATTCTCGTCATATGTTGAACATATAATTCATAGAAATAAAGGTTGTTATTACTCCCTCAATCTACCATGAAAGGTTTTATTATTGTAATGCAATATATATCTACTTTATTAGCATAAATAGAATCATAATTACAAAATAAAGTTCCTTAATGAGTGTCTTAAAAGCATGAACTACTTTGCTAAGAGTTGTCTACTGTAGTCTTGTATGGGGTCATTATAATGAATGGAATTTAGTTGCCTTAAAAATTCGATTTTACTGTATCTATGGAAAAGAAAAGAGTTGTTGTGTCAACTACTGATACAGTTGTCAGATGTAATTATCGCAACTTATAGAATTATATTATTCTCAATGTAAATGAATGGCCTCCAAGATCGCATGATCTTACCCCAGCGGATTACTGGCTGTGGGACTATTTAAAAAGTTTAGTGTAATTACCTCACACCTTCGGGTGAGAGGTTTACACTCTGATTCAAATTCGAGGGCCACCATGGGGATCTGGGGAACTGTAAGAGATAGGTAGGTAGTTTACATTTGGTAAAGTTGCATATTTTGATGCTAAGCAAAATGCAGTTTTGAAACTGAAAAAATTCCGACTACTTTCGGAGATATCCAGAAAAAACTTTTTCAAAATCGTTTTTATTTTTTACTGAAGTTATTTAAAAAGATATTTCAAAATATATGACACATTATTACGGCCACTTTTTTCCCTCTACAAGATGCTAATTTTAAATCCGACATTTTGTCTCCGGTTAACCATTATCAACTTTGTTTTTTCTTATGGAAGTAATTTTTACTTTTTGTGTCATATGATGAGATTTTTTTTCTGATTTCAAAAATGTAAATATCACAATTTTTTTTGTTAAAATATCTTTTTTACCTCGAAAACTTTTTCTTGGGTAGTGTACAGACGTAGTTTCATGCGTTTTTACGAATTAATATCGCTATTTCTTATTAACAGAAAAAAGTTCTCTATCGAAATACAAAAAGTAAAAATGACTTCCATAAGAAAAAACAAAGTTGATGATGGTTGACTGGAGACGCAACGTCAAACTTAAAATTTAAAAGTAACATCTTGTAGAAGGAAAAAAGTGACCATAATAATTTTTTTTCGGATATCTCCGAAAGTAGTCGGAATTTTTTTAATTTTAAAAACTGCATTTTGTTAAGCATCAAAATACGCAACTTTGTCAAATTTAAACTACCTACCTATCTCTTACAGTTCCCGAGATCCCCGCAGTGGTCCTCGAATTTGAATCAGCCTGTATATATAGTGTTTAGAACACAACCAACAGCGCTGGAAGAATTAAAACACTATTAGGGAGCACATTCTCTCATTAACTTAGTTTGTTAAAAGTACATAATAATCTGAAATATGTATCCCTTAGGAGTTTACCCCTAATATGCTCTGCTTTTGTGTTTTTTATGCATATTCAGACACTAAAACTACGAAAAGGGAATATTTGTCAAGGGGGACACTTTTTAACAAAAAACTTCTTCACCCTCTGCCCCCAGGGTCACTCCCTTAAAAATTTTAAATGACAAGTGGTGTTGAGTAATAGCTTGTTTGAAAGGTTTTTCGAAGTCCTTTAGTTTGACGTTTGATTTTTTAAAATCGGTCGATTCGTTTTCGAGAAAATTAGAAAAATCTAATTAATTTATTTAATCTGCCTATCTTAATTTGTTCAGATAGAAAACAAAAAAAACGAAAATATAACTTTATTTCAATAAGTGTGAAATAGTTGCCCGTTATTGGCCAAACAATGACATAGGCGATGTTCAACTTCGTGACGGACATTTTTCAAAAACGTGGGATATCAGGGCAGCTTTCGATGCTGCGTGGACGAAGCTCATCCAAACTTTCAGGTTAATATAAATTAAATTAACTGACAGCAAATTAAATTCTTTTATAGCAATAAATAAGTGATTTTTTCGTTTGTTTTTGCCAAAATAAAGGACTTCGAAAGACCTTTTAAACAAGTTATTACTCGATACCACTTGTCATTTAAAATTTTAAAGGGAATAACCCTGGGGGGCAGAGGGCGAAAAGGGGTTAAGTAGTTTTTGGTTAAAAAGTTGTCCCCTTGACAAATCTTTTGCCCTGTTTCGGCGTTTTTTCCTTTAATCAGTGGTGTTCGATGAATTTTCAAATGAACACCTTGTATGATATTTTGTTCTTTTGAGACACTTTTTATACTAAGTAGTAAGTTTAACTATTTTCACAGACTTTATGATGCTGGTACACATTCTGTGATAGCACGCTATGAAATTCATCGAATATTATTCTATGCCCGTGGAGCCATCGACAGTCAGGAAGCCGGTTGCTTTGCATTTACCTGGTCACACGGTGATACTCAAGAATCTGCCATCTTTCAGTGCCATGTTTTCCGATGTGACATTGCAGAAGCAGTCTGCAGAGTTTCATGTAAGTAGCATGAAACCTTTGCATTAAAAATTTACATCCGGAACATGATTGCAGCCTGCTTTTCCAAAGCATTTCAACGTGTACCTCGCTCTATGAGTAGCTCAGTGGCATCAGCATCTGATATGTCTGCCTCGGTTACGACTTTGGCTGAAGCACGCACTTTAATGTATGTTTTCGAAGTGAGCTTAGAAATAAAGGAAGATGATGGGAAAGTAAAAACTTCCACTAACAAGTATTGTTAACTAGCTATCCTATTTCTAGGGGACATTCTTTACTGTACCTAAAGATCGTAGTGGTTTCAAGTTACGGGTAAATTTAGAAAAACAATTGTGTTTATCGATTAGACAAGTATCCGATAATGGTCCACAATTGTATATTGAGAGATGTTTCGGAATTTTAGTGGCACCGGGACGACATGTGCGCCATTCAGACATGCAATTACTTGACATGGTGGCTGGCAGATTTTTGCAGTTCGTAGTTGTAGCTATTGATTTTTTTAGGCACAAACTTTTAACTCTGCACCACCAAGCGATCGAAATAATACCGCTATTTCGGCTTCCTGGAACCCAACAGGGCCGCCATTTGAAATATTAAATACTGAAACAAAGGACAACAGTGTGTATATAACAGTGGCAGTGGACTTGGTAATACGAGGTATACAAGAGCCTGTTCGATTCCAAATGGAAACTCCTGTTAGAGTTTTTGGGCAATACGAACGTTTCTGGTACTTTCAGAAACGGTCGCTTATTCAGCAGTTCTTCCTTAACTTAAAAGAGGTAGGTATTCAATCAGTGATTGATAATATGCACAGGTCACAGACCATATTTATGGAATCGTTAGTTGCACAGCTTGTGGAAAAAGATTATTTTAACCAAAGAGGCCAAGAGAAATTGCTGGAAATTATTTTCCAAGTTTCTAGGTTTGCCGCTTGAGGGCGTACGATTCATGGCTTAGTAGAAAAATGATGTTTTTCCTAAAATCTACCCAACAAACGTCCATAAAAAATACATGCATCGCAAGTTTGCATCATTTTAATGCAACATATATCTGTTTAAGGAATTGAATGTTACTTCGATTTAGGTTCCTCGATTTTCAGAGGGCGCGGTTTGAAATTAAAATACAAAATGAGGCAAAATTCATACAAGATGGATTTTTTATGCAAGTTTTGTTGCGTAGATTTTGGAATAAAAATCAATTTTCTACTTAAACATGAATCGTACGCCCTCTAGATGGATAGAGGTAGGTATACCTCATCGTGTTTCACTCACGTGGCGTTTATGCGTTTTACAAAACGTGTCAGACAAGGATGAGGATACCTACCACAGCCTACGTTAGGTGACCTGCGATTTTGGTTAACGATGCCCTTCCAGTTACAAAACATACAGTTCAATGTATAAAAAAAAAGTTTTTGACAGTGTTACATCTTTTATACTTAATGTACATTCACAAAATTTTAACGAAATCATTGTATCCGTACCTACTGTGGCAACAAAAAATCTTTAGTTTTTTAACTTTCACATTTTTTCTAGTTTTCTTTGTAAACCACACCACACTTTTTGTAGGTGGTTCAAGTTCGTGACTGACCAATAGAATCTTCACAATGGTGCGAGATACAGTGCAGATCATAATGGGGCAACATTTTTTGTGACCAAAAAATTAATTTCAAATTTTTGAAAATACCGAAAACTGAAATTTTGTTTTCATTTGCCCTACCTCAAATGGTCTGAAATGGACGGTTCCCGTTAGCACCTTCTATGGGAACCTTTTTTCGGATAACTGAGTCTGTTATCACAATTTCCATAACACTCTAGATCAGGACTGCTCAACGATTTGAACTGGCGGACCAAACGGATGATTCAACATTTTCGGCGGGCCACTAACAACGATTTTTATTTTAGGGAGGTACTTTTAGGATTTTTTTCTCGACCAGCTGAGGAGGCCTTAAGTACTACTACAGTTTGCAATATATTTAGGTCTTTTTTAATTCGGCAGCTTATAGCTCTGCATCCGCAGCCTGCGCAATATCAACTTTCTTATTTATTAATATATTTTGAAAACTTGGTGATGGATTACCTGTGACACAAGCTATACATTTTTGCGTTTACGTTACATAGGTTTGCCTCGAAGGTCTGGATACGAATTCAATACGCTATCCAAAAAATCCAGTGCTCGATCTGCACATTGTCTTCGAAGGTTTGAGTAAGAATGCCGCTTTTCTAGCAAAAAACGGAGCCCGCTTTTGGCTGCGTTTTTTTTATATGGGTAGGTTTAGCTGAGAGTACCCCTCTCACGCTCCATAGCGATGGTTTCTAGAACCGGCAATACGTTACGACTCTTATCTGCTTGGACACTCGCCCTTATCTTAACGCCCTTTATTTTCTCGAATATTAGTTCTCTTTCTCTTTCCTGATGAAGGGGTACACGTATAAAATTTCCTATACCTGCAACTTTTGTAAAATTAAAAAAACTTCAAAAAGCCTAAAGCGACCGCCTGTTACAACCCCATCAGCAGCAAGATGGGCGGCTTGATCAAACCAGACCTTGCATTCTTACCATGTGATAATCACTATATACTTTTGGTGATGAGTTATAGTAATGGTTCCGGACTTCTGGTAGGCCCAACTATCTGTTTGTATATCTATTCATGTACCGCTACTTTTTACTGGAAACTACCGTTGATGTGAAATTTTTGTTAAAAATCCAAATCGAACATGATCTCGATGTTGGTCGATTTCTCTGTCTGTACTCATTTCCGGCTAAAGGGCTGAACCGATTGGAACCAATTAGGTACACATATTCTGGGACATAAAAGGAAGAACTGTTGGACAGAATCGCGCAAGTGCGAAAATAACAAAAAAAACCGTCAATTTTTTTATATTTTTTCATATTATGCCACAGCAATTTTTTTTTCAGATTCAATTTCCTTCAAATGCACTTACATTATTTTTGCACAACTAATTTGTTTGATTGACTCCTAAAATTTCTAACAAGTATCCTAAAAGAAAGATATTAATAAGTGGAACATAGACATTTTCATTTTAACATTTCTCTTATAAGTTAACGTGGGTGTTTGGTATTGTTAAAAAATACAAGCGTACGTGCGAATAGACATTTTTTAATAATAATGACGAGGCAAGTGTTAATTGTTTACTATTTTGGACATATACTAAATTAATCAGGCCTCGTATCAATCTGTTAGAAGGTAATGGTACTGATAACACGGCTCGCATGTGGTTTGATAAGGTTGAATACTTAAATGTTTTTAAACTCTTTTTTTTGTAAATGTACATTCAAATATTGATTAGTTACAATTTCTAGTTTTGTTTATTTATAGATAACCTTTATATCATTAGTGAAATAAATTATTTGTAGTAGAGTGAATCAGTGTCACATTTCCCTTTGCTTAAAGTTTAACTTTTATTTTAGACAGTGATGGGCGAGCTTGGGGATGTGTTTTATGAAGTTGTTAATATGGAAACCTCCGGCGAATTAGATAGAAATCGATTAAATCTTACGTTAAATTTATCTAGTCTTATCCAGTCACCTAGTATTACTTCCGTTGATAGTATAACCCCTAAGGAAGAGTATCATTCAGGTAGTTTTTTTTATTGTTCAACAAGGAGGTAAAGCTGTTTCTTCAGATGGAGATGAGCCTCTATTGAGTGGTACCGGCTTGGTGTCAAAGGATTGCAGTAAGGATGTATTGGAAAATTGGGCAGATGTACTTTCTCGTTGGAAATCGACACAGCAGAAACCAAAGCAACTATTAGGTTTAGTCCGATTAGGAATTCCAGAGGCTCTCAGAGGAGAAGTTTGGCAACGGCTCGCCGGTACCGAAGAAAATATGCAAGTGATGGACACTTACAGAATTTTGATAACAAAAGTGTGTTTGGTTTTCTTGCTTTCAGTGGGTGTTACTCTTGCAATTTGTAGGATAGTGGTTGCGAAAATGTTATACAAAGAGATATTGCACGAACTTTTCCTGCACACGATTTTTTTAAGGAAGCTGGAGGCTTAGGACAAGATTCCTTATACCGCGTCAGTAAAGCGTACGCAGTGTATGATACGGAAGTCGGTTATTGCCAAGGATTGAGTTTCTTAGCTGCCACCCTTTTGCTTCATGTGAGTTTGATATTTCACTTAGTTTTGCGTTGTGGAATTTGCTGGTTGTAGATGCCCGAAGAACAAGCTTTTTGTGTACTTGTAAAATTAATGTATGACTATGGCTTGAGAGATCTTTACAAAGATGGCTTTGATAATTTATACTTAAGACTGTATCAATTAAATCGTTTAATGGAGGAACAGCTCGGGCCATTGTGGCAACATTTGACTAACCATCATGTGGAGACGCATATGTTTGCATCTCAATGGTTTTTAACGTTATTCACAGCTAGATTTCCTCTTTTCTTCGTATTCCATGTTATAGATGTGTTCTTACTTCAAGGCATCGATACATTATTTCAAGTTTCTCTAGCCTTACTTATGGTAGGTATCTACATAATCGCAAATCGATGTTAAATGCAACAAATTGTTTTTAGATGTGCAAAAAGGACTTGTTACAATTAGATTTTGAAGGGATTTTGAAGTACTTCCGAGTGTCTTTGCCCAAGAAATGCCGAACGGAAGAAGCTGCAAGGCAGCTGATGAAGACGGCTTGTAGTATTAAAGTGAAAAAATTAAAAAAATATGAGGAAGATTTTTGCGCGTTAAAAGGTAACTTTTGCATGCCAGCAAACAAATCCTTTACGCTTTTGATGTGCATAAATGCTGATTCCATGAACAAACGGTCTTGCTCTAAGGGAGTAAAATTTCATAATCAAATCCTACACAGATATTTTCACCCTATAAGTAGGTAGGTTTAAAGTTTTTGCTCCTACAATTGTTTCATTGTGTAACTTGTCTCCCTTTAACACATTATAATGCATCTCAATTTTGTAATTGGCCAATTAAATAACAACGAATTTCCTACACTACCACAGACAAACACTCTTTTAATGACGAATAATTCACAGTTCAGTGCGTTTCTGTAAAGCTTTATGCAGATCAATAGTTTTAAAAGGTTTCCTATTACGTTAACGCTTGAGGATAAACGCCACTAATTCCTAGATTGGGAGTGTTAGTGAAAAGTAAACGGGTACCAAATGAGAAATAATTCTTTTGTTGGTATTATTTATGATATGGAGTGCCTACTTACTTTTACTAATAGCTTTCACTAGCTTGAGACTACTCTACTTTAAAACGTAGTCCAAATAATTTTAACCTACTAGTCTAGTGGACGAGCAGCTGCAAACTAGTGTAAATAATTTTTCCAAATTAGGTACCTATGAAACTTTATTAAATGTGCTTGGTTTGGAATTTTAAATTAAGTGGTATTAGTAGTAGCTCTGTATGCGTCCTCTAGACAGCTGGGACATTATCATGTTGGATTCAGCGGAAGACGATAGCGCAAATGAAGCCACCGAAGTTGAGCAACTGCGATTGACAATCATTCGACTTGAAGAAGAGAGAAGGTTAATATTTGATGAAAATATGCAACTGAAGGAGATGTTGAAAAGAGAAGTTTCGAAAGCCGAAAGTAGCGATAAGAAAAACACCAACATTATTAACGAATATAAATTAATTAGGCAACGGTTGGAGGGACAACTTCTTGGTAGCAGATCTGAATTGGAAGCCTTAAAGGTAAGGTTTTATTTCACTGTAACAAAATTATTTATGTAATCAGACACATTTATGTATATTACTTTGTAACTTCAATGTAGACAAATAGAATGGTTTTGTTTGATATAGCAACGGTTGACAATTTCATTTTTACACCCACGTCAAGTACTGAAAATGATACTCTTTGATTATTATTACAATTAATAGGCATCATTGATTAGTATAGATAACACAACAGCGTTATCATTAATATTAAAGACATAATTTTTATTTATTAAGACGAACTTTATGCAATTTTTTAATATAATTCCTAGGTTTTAACTCAGATGGTATTTTGTCTCTTGTCAGATTCTGTGTAGCTAATCACTGTTTAATGGGTTTTCATTACGTATCTTATACAAAACCGTGATGGTCAAAGGCCAGACAATCGTTTCTTTTTTATTTGAGAATTACATTAATTAAATTTGTGAAAAATAAATTCAACATTTTTAGGAATATGCGTGAAGTTGATTTGATATTGTAGGAACCCTAATTTTTGGGTAAAATAATGTAGCGAACATTCCAGTAATTTCTATAGACAGCGCTAATGAAAGATGAATCATCGGCGATTAGGTACGAAGGCGGATGTGACGTACTTCTTCCTAGAAATTTGTGCGAGAGCCGAGAATATTCTGAAACAACCTTGACAACTTGAGAACATGGTAAGAACATTCTAGAAAGAATGTTTTTTACTATATAAGCAAAGCTTGGATTTTGAACTTGAAGTATTTTTTCACAAATTTAACAAAAGAAGAAATTACTTTAAGTGGCGGTATTAAAAAGGGGTTTTAGGTTGAAAGATGGAGTTTAATAGTTTGTTCTCTATAATTAAATGAGTAAGGTTTACTATGTGTTTGTGTGTTAACCCAGGTTGTGGGTGCATAAATAACTCTCGCCAGGAAAGATTGCCGGTCGCAGCATACCTTGTGTCGATTTACAATCTACGTTTTTCTTAAGATGCAAACGACTTCCGGAATGGGGTCGTGCCAATGTTGAACGAAAAGTCTTTCTGTTCAACATAGTATCCCGGAAGTCGCTCGCATCTTAAGATAAACATAGATTGTAAACCGGGATCAGGTGTTCTGTGACCGGCAATCTTTCCTGGCGAGATTTTTACAGAGGGTAACGTAAATTTAGTTACGTCGTTTATTTATTTACAAATAATTAACAATCATTTTACAACAGTCTTAAATAAGGTTAGCTTAAGTAAGTAATTATTATTTATCGCTCACTACTTATAACATAACAACTTGCATATTTTACAGTTTACAAAAGCAATAAATATATTCGATAAATTGTAATTGTTATGTGTACTTATGGCGCTAAAGACTCTAGAAGTAGATGCGCCAAATCAACTTTTTTTTAAAAAATCTCAAGTTGCGCGTCTTTCTAGAATGTTCTTGAGTGCTCAAGGAAGCTTCAGAATGTTCTCGAACAAACACGTCATATTTCTAGGAAAGATTACGTCACATCCGCCTTCATTCATTATCGCCGATGACTAATGTTTAATGGCGTCTAAATAAGTATACCGGGTTAAGTAAAAAAGTTATCGGACCTAACCACATTTTTTTAATGAAACACCCTGTATATTTTAATCTAAACAGCCAGCATATTAAATAGAGTTGGTCAACTGTAATGGCCTACTTGATTTTAAAAAATCAAAAGAAAACTAAAAATAAGTTTCACGCCAAGCAGGGCGGAATACCAAAATATGAAATTACAATTCGAAAATTTTTGGTCAAACATTCCTATTGTAAACACAATGCGGAGATATACTGTATATTGCTGCCAATGTAGTTTGATTACAATAAAATGTACAGGGTGTTGCATTTAAAAACAAAAAATTAAAGTCATTTCCGACAAACTGTTTTAACTGTTTTTCTTAAGATGCAAGCTACTTCCAGAAAAGGATCGTGCCAATTTTATTTTATTTTTTTATTTTTTTATTATACCTCTCTTGTTTTTGGGCCCTCAACAGGCATGCGCCCAATTACAGAGTGACCCGCATAATGCTATTTAGAGGTGCCTCTGCAGAAGGTCTTAAGATGGTCTATACTACTCCGGTATTTACCTTACGAATTAGGAAAACTGCAGGAAAACCTAATTCGGAGTAGCCGGTAGAATGCTCGGAACTGGCCTAAGGTAATTTCCATCTCCGCCACAGATGAAAAATTCACCTCAACCCAGGTTCGAACACCCGACCTTCGGATTTATAACCCAATGCTCTTACCACTGAGCCATAAATCCGATAACACCAATGTTGAACAAAAAGTCTTTCCGTTCAACATTGACACGATACTATCCCGGAAGTCCCTCACATCTTAAGAAAAACATAGAATGTAGACCAGGATCGGGTGTTCCGTGACCGGCAATCTTTCCTGGCGAGAGGTTTAGTAATGACTGACTGTTCCTAGAACATCCTTTTTCTGTTGTACTCTTTCACTACTATATTACATTATCCTACTTCTGTTTATAGGCACAAATTTCAAGTTGCGAAAAATGTTCTAATATACCAGCTGCAACCGACAGTACTCAACTCCAAGGGGACCAATCACAAAATCTTCCTACAAGCGATGTTGCAGCACTTATAGAACAAATTCGTGTACTCGAATTGGAATTGGCGCAGACAAAATTAGCTCAAGTTGAGGCTGAATGTAGAAACCAGGTAACTTTCTCATCCCAGGTCATTCAGTAAGAGGTTTGTCGCAGGATCTAACCCATCAAATTAGAGCAACAGAGGTGGAATTGAACGCGGCAAAAAATAGTTGGTCGCCTTGGCTGACTAAGACGTTAAGCTCTATCAAAGAGGCGGCGAACAAGAAGGACTTTACTCACTTTAGCTATCCACATTCCAATAACACTAGCAGCTCAACCCCTTCGTTTATTTCACACATAAATACCTTGAGGCGCGAAAGTGCGCCTGTAAAACATGATGTGTACGCAAATTGTGATATTAGAAGAGACTCTGTACCAGTCACTAAAGATTCTCAAAGTTGCAATAATCTTAAGTCGCATAATTAGTATATTAAATTTTTATCTGTTAATTCTGCACAGTGTTAATGGAAAGCGTGCTTTAAGCATTTTCGTCTTATGTACAAATTTTTCTTGTATGTTGCAGATTTCAGCTTTTGATAATCTTTCCTTCTATCTAGCGGAACTTTTGTATGCTTGTGTATGTTAATCACTAGCAATTGAATTTGTTACAATTAATGTACATTATATTCCTTATTTAATACTCACCATGATGTCAGTGGTGAGATACACACGGTGAGCATATTGTTTTTGTAGTACTTTAATCGCAGTATTTTTTATAACATATTACTGTGATGACATTAGGTGTTACACAGATCTTATTGCTCACTACGACTCTTCACATAGATCATAGCATCTTTCAACTTATTTGATGCTGATCTCTATTGTTTCAATATTCTTTACATATTTGATGAATTTATGTTGCCATATTTTTAACAATTTTGCTTTACATAACGGCAAATTAACATTCTAGTTATATTGGTGATATTTTTACTTAAGTGATTGAAATGCGCGTACCTTTAATATCTATTTAAAACAAGTTAACTAACGTATTGGTGGAAGTAATTTCCGTCCAAAATACACTTTTTTTCATAATATCACTATTTGCAATGTTTCAAAATTAGAAATAAATTATACCGTAAGTTCCACTAATCGCCATTTTGTACATATTTATTATGAATACTTGTTGTGAATGGCTTTTGTAAGACGAGTACATTTGTAGTTGTTCGTATATATGGTATAATTAGCACACTTAACCCAAATGATATTAGATTAGAAACTGTAATGTGCACATCTAAGAAATTACATACCTACTGTAGATTTTTATTTCTAATATACCTATTTAAATAAAACAAAGATTTTTATGCATGTATTTTAAGACAAAAGAGCTAATACAAATATCACAGTTGAATATTTTATTGGTACACAATCAATCAATAATTTAAAAACGACTTGCAATTCCACCACCTCTACTGTCTGAATGGGAATTTAGAACATCCCCAAATTTTTCAACTATATTACAACTATCATACGGTTCTTTTATATGTTCTACTCCACCATTTGTCAAATTTAATTTATTTACCACATCCACTGAATATGAGGGAGTATGTCCATCTGCAAACAAACAATTATTAATGTAAGAACCTAATTTCTTAAATTGGTGTGAAGGTGCGCCCTTTGCAACAACTTTATGTCCTTTAGTTTTTAAGTGAACGAAGTTTCAGTCTAGGCTGCTCTATCAACCCAACCGTAGCCTGCATGCTGGGTTACGTAAGAAGATGGGTAGGTAGAGTAGCCTTTGCTGAAACCCCAACTCCCTTAAAAATAAAGATCATTAAATAAAAATCAAAAGGTAGAAATGATTGCATGAAAGAAGACACATGTCCTTCTTGTTTCTCCATCCATCCCTTGACTGGAAGATTTTAAAATAGTAACATAATAACGTGAAAAGCATATGGTCGTGACAGTATAAATTTCGTGAGCTTTGTTCAAACTGTGCTACTACCAAGCTCATGAACTAGCTCTATCTTCTACTTTGCAAATTAAAAAAATAATAATTTTCTTACCTTCAACACCTATAGCTCCATTTTGCAAAATATGAAACCTAGGAGCCTCCACACTAATAGTTGCGTTTTCAGCATTTAGCAACAGTGCAGTAATAACTTGTGAGCCTACAACAATATCACTAACTCCCAACACAATTCGTCGCCCACATATAAAATTGCTGTCTGTGATGATGAGGGGTATCTGACTCAATTTTTCTGAATAATTTGCATCTGTAAAGTATCCACCAGGTGTTAAGTTCCCACTACCAAAAGGTCTCGACATTCCTCTGCAAAATATTGTGTTTGTTAACCGCAAAAAACTACGAATACTTACGTAACTACTGATACATAGAAGTCATCAAGATCCATAACGGCAACATTGGATGATGTTCCTTCATAATACTTCTCCATAGCATTTAATTTAGCGTAAGCCATTTTTGTTATCTGTGCCATTGTAGAAACATAGATGGGTTTAGCGACATCACCAGTTGTAAAATTTAAATGATCGATTTGTTGCAAGTTTAAGAGTAGTGTTGTGCCAATAACGGAGGAACCGGGCATAATAATGTTGTAATTCTTAAACTTTGAGATGACTGCAGATGATTGTAGTGGTTCATTTATATTAGAAACGTATTTATACAAATCTAAAAATAAGTGTTCTTAGTCAATCACCATTACAAATATATAAAATAATTTAAAAATTCAACAAACGCCCCCTAGCGGTCATACGATTAGAGATAGATGAATTGTGTTTACGCCAGTAATTTTCTCTTTAAAATTAAGCTCCAGACACCTAGGTCCATTTCTTTCTATCGCTTGAAATAAAGGGTGTTCCCATAAGAAAGTGTATAATTTGGACCACCCTCTATAAGTGTACAACAAAATTTGCAAGCTGTTAACAAGGTTCGACAATATATTATTATTATTATTATCACTTAAATACTATAGATACATACCAAATCTTGAACAATTCCCTACTTAAAATTACATGCGTACTTCATTATTACTATACTTTACAGTATAATTGTATTTATAATTAGCTCTAGGTTTTTGGCGTGATTCCAAAATTATTGATCCCCAAAAAACCAGACATACCTACCTTTTTCCTCAATACTTCCAATCGTAGTCAAGTAATCTCCCAATGAATTCAAAATTAATTTATTTCCGGCTTCAAGTGAGCCACTGAACCAATCTTTTGGTCCTTGATAGTTCAGAAACGATGAAGTTAGTGTGCGCGATACCAAAAAACCAGTCCTGTGTTAAATATTAAATTCAATATCAGACAAATAAGCGGCAACATACTTAGCAAGATCAGCAGATGGTTGTACAAGTTTCTTCCATGGTAATTTACTATATTTTTTGTGTATATAAGCCAGCCCAATTAATAAACGAGGAAACAATGTGATTTCGTGATTTAAAGTACTAAAATCGATACTAATTGGGGGTTCCCTTGTTCTGTGGTTGTAAAGTATCATCTGTCCACTTCTGCAAGAGTTTGTCAGTGATGACTATGATTTACCTACTAAAGATACATACGCATCCAAACCAGTAACGTGAGGGTTGACAACTGCCAAACAGAGAGTGCTTGCAATTACTGCATCGATAGCGTTCCCACCACTTTTCAGTGCTGAAGTGCCAATAGATGAACATTCCCTACTGTCTGTCGCGACACTACCATGTGGTGCTACCTACATATTGCCATACTATAAAAAATATCACATAGTAAACTGCATTACCTGGTAATCACCATAATATATTTGCACCAATAGAGCCACTGTAATTACAACACTAAGAACTGCAAAGGAGATGTTTATAAATCGAGATCCCCCAAAGGTCTCTTCATCGCATGAACACCATCCGCTTGATTTTGAACCTTGTTTTAAAGGTATATCTTCCCTCACTTCACCAGCTGAAACTGAAAACATTCATTTCTATCCGAGTTTCTATCTATCAGTTACATGTTTAATTTCTGTATAAGTATATAATAGCACATACAATTTCATTTAGCTTATTAAAGTGAGTGGAAGGACTGAATTTTACAATTTTCATTTCCTTATAATTATTCGAAAATGTTGATTAGAGGTACCTACTAGGGGATTTCATTATGGTTCATTTCACATTTGGTCCTATGCCCATATATAGTGGAGGGAATTAATAAAGCAACATTGAAGGAAACTACCCACTTATTAAAAGGCAGTAAATTACCTATATGTCACAGATATACGTAAAACATATATACTTATCTGTGCCTATGTTAAAGTCTCTATACACAATAGACATTTTCTTTGAAAATTACAAATCTTTTAAACAAAACCATCAGACCAATGAGCACAAGTGCAGTAGAAGACGACAAATGCTGAACAAAAGAGCAATCCCTCCTCCCTATAACCATAGGATAATACTAACTTATATTTGCTATGACCTGCCCTACCTATTCAAATAGTGCTAAGTGCTTATACATTATACCATATTAGCACAATGTGGCCATAGGTGGCGTCTTGACAAAAAAAAACAATATGTTCAAAACCTGGACTGTCATTGAGTGAGTGTCATCATTCAGTACAATTGTTTTTAATATCTTGTCCAACCAGAATGAAAATCAGCTTATTTAGGTACTAGTCAAAACTGTTGAATAGAAATCATTCTTAATTTTCCGTTTCCTATTAAGGAAAAAAAAGCAAATTTTCGGGGATGATTTTTCCACTCGTACGTCAATGGTTGCCAAAAAAGACCTGTCAATTCGAGCATATGACACATCACACACGCACTCGCCAAAAAATAGAAAATGGAACGACTAACGCTTTTGAGCAGTCGCATTAATGACTGTCGCCCCAACCTCTCTAAAATGTAATTAAAATTAAATTTCTCAATTACCAGAGTCTCCAATAGTTGCCATTTCAATTAATTAACAACACCGCATTTTAATACTGAAACACCGAATAGTGTGTGGCATTTTTTTTAAGCAACTTAACTGTATTTTATACCATATGTGTTAGGTGAGAAAGAGAACAACGTTCTCCTTTTTATATTTAGCGTATGACTCATTTCGTTTACAAAAGGTAACTGGAAAAATTCAAGTTACGAACATAAACCGCTACCTGCAGTCTACAGTCGATCTGCAACCAGCAAAACACAAAATCGTGTTCCTGATACGATATATAAATTGTAAATAATCTTCCATACCATTGAATAAAAAATTTTTATTCAATGTCCATACACAAACCTACCGGCCCTACTGCAGGTTTATAGCAATGCGATTTTTGGTTTTAGTATGCCTATATAGTGAAATCGTGAATTATGCCGGATATAAAAAGGTATTTAATTAGAATAATTTGAACTATATAGCTATTAGGTTTATTTACCTGGAACTATGTAGATATTGATAACGTGTCCCTTCTAGTTTTAAGAAATGGTCAGTAGCCGCCGCTATGTTGATTTATCCGGTGACCGCTAGATCCGATTGTTTTCAAATTGGTGTCGTCGGAAAGACTCCTGCGTGGCGGAATTTTGTTTTTTTTTGCAAAGGACGAAATTAACCATTGCAAGGCTCGCGTCTTCGAGGGGTAGTGGACTTTGAGCGCCCTACCATTGTATATTTGCTCTACTAATCGCGGTGTATCTTTCTCGTGTGGCAAATAGAATATCGAAGCACTATGTTGTGACGGGATTTTAGCGAACAGGACGTCGGAGGTGGGTACCGACAAAGGGAATATGGTAACCCCCAACGCCCTATGAGATCTTGCTGATGGTGGAGTCAAAACTTCAAACGCGAATTGCGGGTGAACGGGACGTCGGAGGTGGGTTCCTTGAAACCACTTAAAAACTGTTTTTCTAAGCTCGGTTACTTTCAACGCTAATTTAAATGGCTTTAGCTCAAAGGCCGCTATTCGAATCTTTCGCATTGATTCTCCAAACACGAATACCAGAATCTGTTCTGACCGGATTTACCACCAAAACGAGAATCTTTTCTGGTCAGGTTGACTACACAAACCAGAATCTTCTTCAACAGACGGCGGATTTATAAAAGTTGGAATCAAAACAGTTGTGCCACGCTATGATAAGTGCCTCAATTTGAATGACGCTTGTGTTGATAAATAGCCCAAGAGTGTAGCCCCCAAAGGTATATAATAATAGATTTTCTTTACAAGGTTAAAATTTTTTATTTCAAAACGTCTGCTACTTTCTGGATAACCCTCGTATAAGAATTCCGATTGGAACTCAATATTACCATTGAATAATAAATCTTATTATTCAATGATATTACTATAAACAGCACCATCCTGAATATTCAAGGATTTTCCAGTAACTCGTCCCTGTATTTCCTTACATCAATAGAAATAATATAAAATAAAAAATAAAAAGGTATAGGCATTTGATCGATCAACATATTTATGCAATACTTACTAAAATGAATCTACCAATGCGGATTCGCAGTATTCATCGACATTGGTCCACTACTCAGACCTGAATACTTAGATACACACTTACCGCAAATGCCTATAGAAATATTTTCCTTATTTGCATGCAGGAAGCTTTTACAGTGTGGTAGCATTTGAAACAATAAAACAATAGCCACGGTTTGTTGAATCAACATGACCCTATTCCACTGCCCGGCGATTCTTTAGAAGCAACACAAAAATGGTCATACCCAATTCGATTATAGTACTTATTCTTTTGGAAGTCATTAACACATCTTAATCACGATTTTTTATTATGGAGCATCTGCATAATTATCACAACGTACAAAAGTAATAAACATGTTTCAAACTTAAATTGTAAAGTATTACGATAAAAGGAAGAAATCGGTGCAATTTTTTTAAGTCTTTCTTTTGCCTAAAATGGTTTCTTCCTGAAACACTATGCGCAAGAAACATAAAGTTAAAAACAGAAACATAAAAACACCAAACGAAAGCACACGGCACACTGATCTACAAAATTAATCTTTAACTAACTTATGCTGATGCGCCTGAAGTACTGCCAAAGCTTCATCTACTTTGGCCCTCAATGATTCTTGATCATCAATCATGTTGAGCAGTTCGGAAGCGTCGATTTCCAGCAACATACCTGTGATTTTTCCTGCAAGTTCGGGATAAATGGTCCCTACAAATGAAAATAAGCGTTCGCCGATAACTTGTTTCTGGTCTAGTGGAGGCGGGGAAGATGCCAGACTGTTGATATTCAACGGAATGCTGTCACCAACATTGTTCATACTGGCTGCAGTTGGACGAGTGACGTTGCTGGGACCGTTGGCCGTGTATTTGCTGTTGGGGCGGGAGTGCGCAATTGCTTGCTGACCGGTAATTGGCCTTGCAAGGACGGAGTTGCGATTACTGTTGTTTGGAATTGAAGGTCTGGAGGTTACCCTGAACGGACACGAAGCGGCATAAGTTCCATTAGGACGAATCGGAGCTGCGGAAGCCCAGCGGGGAGCTGCTCTTATGTGGTTAATCGTATTGTAAAATCTTGATCCATGAGAGATGGTGGGAAGAACGTAAGGTAAATTAGGGGGTCCATACGGAATGTTTTGCTGCATGCGATAACGTTGGTAATATTGTGATGCTAAGTATGCCTTTCTGTCTTCCTTTCTTTGAGCCAGTGCCACGTAGAGCGGTTTGGAAGCTATCATTCTACCGTTCATTTCCGTAACAGCTTTCGTTGCTTCTTCCGAAGACGTGTAGCACACAAACCCAAATCCTTTACTACGACCGTCTTCCATCATGACCTTCGCAGAAGTGATAGTTCCAAATTGGGAAAATTCTTTTCTAATACGATCATCATCTATGAAATCATCCAAGTTCTTAATAAAGAGGTTGACTCCGTGGCATTGGCTGTACCTTTCGCTTTTTAGTTGTTCATACTGGCGCTTTAACTCTCTTTGGCGGTCCGATTTTTTCTGGGCTCGTGTTACGTATAAAGATTGGTCATCAACTTCTTTTCCGTTCATCTCATTTACAGCATTGACTGCAGATGTAGGGTTATCGAACGCTACAAAACCAAAGCATTTAGAAACACCGTCGGAAGTTTTCATGACTACACAACTCGTTATATTACCAAATTTTGAAAACATTTCATGGAGTTCGTTGTCAGTGACGTCATTTTTAAAATTCTTGACGTACACGTTAGTAAACATATTTGCTTTTTCGCCAAGTTGCTTTTCACGTTCCGCGCGTGGTATAAATTTACCAACGTATACCTTTTTCCCATTCAACAGCATTCCGTTTACCTTTTCGATGGCCTTTTTAGCAATTTCTTCATTTTCGAAATGTACAAATCCATATCCCTTTGACCAGCCGCGATCGTCAACCGCCACTTTACAGCTTAGGATATTTCCAAAAGCAGAAAAGGTATCGTATAACGACTTGTTATCGATACTTTTGTCCAAATTCTTGATAAATACATTGCCCAAACCGGACTTACGAAGTGAGGGATCTCTTTGTGACCACATAATACGTATAGGTTTACCTTTCAGAAGATCAAAGTTCATTGTATCCAAAGCGCGTTCGGCATCATTTGAATTATTGAAATTCACGTACGCATATCCCAAAGATCTTCGAGTGTTTGTATCTCTACAGAGTCGTAAGGAAAGCAGCGGGCCGGCGGTGGAAAACTTTTCGTATAAGATTCCTTCAGTTACGTCCGGATGCAAATCACCTACGTAGAGCGACGATATAGGAAAAATACTATGTGAAAGATTCATTGTTGCGGTTAATTACTGACTTTGAACTTATTTAATATGCAGACAATTTTCTAATGTTCAATAATACACTGGCACTTAAAAAAAGATCACTTTGGACTTAATTGATGATTTTTAAATGTGCATGGTACAATCAAATAATTTGTTTGGTGTGTACCCATAACAATAAAACAATATCCAATCGCCTTCTTAGATATACAGATTTTTTAGCTGTATCCGTAAATTGAGTTACGGAATTTTTATTTATGAAGCGCTCTCTTTTTAATTTAATATCCTTCTTGCAAAATAAAAAAGGACACATTCATACTCATAATCGCGATACAATTTGGTTTTTAATTGCAGTGTGTATATAACCGTAAATTAAGTAGCGCATGCGCAGGAGTCTTCGCATCCCTGCCAATGACGATATCGTATTTCTTTATTTAAATTCATCTTTCCCGATCCCCCCGTTTGGGTCGTATGTGTTCAGATTTTGATAATAGTCTGAGAATAAAATCACGATATCCTAATAATACTTTAAGTTGTATATTGTAGTAATTAGTAAACGCCTAGAATTTCGACTGTTCTGGGAAGGCTTCGAATGTTTTGGAAATTCGTATCAAAGCTCGCCTGCCCAAAATATTTCTGCTACATTCTACCGCTTTCCCAGAACTCTCCTGGCTATAGGAGTCGGAATACAGTTCCTAATGGGGTTCAAATAAATATTTTTGAAACAATGTGTAAAACTGGTACAGAGCTGACGGATTCCAATGCCTTCGTGCTTGGTTGGTGAGGTACTGTGACACAATTCGTTCTCAGTTAATGAAATGTTTAAAAGAGCTGTCAAGGATGTGCGAAGAGTGCTGTCAAATAGCTTCAAGGTGTCGACGTTTTTCCAAATGGCACACGTCCGAGAAAAGTACGTCAGTTTAAGAATCAGCAAGCAAGTCGGAGAAGAAAATAAACTATATGAGTGTTAACTCCCTGAATAGCTTGTTGATTTTTGTCGAATGATTTATCGTAGCATTTCTCGTAAATGAAGAAGCCAAGGTCGTTTGTTGTGGCTGTCCGTATTCCCGGACAAATCTCTTGAAACCGTTTGACAATGGTTGGGTCCGCAGGTCTTGAACAAAAGAAGAGTTCGTATTTATAGGTGTTAACTTTTAGGCCCCTGCTAAAAGAGAGCAGCTTCTTAAAGACAGAAAGCACTGTGGTTGGGAGTCTCCCGAGAGTTGCGTCCTCCAAGTAGGTACCATACGTTGAATTCTGAATCCATTTCCGTTATGATAGGTTGGACTGCAAGAGTGAAGCCTAAAGGTCCACATGGGTCACCTTGTTGAGCACCGCGCTGAGAAAATATCGATCTTGAGTGGACTTTTCCATAACTAGAAGTGTGGTTATCTGATAAACGTGCGGACAGATGTGAACCGCGCTCTCGCATTCGCGTTTTGTTACCACTCTCACTTGATATGGGTAAAGGTGTCCCAAAATTTTCTCTTTGATTTTGAAGCAGGCAACCATACCTTGATTTAAATTCGTGCGTTCTTTCTTAAAACGTGATCCTACGAATCACGATCGTGAAATCATGATCGCGAAGTAGCCGAAAGAAAGCGCCTGTGTTCCCAAGTTTTAGAGGGGTACAAATTTGGAGCACCTTGTGTAAGTAGCAATTGTTTAGAATCATGTGTTCTGTGGTAGTTCTGTGGCTCTTTGCTCTTGAATCTAAACTTGAAATATTGAGGTTAGGAAGGAGAAAACGTGGACATAATAATAAACAAATAATACACACTTTATTATTCTAAAAAATGGGCAAAAAGCGAAAATTAAGAGACGAGAAGGATAGCAATGAATACGATCCAACTCCAAAACAATTCGTCACATCTCACATTAAAAATCAAGAGAAACGGTTAATTATAATTTTAGAGGAAGCACAATTAGAAAGTGTTAAGGTTTGCTCAATTGATCATTGGCTATAACCACGTACTTAGCAGTATTTCATTACAGGTTGGGAATACGTTTGACTTACTCAATTCAGACGACCATGCTCATATATTAAAAAAAAATAATCGTGAACCTGGATCGTGCCGACCGGACATCACCCACCAATGTTTACTAATGTTACTAGATAGCCCATTAAATAGAGCGGGATTATTACAAGTTTACATCCACACTAGCAACAATATCTTAATAGAAATTAATCCTCAAACTAGAATACCGCGGACCTTTAAAAGGTTTGCTGGTTTAATGGGTAAGGCTATACAGAACCGAAATGATTATAACAATGAATGTTGCAATTTTTAGTACAATTACTACATAAGTTTTCTGTAAGGGCTAGCGATGGAAGCTTAAAATTGCTGAAAGTTATCAAAAATCCGATTACAAATCATCTCCCAGTTGGTGTGAAAAAGTTAGCAACTTCTTTTTCGGCTAAACAAGTTGTTAAATGTAGGGAATTGGTTCCTGAAAATGATGAACCCATAGTCGTCGTGGTGGGAGCGATGGCGCATGGGAATTTGAAAACCGATTATACAGAAGATACCATATCTATAAGCAATTATCCTCTTTCTGCGGCATTAACTTGCACTAAGTTATGTTCTGCATTTGAAGAAGCGTGGAATGTTATTTAAAATACATTTTATTATGCAATGTGGAAAATAGAAAATTTAATAAATCTTTTTTTGAATTGTTTGTTTATATTTATGTTGTATTTGGTTGATTGCTAATCCAATCAGATTGTCTTTTTACACAAAAAAAAGTTACCATTGTTTTACCATTGATTATATGTTCAATATTTCTATATTGTATAATTTCCTAATTTTAAGAGCATTTTTGCTGGCAAAACGGCACTTTACTAACTGTATGTTGTTTGAGAGTCCTTTATAAAATTGCTCGAGATATTAGGAACAGAATATCATTGAGACCTTTTCACTACGATTGTTGATAAGTTAATGAGTTTCCCTACGTATTTTCACCAAATGACTCATTTATGCATTGCTTAGTTTAGAGATGGCACAATCGTCCAACATTTTTTAATTCATATTTTATTTCCCATAACATGGATAATTTTTTTTCATTTGAGTTGAGAGAGACAAAATACTTTGAATATTTTTTGATATGAATTGCATTCAACCAAAAGAAGACCTCACCTTCCAAAAAAATTATTTGAAGAACTTGAAAATTTCTCTTAAGTAGTGTTCAGCAATTAAATGATCAAGAATATTTTCAATGAACAAGAAATAAATATTAATGTAGACCAATCTCGATTTTATACTTGCGTGAATTCCGTCTATCCGCAGGGTTTCAATCTCCGTAGAAGAACGCTGGTATAGGTATAGAAAGACAAGGACGAGTGTACATGTACTTACAGGGGCTGGGTAATTAACAACTTTAAGGATGAGATTACGTTTTGTGGGGTCAGCGACATCTGGGAGCCATCCCCGAGCGTGTTATACTATCACGTGGTGATTTTTTAATTTTTTCTTTTACAGTTATTTGGTCCGATATTTTTCAAATTGGTGTCTTCGGAAAAATCTTGTAAAGGCGCACAACTCTTGCATGAAATATCTTTTGCTGCGAATATTGTCACGCGATATAAAAGTTTCTTAGAGCTCGAAACGCGATCTCTCTTTCTCGTGTCCCTACTAGAAGCCCGGGCTATGGAGAAGTGCCCCAAAAATTGAGTATTATTTTGTGGAGGGTTTTTTAGCAAAATCCACCAAAATACCGAATTGCGGGTGAACGGGACGTCGGGACGTCGGAAGTGGGTACAAAGGGAATGTGGTAGCCCCTAAGAATAAGATATTACTGATGGTGAGATGGAGTTAAAACTTCAAACGCGAATTGCGGTTGAACGGGACGTTGGGAGCGCGCGGGTACCGACAAAGGGAATCTGGTAGGTTTCAACACGCAGAGTGAGCAAAAAGAGAACAGATGTTGAATAAGTTTGCATTTCTCATTTATGTTTTAGCAGCCCTAGCTATGAAGCTTCTACTGCTTGTGACTTGTCTGTTGTTGTCTTGTTGTCCTCCTTATGGAGGGGGGGAGGGGGTAGGGTGCTTGCGCTTTTCCGTTTTCAATCACCAGTTAATGGTTTTGTAGGTATGGTATCCATCAAGCTGCGTACCACCCATGCTGACGCGGTTGGTGATGCCTGGATGGTTGGAGACGAAGTAGGGTGCTATCGTGCGGTCTACTGCTTCCAGTGCGGTGGAGTTTATCTTTGAAACATACGCCTTGGTTTGGATTTCGAGATACTTGATGGTGCCTGTCCCATTCCAGTCGTTCTCCGCCCATCCGTATAGTAACTTCGTAAACTCAGTCGTCTTGCGATATTGGTGAAAATTATATAGCCTGGGTCTTCGATGTGTTTATTTCAACGATGCTTGTTCAACGTACGTAGAGTTTATTGGTCTATGGTCGTCTGTACTCTTGTTGTTTCTGCGAAACCTGTATACTGTTCAGGCCTTTGGGTGCGCAGCTTCGTCAGCAGTACCTACTCTTTCGAAAATTTTCCCCAAGGCTGGTAGGAGAAATATGGGTCGATATAGGTCTGGGGTTCGGCTAGCTAGAGGTTTTACGGGCTTCGGTAGCATTATCACAATCGCCTTCTTACGGCTTGTTGGGAAAGTGTCTAAGGATATCACAGCATTAAAAACTCTCGTGATGTAGATGAGGATATCTTAGACTAATTGACTGTATAGAATAATCCAGTCAATATTTAATACCTACTTCCCTCGAAAATTACACCTAGGTACTTACTATTTTTTTAACGGATCATTCTGTATAATTTTTATTTTTGAATAGGTACGCAATAAAAAAATGTTTAATAACGAATTAAATTTCCGCTTTAATGAAAAATAAAAAAAAATAGGTAACACACTCAGTAAGACAAAATCATACAAGCCCTAAAAATGAAACATTTGTAGCAAATGCTCATAATGTTCTCCCTTTAGAATTTGGGATTTTCATGAAAGCATATATTTCTTCGTTTCATTTTTAGAGCCTGTTATTTTGTCTTAGTGATTTTTTGTGTTTTTTCTTTGTATTTTTTATCGTATAGTAGTTTTCTATAGCTATTGGTTATTCAAAAATAGGAAAACGTATAAGATGTACGATTAAAGAAACAGATAAGATAAGAGCTATTGTATCATATGGGAATCTCCAAACCATAGAAAATAGGACGATGGTCAAATTAAAGAGTTATTATCATGCTTTAAAGAAAACCAGAAAATACCGATTACTTCGAAACATAAGCCAGAATCCAGAAAAATCGAAATTTACAGATTTGGTTTTTATTTTTTTCTGATGTTATGATACAAAAAAAAACACTTTCTCATTACTACTTCTTGAACTCTATAAGACACCTTGAGAGATTTTTAATACAACGTTTCGTTTCGGAGAAACAATCATCAACTTTATTGTCTTTATTATGCGACCCGTAAAAAAGTACACGCCGTTATGAGTAGCATTTTGTTATTACAAATACCTACAATGATATACAGCATACAAAAAAAAGTTGCAGACTGTTGGTTTCTACTGGATGGGGTGCACCCACACACAATGTTCTAATCGTGCGATTGCCCATTTTCCTGGAAATGTGTCTGATAGGTATTCTAGCATCCTCTTACCTGTATAGTTTAAAACACAATGTAATCGGTATTTCATACCCGAGAGAAGGGAAAAATTTTGCAACAGAGACACAAGACAAGCCCCACTCGTTTAGTCCAGAGGATGATATGATAATTTGTAAATTGGCGCCATTAATGTGATTTATTTCGTAACTGTTCGGCCCTTATCGTTGTTAGAAAATAAACAAAATGGAAGGGGACAAATTCTCCCACTTCAATTCAAAGACTAACCACCCAACCCAATCTATTTTACAAGTTTATGGCGTATTTTCCAATGATCCATACTTATAATTTTGGTTCCTCACGGTTCATTTTGCAAAAAAAAATAAGGAAAGACAAGAGTATCAAAATTGTATTTATTCGTAATTACAAAATGAGTGTATAGTTTGCTGTTTTTTTCCGATTCCCATTTTAGGATATAATTTTGCATTTCTGTTTAAAACCCGCACGGTAAAAATGAACTTTTATTTATTCGAATTTTCCCAAAAGTGTAAAACAAATAATGAAATTAGTTGTTGAAATGTTTCAAGTAGTTATCTTTATATTGACAAAAAGCAGCCATTTGTATGACCTCGCCTCTAATTCCAGGAAAATCGGCTTTGATCGAATTTCTCTAAGAACCCAAACGTATCCCATAACATTTTCATTATAATTAGAATTGAAAAATATGCAATTTTCGCGTTCTTTTCGAATTTTGCGTCGATGATTAAGGCGAAATGTCAAATTTCCAATATCAAGGTGCCAGTCGAGCGACCACACGGCAGCCATCACAGCGGTTATGTACAAAGCTTGGCAGCGGGTTTGTGGTAAGTGCAAAGTGTGTAGTGATACTCCGTATTTTATAGCATTTTGAGGATATTAAGAGGACTAAAAATACAGGTAAAATTTCACGATTGTTGTGAAATGTTTATTACTTAGATTATATATTGGATTGATACGGGGAAACCGACTTATATTGTAAATAAGTAAAAATGAGCTCGGCTTTTGCCCCAAAGCATTGAGTGTTCACCCGCCATGTTGTATGAGTGCTCCGGGTGCAAATTATTGTAGTATTCATGCTATTTTACTTAAAAAAAATGCTTTTTTTTGGTGTATTTATATCGTATTTTCTCTCTGATTTAGATTATTAAGTAGTTTTCCCGCGTTCGAAACGTCAAAACTATTCCAGCAATCGTGTGCACTTAGACCGTTGTCTAAATACGCTAAGTTTCCAAAGCGCGGTCCATCCAAGGATTTCTCCAATATTCTTCATGTAAATTTGCCAAAATAACATGTATTACTCGATGAGTTTGTATGATTGTACCAATAAAATCCTTTGCCTTTCTAATAAAGCTACTTCAAATTCATTTTATTGTATTATTTTAAGGTCCTATACGAGCAGCCTCGATTCGATTGCAATACAAAATGTAAGAGTTTTCAATTTTTAACAACTTCAGCGTACTATGCTGTCATTTCACGAAAACCGATCTTGTAGTTTTTCACTATTCTGTTTATTGTGCAATCATTAGAGTAAGGGCCAGTGTGCACAATTTTATTAAATGTTGTGTACCTTAATTTTTACTTGTAATCTGTGAATTTATTAGTGTGCTAGATTGGAAGCATTGGACGTTTTTAAATGGTAACATGATTTCAGATGCATCGAACGATGGGCGAAGGTATATTTTAAAATGCTTGAACAAAGCATTTATGCGATGCAGCAGTTTTCTCGAAGAATCAGCTGACTACTAGGCTGAGGATTTGGTTAGTTTTGACTTTTACTAAACTGGTAAGGACCCGAAAATATTCTGCAAATGATCCAATTAACTTACTTTTTAGCATCAACATGCAACAAGTTGAAACGCCAACAGCTAACAACATTGTAAGTTACGTTATTAAAATTTAAGTAGCATCTTAGAAAAAACACATAGTTAAAAGTCCGACGGCATATACTTTCATGTTCCTTGCTGTAATGGGAGTTTTTAACAACCTGTTATGTTACTTATTATTTACAAGAAGAAGCTGCTATTGAATCTTTTATTATATAACAAATTACTAACTAATGTCAAGTATTCAAATCGAGTTAACACAACATATCCTTTTATCCATTTATTAATGGCACATTTCGAGTATTTATTTGATTGTTACAAAAATCGAGTTTTGCTGTAGATAGGTACTTCATTTTGTCCTGCACGTCCTCAGCGCAATTACAAATGGAGGTATTTGCATCTATAACCTGCTTTACCAAACTGAATGTTGTGGTAAGGTGCGGCGCCCACCAAATGGAATCTATTTCTTTGATAAACTAGACTTGAAAAAAATTCCAATAACTCAAAAACCGCCTGATATAGACATACAGAATCTTATAAAAAAGAAATTCGAATTTGAGGGCCAAAAAAATTCAAAAAATGCCAATAAGTTAAAAACTGCCGGATATAGGCCGATATAGGCATACAGAATGTGACCCTAAAATTCAAATCTACATTCATTTCTGGCATCAGAAATAGTAGTTGCATTTTGAAAATCTGGAGCTTTTGACATTTTTTTTTATTCCTAATTTTAAAAAATCGCAGAAGCCCTGAAAACTTTCAAGACTCAGTGGTCGCTCCCAAAATTCCTTAGCCTTTAAGGATTTGATTATAAAAAAAGCACTCGTTTCTTTTGAACGGTTTAAGAGATATGAATTTTTGAATGGACCCTTGCATCTTCAAATTTTGCCCACATCGTGGTATGGGCAAGTAAACGAAGTCCACAATGTGAAAATGGTGGGTATTGTTAAAAAATCACTTTTGCATGCAAAGTAAAATACCTGTAAGATATTCTTACGTATGAATTGATAAATTTTGGTGTATTAGGAAAGTGATTGGCGAATTTGACTTATTTACTTGAAAAAAAAACATTTTTGTTGTAACAAAACTACTTATAACTTATAGTTATAAGTATTATGGGACATTCTAGCATGTAAGCGATCTATGCTTACAGGAACATTTGTTGTTATACAAAATCTCTTGCTATTACACCGAAGGAAATCTTGATCTGATCCTTTTGCTGACAAATTTGCAGCAGTTCTCAAGAGTAGTTTCTAGGCACTAGCAATGTTACAAATGTAACACCCTGTTTATATTAACGTTAATTTTAGCCATGAATCAAAAATAAAAACTTTATTTTTTACAGTTTTTAAATAGGTTATGAATTTATCGAGCTTTTTTTGTTTATTGTATCTATGCCAGCCGATACCAGTCAATAAAAATGGCCGACGGTGGAAACATGCCATTTCAAAATTTTGAAAAATATGATAATATATAATTATGAATATAAAAAAATATAGGTTGTGATACACCAATGTGATCAGGAAAACGAATGCAAAAAATTGACATTAAGATAAAATACGTGTTGCATTTAAAAAATACCAATATTGGGCCAAATTTCAGAAAGGGTTGTCCAAAAAAATTTGTTAACTATGCCATTGGATTCTACGCAAAAATATCTAAAACAAACAGTTTTTATCTTTTTGTCTTACATGGGTAGTAAGATATGAAAAGGATAACATCCCAAAAAGTCAAACTTTTCGCATTTACCCTGTGCGTCAGAAACAAACGTAGCCTAGATTGATTCTGTTTGTGGTATTAAAAGTTTCACGCAGGTCTCCATTTTTAAAAACACTAAAATATACTGCAGTCTCAACATATACATATCTGATATCAGCAATCCATTTTTGTTGAATCAATTTGATCAATTTTGATGAAATTTTCAGAACAGTTGTATTTGTTTCGAAATAAGAACATTTGAACATCATGCAAATTAAAGTAACACTAATAATAATAATGCTTTTATGGCCTTTCCTTCGCTGGATCTAACATGTATGGATTATGATGGGTTGGAGGCAAAATGCTTTACAACCACCTGTAAACACTTGTAAACAGTTTAGAGTCATCATCATATATCTTCATATGATCATCGTCCTTTAGAATCTTAGAACAGTGTATTACAGGGTAGGATCGATTCACTCATTTTCAGTATGCTCACTTGAGTAGCTGAATGCGCAAGAATCGATGGAATGATCTACACATTACTGTTGTTCGAATTTGTTGTATTTGTATCATGTTTTCCTTGTTTCTTATTTCGAAATAAATACAATTTTCCTGAAAATTTCATCAAAATTGAAAATTGGGCGTTCAGGTACTTATGGCGGGCAGTATAGATAAACATAAATGAAGAATTATCAATTTTTTAACCAACATGCGTGTAAATGTTTAGAAAGGGACCTGCATGCAACAAGTGGCCATCGTATATGAGAGCCAAATACGAATAAAAGAATTTTTAAACCAATTAAGGAAAGTGACTTTCCATCTGTACGACAAGCTGTTCCTGGAAACTACTATTTTTTTTTTGGTAGCAATGAGTCCCTTGTTTTTGCTGTTAAATATAATCAAAGATGATGATTTGGTTCTAATTTTGTGCCAATGGTGGCTCTGACTAATGTAAGTTTTATAATTTTTTATCATTTATTTCTTTTTGTATATGGTTTGAGGCACAAAAATATTCAGCATTCCCAAATTTCACATTGAAATGTCGAAATTGCGGAAAATAGACACTTGACATTTAGAAAGTAGGTTTTTTTTAAGGCTTGAAGGTGCACTTCCCGAAATTCCCAGGGGAACGGCGAAGAACTGAATTAAGACGGAGGGTAATGTTTGTGCATGTATACGAACTCACTGTTTATAAAAAGAAAGTACTACCCATTTAAAGTAAAATGGTTGTTTCTGGTTTTGCGTACAGTTTTTGAAATACCCTGTAGAATATGGCCACTTTTCACAGGATCACAGACAGTGTGTAAGCGTATACTAATCACCTACAAAAGATTTAGAGTATATCATTTTAAATTATTCAGATGTTTTTGTAGACATAATTATGCGAACAGCATTTTGGAAAATATTAAATTTTTGAAAAACAAGTTTTTGTATACATGATGATGCTTAACAAAAGGTATAAGACATTTGTAGCACATTCTGTTATAGTAATAAAATATAGAGTGTTCCATTTTAAAATAAGAAAGTTACAAACTCGCACCACTCAATGGAAAACTGTGCAGACCTAGACATGAAATAATATTATGTCGGAATTCTACTTGTGTGCTTTGTTTTATGGTAGTAGCATACAAATTAATTTTTAGTTATTTTACAAGGAACCTCCACCACGGGTAGAGCAACAGGTCGACCCCGTGAATGGAGTAGTTCAACCTCCGGTCCATCCCCCTCCAAGTAGACCGGGGCGAAATACTAACCAGTTGCAATTCTTATTTAAAACTGTCTACTCTGCTGTTTGGAAACATCGATTTTCATGGCCATTTCGTCAACCTGTCGATGCAATGAGACTTAACTTACCAGTAAGTATAAGTATAAATGGAAGGTACGATTATTTTGAGAGTTTTCTTTTAGGACTACCATAGAATAATTAGATATCCCATGGATTTAACTACGATCAGGAAACGATTAGAAAACTGTTATTATTGGTCCGGAAAAGAATGCATACAAGATTTTAATACGATGTTTACGAATTGTTACGTTTATAATAAACCAGGGGAGGACGTGGTGGTCATGGCGCAGGTGTTAGAAAAAGTCTTTCTTACAAAAGTAGCCGACATGCCTAAGGAGGAACACGTAATTGATGCTCAGTCAAAAGGAATCAAAGGTAAAAAAGGTAGAACAAGTACACCAGGTGTTGTAGGGGTGAGCGCGGGTCGTGGACGCCCCCCTGCAGTATCTTCCACTGTATCAACTACACCCGTCGCCACATCTACCGGTATGATGCAATTAGATTTTGCTTTTAATGTACATTCGTTTTATTAACAGGATCCACTGGACTTCCTCTAGTACCACAAGTTGCACCTATCGTTCCTGGTGTACCCACAACAATTGCTCCACCGCCGCCAGTAACTCACAGTAACTTACCACAGCAACTAGTTCAACCCAGTATAGGCTATCATGTGGCACAACCTTTATCAAATCCGTTAGAACCACCTAATTTAACACCTAATGTATTACCTGGAAATGTTATGCCACCTGCACAACCAGCAAAGGTAATATATTTCATCTTGGCCTGTAATTTTATACTTAGTATGAATTTGTTTCCGAGGTTCTCTAGAGAGTTGGCCTTGGCCAAAATTATATCATACACAAACAAATACAGGAAGCAAAATCTAGTTCCCTGCTTAAATGTAATGCAAAAAAAAAACTAATTAAAAAAAAGACGTTGGCAAATAATGGTAATAAAGCGACTGGTGTTAATTAAAGTAAATAAAAGTAATTTTGGATTTGTTCATGTTCGAAAAAAATCGGTTTTGTTTCACCCCTACTTAGGAGTAGGTCACATCTGACAATGTAGGTCCTTTTGCTAAATCAAACAGTAAAGGCTGCTCTGTTCATTTAAAAAACTCCATTTCTTTCGGAAATTACTCATTGGTATACCATGGAACTACTCATGTGCATTTGGTTTTACTTGCATGTAATTTTAGTAGAATAAACTAGACTTGCTCAATTTAAATTTAGTGTTTACGTTTCTATTTTAGGTCAAAAAAGGCGTAAAGAGAAAGGCTGATACAACAACCCCGTCAGCAACTTCGTATGATTATAATGCGTCATTGGAGTCCAAATCGGCAAAGATCTCAACGAGGCGTGAATCTGGGCGCCAAATAAAAAAACCAGTCAGGCCAGATCTAGATGGATTAGTACCTTATAATCAAGCGAGCATTTCACCTCTTATGACAAATATGAACGCAGTTCCGCCAACACACCCTTCTCACAAGTCAAAAGAGAAACTTTCGGAAGCTTTAAAATCCTGCAATGAAATTTTGAAGGAGCTGTTTACTAAAAAACATTCGGTAAGCAACATATTGGATGTTATTCATTGCAATTTGTATTTACCAGTGAATGACAATAAACTAACTTCAGCCATTGCTTCTTTCAGAGTTATGCGTGGCCATTTTACAAACCGGTTGACGCAGAACTATTAGGCTTACATGATTACCATGATATTATTAGAAATCCTATGGATTTGGGTACCGTTAAACAAAAAATGGACAATAGAGAATACCGCACTGCTCAAGAATTTGCAGCAGATGTCAGACTGATATTTACCAATTGTTACAAATATAACCCTTCGGATCACGACGTTGTGGCAATGGCTAGAAAATTACAAGATGTGTTCGAAATGAAGTGAGTTAATTTCTAACGTATTAATTCTAACAGACCACATATTAGTTAGCAACAGCAAATTAAAAACATGCTAATTATGCAGTTTCTCCGCCAGATTCGCCAAGATTCCAGATGAACCTAATTCTAGGATAGGCGGAAGCTCTTCAGCCAAATCCGATTCCAGTTCGTCCGGTTCGAGTTCAGATTCGTCAAGCGAAACGGAAGATTCGGAAGAGGAGCGGCGGAATAAGCAACTTAAAATGTTAGAGAAAGAAGTACGATTTTTGGAAATGATTTTTTTTGGTGCAGCATCTTATGTTGTTTGTTTTTAGTTAATTGCCATGCAGGAGAAGATGCGGAAATTTGTAGAAGAAAGTATTAAACGGAAAAAGGCGAAGAAAAAGGCTAAAGAAGCCGAAAAGTCAAAGAAATTAGTTACAAATAGTAATATCGGTAAACCAGCTGCACATAATAATGCCCCAGTAAAGCCCAATAATGTAGTTACAGACACTGTTGATGATAGCATAGCAAGTGTTGTATCAGGTGCAGATGCGAAACTACCACCAGCAGATCCTCATCACCCTCAACCTTCCAAGTCGCTGAATATGCATCATTCAATGACTGGTCCAAATGCCACAACTAAACCACCCAAGAGCAAAGGTACCTTACTTGTTTTATTTAACATACTAATCGTAAACAAAAATTGAAAGGTTATCACTATAATTCATTAACCCTACAGTAGTCGCGCGAATAATAGGGTAATTCCCTCAAACGCCATGATATGATTTTTTTTAACTATTTACGAAATATTTCGAATATAAAATGACCTCACAAAATTTGCAGCCATTCCGATACGCAGTTTTTGAAATATATAAGTTTGAAGTCAAACACTCTATCCACACATTTGACTTTGTGACGGTTTGTCGAGGTTTGCTAAGCGTGTGGACCCGGCATTATATCTGTACGCGTAGGTTACAGATTTATTTAGTTACTTCCCTTGTTAAAACACCCTCCTCCTCTTTCAATTACAAGTTTCTCTGGATGTTTTATCGATGTACTTAATCATTTTGGCACAATACAATATTTAAAAAACGCTCGATTCTTTTTTTTGACTTCAGCATCACCATTGTTATTATTAAATTCTTCCATATTCATAATTGATAATCAAAAATATTCAAGAAGCACTCCGCAGGGTGCACTATTCTACGGGGTGTCAAATTTTAAAACTTGTAGTCGGTCATATTTTCCAAACTACAGAAAATATTGAAAATCGCGCAAAACTGTTTCGGAGGTATCGAGGGGGAACCAGAATGACGTTATGAGTGACAACCTCCCACCCCCGTTAACTCTAACGTCTTAATGAATATTGACTTTATTAGTACCACTGGAAAGCATTTTTCAGTAGCTTTCCAACGATGTGTCGCAAGTATGGGGTTGCCAGTTAGGATTTTTGATGAGGGGTGGCTGGGTGGTTAAGGAGGGGTGGGGGGCTATCACTCATAACGTCATTCTGGTTCCCCCTCGAAACCCCCGAAACGGTTTTGCGCGATTTTCAATATGTTCTGTAGTTTGGAAAATATGGCCGACTGCAAGTTTTAAAATTGACACCCTGTATATGAAAATGATATAACATTACCGTTTGCGCTCGACTCCATCTCGGAGCCTCTGACGTCATGCACGCTATCTAGGCTATCGCGCAGCCGGTAATGTTTTAGAGGATATAACATAAATGGTGTCAGAACATTTTTCTTGTTTGGAAATCGTACTAAAATTATGTAATCTTTAAAAAAATATAATTTAAAGAAAATGCTAAATGAGCGTATTATTACACGTTTAGTCGCCCCCGTCTGTGAGACCGAATTCACTTATTGCAAAAAATTAATGGGTTTTTTCTCGTTTTTATTGTAAATTAGTTAACCCATTGCATACATACATAAACATAATCTCTTACACGTAACGAAAAAACTAAAAAAAAGTTATAAACACAAAACTATGAGTAAGAAGGTACATATACTCTTATTGTATTGCACGTAAGTGGTTCTGGTTCAAATACGGAACTTACTCCTTTTCATTAGCATTTTCTCGATATTTCTGAAAAATAGCATTAATGTGTTCTATGCACATGTAGGTGCTACATTTAATTCCGTAAACTTTTTTAAGCCGAACTTGTAAGGTACATACTTGGGACACTAAAATAAAAAGCTATTGAGCATTTGGGTGACCTGCGTCACCCCCACAGAGAATAATCCCCAAATTTTCAATTGTCCGGTCTCGCAGACCGCGATGCGACTACTGGAGGGTTTAATTAAAATTAACTTTTGACACTATTTACATTTAAATTGAGGAAATAATTAAAAAAAATTCTAATTGTATACTGAATGTACCACACCGAGTACCACACTGTATATGATATTAAAATTTTGTGGTTTGTTGATGTTGTCCTTTCCATTTTTGTTACTTTAATGGCTGCAACATTGCCAATGTTTCCAGATACTAATTCTTAACTTTAAGGGGTTCGAGGGCCCAAAGTATCTCAAGGACCAAATGCTACCCAAAAAAGACAGAAAACAAATAGTAAAACGGGAACGGGTAGAAAAAAATCCACATCTCAGGCACCGCCATTAGCGTTTGATTCTGAAGACGAAGACAATGCCAAGCCGATGTCGTACGATGAAAAACGGCAGTTATCTCTGGATATCAATAAACTGCCAGGTACTTTTCACGCTTTGCATGCGATAAATACAAAATTGATATTACAGGAGATAAACTTGGCCGAGTTGTACATATAATACAATCGAGAGAGCCTTCGTTAAGAGATTCTAATCCAGACGAAATAGAAATAGATTTCGAAACTCTTAAACCTTCCACGTTACGAGAGTTAGAAAGCTATGTCGCTTCATGCCTTCGGAAAAAGCCACGTAAGCTTGATTGTAAGTTCCGTTACTTAACGTCTATAGCAACATTGCACCAGACCACCGGTCTTTAGCACCCCTGGACTAAACATGTTTTGGCCAGGAGTGCTGTAGACGTATGTAATTGGAACTATACACTTTTTTAAGCATGGTAGACATTGCTGGTGTCTGGTGGGTTTTTTCGATAACTGTTATTGCTTTTGTGGTGTATTGGGTAATGGTTTTACGATGGCACATTAGCGTCACAGTTAAAGTAATTTACTCGATCTAAAACTCATAATTCCCGCAGACATTTTCAAAATTTCTTGAAAAGATCTCGACATTCTCTTTTGAATAAAATGAATTGTTTTGTGTGACGCCAATCCATCGTCATAGGCTTTCATATTTTACTTTTATTATTTACAGATACCATGCACTTGCATGTTAAATTTTTAGCAGTTTTTTCTGTATGCAAAAACTATATTTCATTATTCAGCATCAACAGAAGACTGAACTCATTGAACTTGATATATAGGAAGAATACAAGAGTGTCGGCTTATTTGTGGGATCAATTTGGATTGCATTACATCCATTCGATGAATTTATTTTGATGTATGAAAACCACACTTTATTGCAGAATACATTTTGGAGTATTGGTATCACAAGCAGCCCAAACATGGGCATAATGGGTGTTTGGATGGATTATTTGCAATAGCGACTGATTGTCAGTTCACGTTGTATTATGAAAATTGGGTTATATGCCTTGTGATTTTGAAATATATTAGCAGCTTATACTATGCGATCAAAAATGAGTTGCTGTCGAGTCGCCTTTGAAATTTTTGTTTACATGGAAAATCGTATTTAACTTGAACTTCCAAAGGCGACTCGACAGCAACTAATTTTTGATCGCCCGTTAGTTGCTAGTAATATCAAACCATTAACGATAGCATCTGCGGATAAGATTATCAATTATCATATTGCAGTAGCTTCCAAAACATTTGTAATACAGTTTTCAGTTTCTGAAACATACCTCCCAAGCAGCACAAAACGTATTTTTAGCGCCATTAAACCTTTTGCCAAACATGTTAATATCGTTAAAAAAGCGTGAGCGACGATACGGTATTCGCCGCTCTTTTTACTTGAAAATACCAAAAGACCAAAACGGTTCTAAACAATATTCTGTATTACACTTTACAATTTAAAAGTGTAACCTCCATTTTAATTACCCTGAGTACTAAGTTCTTCCTAGAACACTTCCTGTACTGAAGTAAATATTCGCATTATTAGTGTATGTGTATATTTCAAATTAATGTGGTTTTTAGTTAGACATACAGATAACTAAACTACATTTGAACAGCTTCAAACAATTAAATATATGTAGACAATCAAAGATATTCATGATAAAAAATTATTTTGGAGGATTGATTTCTCCCCATGACTGTACGAAGGAGCTACAGCTCCAGGTATGCTAAAAAATTGAATTATACCCAAAAAAGTTTTAATGAGATGTGTGTATACCAGCTGGCAACTTACACAATCCCTCAAAAGGATTCCATTACAAAAACTTGATGAGCAATTATTGGTTCCCCAAATTATTTTGAGCAATAATAGTTTTCCAATTTTCCTCTTGAACTGGAATAAAATTGGAAACTAATACCTTTGATTGGTGGACAACAATTTTCTGTAAATTAAAACTATTACAGTGATTGCACTAAAAATTAGCTGTTACGAATTTTGCATTGAAATCAGTACGATGGGTTGTCTAACTAAGTCATCAGCTGGTATGCAGTATACACATAAAGCTGTGACTTACCGTATAACAAAACAAGTATTTTTGAATGCTTATTTCTCTCCATGGACCATGCCCCAAATTGGTTGGTAATAGATTGGATAAAAAGTTTCTGACGTTTTCAGTAGGACCACATTTAGACAGAAAACTGAAGTAACTTGACGTAAAATTAGACACATTAATACTCCTTACTAAATTTAATTGTTGGACGTTATTAAACTATAGATTAGTCATGAAACTTACACATGCACAAATAAATCCATTATGAAACTGACAATCCTTGTAGCGCATTGAACGCTTTTTGTTCGTCTGCGTAAAAACGTGAAAAAACACCTTTAACCAATTTCATATGTAATAAACACGAGTGTGTGCTACTTGGGTTCTTGTATAAGATAAACTGATCGCGTTTAAAATTTGACCATTTCTGTTTTAAATAAAATACTACTGTCAAATCAGAGCAGATACTGTTTTTGAGATGAGAATAACTAGCATATATATCAAATGATAATCTTAACATAAAAAATCACAGTCAGCATTTTTTTCCTATTTTCAAATACTAATTTGGTTTTCGTCATTTTCCTCTAGTTTTATATTTTGTCATTTTCTTGTGGTAGACTAAAGTAAAAACATATATTTTGCGACTGTTGCTATGCAATCTATTTAGAACTATGTATATAGGGCGACAGAGGTAAGTACGTAAAAAAAAAATTAAAAATTTGGGGCATATACCAAAATCATAAAGTTTTTCTAAACCAAGGATTAAAAAAGGTATTATTTGGATGTTTTAATTTTTTTAGCACAATTTCCCAAGCTGTTGAACAAAACGAAGCTTTGATGGAATGAATGATGAAACAGTTTGTGGCGCAAAATTTAACATATACAGGGTGATTCCTATAGTACCTGCCACCGTTTGGGAGCGTGTAGGTGGTGCGTAGGGGAGTATTTTGATATAGGACACTTGGGGTCGGAAATCTAAAATAAGGGGGCCAGAGCCAAATTTACCTTCTGGAATTTCGCGCCTGTAGGTAGGCAACCCAACCGGCCGGCGGTGCACACGGAGCGATCTCAGGCGGCGATGTGTGGCTGACACTTGATCAAAATTTTGTTTAAACCCACGAAATCCCGTCTGCAACGACGCGTATCAAGTGAATAAACACTATGGCAATAGTATAATAATAGTTGGCTAGATGTAGGAAGTGCATTGAGAACAACGGTGGCCACGTTGAAAACTTGTAAACGTTATTGCTTTTGACTGTCGTTTTCCCTCCTTCCCTCCCATGTCGCTTCCTCGCGCTAACTCGCTCTGCATCGCTCCGCGCGAAACGTCGGTCGGGTGGGTTGCCTACATACAGGCGTGAAATTCCAGAAGATAAATTTGGTTCTGGCGCCCTTATTTTAGATTTCCGACCCCAAGTGTCCTATATCAAAATACTCCCCTAGGCACCCCCTATACGCTCCCAAACGGTGGCAGGTACTATAGGAATCACCCTGTATACAGCAGGCATGGGCAACCTTTCTATTTTTTGCTTTTGTAAAAATCATTTTAAAAAAAAACAATAAGTACTCCTGAAAATTGACACGATTTTGCATACAAAATTTACTAGACGCGGATAATAAATCCCCATATTCAACTTGTATCCAAATTATCATTTATGCCCTTAAGATTTGTTGCAATATATGGCTTAAAAATGTTGCTTAATCCCAAAATACGTGTCGTTGTATTTATTGCCCCACCCGGTATATATCACGACGAAAATTCTGGAAAATACCTGGCAATATCTCTGAAACGAGAATTGCATCTTCAGCGAGGCTTTCAAACGTCTTGGAAGCTTCTGATTGCGTTCACTAGATGCTGTACGTGTAACATAATCATAATAATTAATTAATTAGAAATTTAAATGTAATTTGACGGGCCGTATGAAGTTTTAACTATGAATTATGTTAGCGGGTTGGACAAAACTTATCGACGGGCCGCGGGATGCTCACACCTGATATACAGGGTGAGTTTTTTCCCAAGGTTTAATATGGGGATCTCGTAAACAGTAAGAGATACAAAGTCACTTAAATGGGTAAGGTATTGCAGAATTTTATGATTAAGTTTCTCTTTCAAAGTTTTTTCTAATTAATTGCACAAATAACGAAATTATGGCCAAAAAACTGAAAAATGTCATTTTCAAAAATGCTCTATCGAATGACAAAAATCCAATGTGGTGTACATAAGAAATAAGAAAGTTGATGTGATTTCGAAACTCACAAGTGATACAAATTTTATTTTAGCATTACCAGAAAGCTGAGAAAAAATCACTGACGGTTTATTAAAATTATTTTTTCATATCTTTGAAAATAAATGAACGCCAGGCGCATTTTCGAAAATGACATTTTTCAGTTTTTTTACTATAACTGGGGAATCGGCTACTTTTTCTTTACACCAAGGTACTGAAACATCTCCATGCCTTTTAAAGTAGCACATCATTGCCTGCATAAGCCCCATGTAAATTGCTCAAGTTGCGCCATTTTACCATTTCTCACTCAACGATAAAGAATAAGATTGTCAAAAACTTTTTTAAATATCTTGCGCTAGGAAGCTGTTCTGTCAAGAATTTGGCACATTTTTTTAAACAGTTGTACCTAGGGACTGTATAAAGTGTGCCCTAATGCTCCATGTCAGGGATGTTTTTTCTAATTTATCATTAAGCTGATTGGTTTAACCAATTAGTAGATGTTGCTATGGTTACAATAATGCTGGCACAGTTGTGTCAAGCAAGATAAATTTATCACCTTGGTTTCCAGGTTAATTTCTACCAATCCGGGGTATTTAGCCAAAATATGGCGGATTTCTCAACTACCAATAGAAAATAAGACCACCGCAACACTGTCCCTATATCCCAGATTGAACATAATCACAATAAGTGGAAATTTTTACAGTGCCAATAAAATTTCCTGAAGTTTTCATTTTTACTAATTGAGATCTGCATATAAATAACTTTTTACATTATAAGAGAAACATGTCAATCTATTTCTTATTAATTGTTTCATATAAAAGAGAAATCTCCAAGGAAATATTTATTATACTAATGTTACAAAACATTTTAAATGCAACATCTGTGAAATCTAGCCATTTTTTACATTACAATGTACATAAATCTACAAGGTTAAATCATTTATATTATTACTCCTTGTCTTTTTCTATCGTGTAAATTCTATACACAGAAAAAAGAAATAAACCTTAGCCTTTGATATTTTTCAAGCATATCATAAAAATAATATTTAATTCGAAATAAGTGAAATGAACTAGTTATCTAATAGAGACATTTTTTTATTGTAATTAAGGTTTGAAATTGAGATGTAATTGTGACAAAACGAATATGGCGTTTACAAAAAGTGCAAAAGTTGCCTTGCGATTTCCTCAATAACTGTTTCGAGCTAAAAAAATAAACTTCCCTTAACGACCGATGGTTGCTAAGGGTTTAAGCTTGTGAATGAGGTTAAATTTGATAACAAATAATTATCAGTGTGATAAAAATGAAAGGGAGTTGGGAATGGGAGTTTTTAACAATTTAAGCCCGTTTGTAACGATCACTTATTTAGTCAATTTTTAAATAATTTTTTTAGAAACAAAAAAATTGAATATTTCATACATCAACTTTGATCAATTTTTTGGTAGTTATTTTAGCAACTGAAAGTTGTCCTATTTTTTTAATGTTTAGAACCTGTCCTATTTTTAGTAACTTTTGACAGATTATAGGGAATTTGTAAAATTAAATTTATATTCATTTTTAAAGCTCACTATAATACGTTGACAGTAGATAGAGACCTTAGTTTACAGAAGATAAATATTTAGTCTCCAGATTTAATATAACATAGGGTATGTACAAATGTTTACATTTTACTGGTACTAAAAAATTGACAATATTATGGAATGTTACATACAGTTTCATCATTTATAACATTTTTAGGATAGCATTATCTTTATTGAAGAAAAAAAGGACTAAAAATTTGACTAAATAAGTCATCGTTACAAACGGGCTTTATTTCCTAAATAACGGCGAAAGTGCAGGAATTAGCTAAATAAGTTTTGTTTCATGCAAATGTCGGAACATTATCTGCTATGAATGAATGCTATTTCAACCAAAAATTTGTACCCAGAAGGCAGGTATTGTGGAAACAAATTTCCAATTTTTCAATGTAAACGCCACCTTAATACCTGTTCCCAGTATATTCATTGCTGAATATTCTTGGAATCTACCAGACGAACGTATATATTCATAGAACATTCTTTGGATATTTGGAATATTCACATACCTTCTAGCATGTTACAAGAATATCCATGTTATCTGGATAGAGTCTTGCTAATAGACTTGCAGTGACACATGTGTGACCTTAGACTTGATTCAAGCATTTGATCTTATATGGGTCATTCCAGTCTCTATCTCCGTCAAAATACACATCCTCCATAATATACACAAACAAGTTAAGTGGTTTTTTCATAATCGTGGCTGCACACGGATGGGCTATTGCCAGATCACCCTGACGCCACGAAATTATAAGGTACATGCATAACCTAATTTTTTTTTTAAACTATCTTTGAAGGAAGGTTCGAAGTGATGATAAAAGTCAATAATTTTTGTTGCTTTATTTTTATTTGAATACTTTCTGTGTCTCTCTTTCAAGGCATTGACGTCAGTTTTTTATATGTGGTAGTTTATACCCTCTCACATCAATCAAGAAAGTTCATAGTGATTACTTGTTTCTGCGCTTGTATATTTTACACTATCGGTTCTCCACATTTGTGAGAAAATCATCCAAACGCATTACTGAGAAGTTTAAGGACGAGGAAGATAGTTGCTGGACGACGCGTTAGCGGAGTCCAGCAACCTTCCGAGTCCCGAAAACGCATTTTTTGTACGAATAAAACATAAAATTTTTTCTCCAACCCCCTTTACTTCAAATTATATTCGAATTTAGATTCAGTCACAGTTTCACTACTAGTATAAGAACTTCTGCTTTCTTGTCCTCACGTGTCATGCCACTCTAGTTTTTAGGTTAACTTATAACCTATTCGTTCTTACTTCTTACTTCTCACCTCTCGCGACTTTGTAGGGAGCAAATCTTGAGGTAGCATGTTCTGCCGTTTCTATAATCTCTGGCGGAGTGCAATCCATGTCGCTATCAGTTTCAGTTATTTTATTGTATACACAATAAATATTGTTATATTTTGCATTGAAATAAAAAACTTACCATACAGTTTTTTAATTAAAATTAATTGCAATTAACTTTTTCAAATTTTGATTTCAAAATGACAGATAATAGTGCAATGGGTCTGAAGTAGATGGCGTTACGCGCGACGGCGGGTTGTATACGTATTAAAATTACGTTCACGGAATATGTAAATTACGTTACACATGGTTTAAATAAAAATAGCGAGCGTAAATCATTTTCAATACATGTACATACATATAGGTAACATCATTATTTGCATTGAATATGCAAAAAATATTTGATTTGTATGTATAGAAATATCTTACAACCTGCAATGTAAAACGATGTCAATGTGACATATCTCCGTGATAGTAATTTTTTAATTGGCCAACTTTCAAGGTCAATTTCTTTTTGGTACTAGGACCAAAAGTATCCACTTTTTGTACAGTTGCCATGGTGAAAGCGATTAATTCGCAAAACGTCAATTTTAGGTACCGAACACTGTCACAAAATAGCGTCTTATTCAGGTGGTTGGAGAAAAATGTATTTCTTGTATAACTTCTAACAAAGGCATTATTTCAAATAATAAGAAAAATCTATCTGTCCTCTTTCAGGTACTAATAATTGTTAGGTTTTTCTTCTACTGCAATAACTTTATCCTAGTAGTGCAAAGATATCGGATAAAAGTTGTCCTGGTTGGACCATCCATCAGAGTAATCTAGTAGCTTTAATTAAATTGCCAGCCTGTGTGGCGCAGTGGAGTTGCAGCTTGACCACGGCAGCAAAGGTCCTTGGTTTAAATCTGGGCATGGATATTTGTACATGTATAGTGGATTGGGTTGGTAGATTGGCTGAAATCCCGCCCACTTAAAAATAAATAAATTTGAATTACGAATCGAGTGAGAAAATGTTGAATTTGCAAACCAGTAGAAATTTTCCTACTGAAGTACTGGACACCGAAATACAATTGATTTACAGGATTGAAACTAGTTTAATTTATCTCGATGAATATCAAAAGAAAACGTATCATTCTATCTGGAACCATCCTGCTTAAAATTTGACTGCCAACAAAGTTTACATGCAAATGCAAGACATGACGATATTCCTTTTACTTCAAGCAACCTATAAACCAATATCCAAACATTAAAATTTATTGAACCATATTTTGTGCACATGCACAGGTGGATAAGCAGAGACCGTTTAGCACCTTTTTTTACAACCATAAAACAGAAAGAGGAAACTAAGATTTTAGCTACTTAAGTCTGTTCGCCCCGATTTTGTGGATTCAATTTCAAAACTCTTATTGCAAGATGGCCCACCTCTAAATGAGGATGCAAAAAAGTTATGAGAATAACAAATTGGAGCTTAAGAGTAAACAGTTCGGTCATAAGTTAATTGTTATGGTCATCCGTAATATTCTTGTATACTCTTGTATGGTCACTCTTAGGTGTGAAGGGCGCAGGCTTGAACATACTTAGAGAAGATAATATGTAAAACTTCGTTTTTAAAGTTTTTTAATAAATCTGAGAAGAATTTTATCTTAATTTTTTGCTTGCACAGCTAATTATTTTTTAAGTTATATTGCGTATGGAAAAAACTGCTAAATGTTAGTGGCTCGGTGAAAAGTGCATGATCTACCACTTAAATGCGTGTATTTCTATTATGTTAATTCGTATTCTGGTGATGGTTTCATTAGTACGTCGTTGATTGGTGATCACTACATCTTCTATGAGAACAATATTTTTCAATTTCGCAATTTATCATAAAAGATATTTGAAAACATGTATAATGATTTTTGAATTAGATGACGAAGAAATGGTTTTAATTGAAAAGTATTGAGCATTTGTTTAGTTACTGGTTACAAATTATATGTTTGTCCCTCTAGATAAGAAAGTGCCAGGTAAATCAAAAGATGAACAGATGGCAGAAAAAAAGCAAGAATTGGAGAAGAGATTGTTAGATGTAAATGATAAAATCGGAAACACAAAGAAGACTGCCAAGAAAGGTTGGTAACAGATATCGAAGATGTGAAATACAGTTTCGAACTTAATTTCAGATGAAGCAAACAAAGGCGATCCAGCGGGTGCTGGTGGGCCGTCCGGTGGAAGATTATCGTCTAGTTCGAGTAGTTCAGATTCTGACAGTAGCAGTTCGAGTTTGTCTACCAGTTCTAGTGATTCTAGTGACAGCGAAGCAGGTTAGCTCTCACTCTCATCATTCACCTACAGTGATAGTACATATAATAATAGATAACATTCTGTTCATTAATTCCTTGATAAATTAGGTCGATGCGTTTGAATACATATTTTGTACGTTAATTTAGAGAATTTATTGCGTCGAGTGTGGCACGGTTTATTAACAGTTCTTGAATGCAAAGTGCCATGGACATTATTATCCCTACCCCTGAGATTATTTTAAGAACTGTTTTACACTATTAAAATTTGTTTATATTTAGTTAAATGTGTTTTAATTTATTTTCGTACTCTTTGTAGATATAGATTTTATCAAGTTTTATAGCTAGCTTTATTTGAAACTTTAATAATTTATACGAGACAGTTAATAGATTTATAAAAAAAAGTTCGTAATTTATATAGAATGAAATAATCTGGACACAAAATTTTCACACCAAAAATATAAACGTGCTATTAGTTAAATACAACTCTATAATACCAGACGATCTTGCACGAAATGTAGCATTCCTCAACATGGGGTTTTCAAATTAATATTTAGTTTTACATAGTGTTCCAAAATATGTAATATCCTGTGAGACAGTAACAATAATTATTCAGCATCAAATTGTGCATAAACTATAGATCTGTTGCCAGTAGAGAATATAAAGTTGTGTCACACCATGCCATTTTGAGCACTTGTCTATGTTACTTATTTCCACAACTTGTTATGAAATTACTCATTTCCTTTAACAATAGTAGTTTGCACAAATTAATCATGCATTTCATAATGGGTTTATGTACATTTTGTGTACATTTCAAAAATATAGCAACATTCACAGCTGGTTAGGAAAAGTAAGGCATTTGGTAACGCCATTCAGTTTTGAATGATAGCATTTTATATATCAAGATTAAGACGTTATTTGTTACAGATTTACTGAATTTACTAATGCAAGTGTGAATATCAGGTGACATTTTTTTTGTTGCATTAGGGACACATGCAGCATCTGTTTATTAGATGCTTACTTGAGTGACGTACAGAAAATATTGTATTTCACCTACTTTCCTAAACCATACAAAGAATGGTATGGTATTTGGATACATAGACGTTAAATTCTGTAAATCTGGTAAGGTAGCATCAAAATCTAACATGTTTAATTTGGTTGATGTTTTTAAGTTGCACTTATGCATAATTTACAAAATCTGTTTCCAGATAACCTTGAACTTTATGAAGAGATATTTTTGAGAAATGTTACTGTGAGCTGTACATGAATTGCATGTTATTTATAACCCAGAAATTGTTTCCAGTATACAGTAGTGTGCTTACATTTTCGATACTTCGGACTATATTGTTAAATCGTTCTAAAAATACACCAAAAACTTATTTATAATTTTGGAACTCCACTAAAAGAATCAATGAATCAATCTGAAGCTGAAATGATTGAAAGAATACCCCCACCTCCCCCCTAACGATAAAGCTGATAGTATTTGGCCCGGTTTTTCCACTTGTCAATAATTATGTGGATACCATTGTTGATTCAATTGTTGTGAAGGTACTTATTTGCAGAATACATTTATCAAGTTATCAGTTTAATTAAATAGCTTGCATAAATTCAGCATAATATGCTGTCGACATAAGTGTCATTGTCTTTAATTCAATGTTTGGATGTATTTATTTTCTGATTAGATTGGTATTGAAAAATGCCCACTCTAGTACTGCAATTCTTAACTGTGGACCAGATATTGAAACTCAACGTTGTACTAATTTTGCTGTTTAGTGCACCTTCTCTTTTATAAATGTAAGAACAAAATTGTCTTGACACGACTAAAAAAAATTATACGATCAGTTTTTTTGGAATTTTCCAAAAATTTCTCTACATGCTTCCATGAACACACTCTTCTTTTGACAAATAATTTGTTGCCTTTAGAGAAAAATTAATTTTATACTGATGACTGAAGTTTTTTTGTAAGTTTTCAAAATCTAATTTACATGCTGGTATTTCCGACATGTTTTTAGTGATTATACAGTGTGTCTCCGGATTGAGTTCACTATACGTGTAATTAATCAAACGTTTTTGTATCTCGTTTTTATGACCTAGGCCTGCTTAGTCTGAAAAGAATTTCAGGCACATTTTTACCTTTTTAAATCCAAGATGGCAGTCACCATTGGGAGCAAAATAATTTTATGTTGCCATTTCGGTCAATAATACAGCAAAGTGTTATTAAGAAAAGTTGTTTAGGATATGAAATTATGTCCATATGCAATATTTCATAAATATCGGATCTCTTTGATTAAATCAATATTTGATCCGTAGTTTTGCATAGCAACTACAGAAACAACAAGTATTCTGTTTTTGAATTTTAAGATGTCATAATGTGGTTTCAAACCAAGCAGACTGTGACACTAAAACATCGAAACGAGATTCCAAAATTTTTGATCGATTACACGTATAGTGAACTCAATCTGGGGACACACTGTGTTATTATTATGGCGACTCAAATTTTTCAAGGCTGTGGAACAACTTTTAATATGGCATGTTATGGTTGAATCTCCCTCTTTCCCCAAACCAAAATATTTTTTTAGGAATGGTTCGGTTTAAACTCTAGAGGAAGTGCTACAATTTCATGTGCAAGTGGTTAATTGTGTACGGTCTTCAAAAATTGCCGATTATTAACTGTCATTATCACTTATTTTTGATGAACTTTATGTTATGGAATTTAATGCCCTATTGTTTTTAATTAGTAATTCTATTCCGATACCCGTCATTCCAAGTATAGTAGTCATACGAAAGTTTCCTAATCATTGTGCTGTGCCGACACCATACTTTCTTAAATTGATTTCTCTTATAACGCATAAATAAAATACAAGTACAAGCTCTACTTACTATTTACAATTTTGGGCCAAACTCTGAACATTTTCCCCATTGAAAATATATAGCAGCTTGCGGTTTTAGTGCTATCAACAAAAGGAAACTGACGGCATTGTTCATAACATAAATTCAATAAAAGTATGTAGTTGGACAATAGCAGTTTACCTATCCCTGATTAATGAACATGAAGAAAACACAAAGTGAAACGATATAACGTATTTTAAATAATTTTATTGTAAATAGTATGACGTAATTTAGCTGTGTGACAAAAATTCTCAGACTTGTATATAGCATTAACGGAAAACATGTAATGAATAAGAGAAGATATGGACTCATTGTAAAAATTAGTTAAATATTGGCTTCTTTCTTGTCTCTTTACTGTATGACAAACTGTTTTCCTCTTTTAACATTAAAAAGTTTTATTTCCTGACATTTTTAAGGTTTTAAGTTTATTGTAATGAAAAGCATTTTTTATCGTTGATTGAGGAAAATTTAAAAAATCTTCCCATCACTTATGTCAACAACACTGCATTACATATAAAGGTTTGCATTTCTATATTTAATACTCATCATATTTTATTATTAATAGATGTTGTATTTAATATGAAACCGTAAGTACTAAACAATAAATTGTATTTCTACAATACAGTTTAAATGTTCACTTATATTTCATTCTATACAACAATATTTGTGTTCTATGTGGAGTATTATTTATATTTATATGTGTGTGTACGCCACTCTAAATGCTGTTTTCTGACTTGAACCTATCCAATTTATGTAGAAGGTACCGATACAAACATTTTAGAGTGGAGTGTGGTAAATATTAGCCTTGAGTGCATTCATGAATATGGAGTCTGCCGGTGGAAGACCGACTATACAGTAAGCGGTCTCTAACTACAATAACAACCATTTGTAATTGTTTATTTGGCACACCAATGTATGGTTACTTTAAATGCAGACAATGTGTGTGGCGGCTACTATATCACTAGTGTTGCTTTAACGTGGGACTAGAAAATGTTGCTGTAAAACTATTGCAAAGCTGCTTATACCACTCCAGGTAAAAATGCAAACACAATTACAAAAACAGTTAAATTTATGATTTGAAAATGCTTGAAATGAGTCATGCGTGAAATTAGCTGTTTTTGTAAGTGATTAGTTCCTAATTATATTTTAGGTGGAAGACTGAAGAATACCAAACTTGCTTTTTGGGTAATTTGCGTTTAGTAAGTTGACATAATCATAAGTTAGTTTAACTTTTCTACCACAGTGTGTTGATACCATTTGATTATGAAAACTTATTAGATCTTTTGTTTTTCATTTTGCTGGATTAGCAGCTTTTAATTTGATTTTCTTTTCAAATTCTAAAAACATGGTACTCAAATAAATTACAAACAAATGGTAAATTAGAAATTAAATTAAAGGACCACATGCTGTATGGTTTATGAAAGTAAGAAAAGGTGTGAAACTGCTGTGCAGGCCTCCATTCACATTGTTTGCACTCAGGCAGTGTATTTTTAATTAGCGTTAATTTATCTAGAGGCAAGTCTGACAGGTCTTGTGCTTCTTTTCTTTTATTTTGTTTCAGACGGAAATTATATATCACTTGTAAAATTTTCATTTTCAAAGCTATGTATTTCACAAATATCAGAATATTTCATTTTTTGTTTGTCAACTAGAATATGTTTTTTATGTAATGTTATGTTGTGACATTTTATTCACCAAAAGTATGGTTGAACATACTCTTGTTTTAGTAAACTTTTAACTGCACTCTTAATTTTCATTTTTTTTAGTGAACTTTTTGTTTGTATGTATTCACATACTTTGATATAAATATATTTTCACTTTTATTTAAACGATCTTTTTTTCTTGCCAACATGGGCATTCGTATAAGTTCAAAAGGGTATTCTAAATGAAAACTAGACATTTCTCTATTACAGTCAAGAATAGCTGTAGATCCAGTTTGCTGTAGGAAGTTAAATATATATACATAATTGTTTGCCTGTATATAGAAAAAAATCACACTTAGATTTGATTAAAAACTTTGTAAATAATTAAATTATTTTAATGTTTGCTTCTCAAAATCATTGTAGCACTTTACGTCTTGCCTCTGTAATGTGTAGCCCTGTTAATTTTTTACATAGTGTTCAACTTGATTTTGTACATGATTTAAATTATATACGTCTTAATTGAAAAGATGTCGAGCAAATACTCTTGTCAAAAATAAAATTGATATGGAATTATTATAAAATGGTTGTTATTGTTTTGTTAACACTGGTTAGACAGGAATGCACTCGGGCCTTAACTTCCTTATTAAAAGATACTCAGTCTAAATTTTTATAGGTGCTTCTAATCGTCCGACGAAGAAAAAGAGTAAAAAGTCACCAAATCCAACTACCATCAATACAGCGGTGAGTATGTTTTGTTATTTTACAGGTTATATGTTTAATTTTTGCGCTTCAGTAGCATTGCAATTAAAATAAAACTATCATTTTGACTAAACTTGGCATAGTAGGTATGTAGAACCACTCCCCCGATCAAAACTTTATAATTTTTAAGCAGAAGATGAATTCAAAAATGAAAGTGTTTGTCAAAAGCTACTCGGCGAAATGTTGCATTAGGAAATAAAATTGAATTGGCATAATAACACTTTTTTGACAACCATACTTTTTTTCAAAATTATTCACCAGCTATCTAACTTTTTTTGATGGCAAAAGAACTTTAAACTGAAATACGACATATATATCTTTTTAAATTTTTAACTGATTTTGAAAGGTATTATTTGAATGTAATTTTGGGGTTTGTAAATTGTACTGTCACGCACATTTACTGATTGGTTACACTTAATAATAACTACACGCTCCCATAACCACTAATTAAGTACTTCTCGTCAATTTTCCACCCAAAATCCCTGGTGCTACACGCTCGGGATTTTGTTACGTGGCAAATTGACTCGACATACTTCTAAGCAAAACATTTGACGCAAACGCCAAAATTTAATCTGCTATTTTTATGCACTTGGGATATTACTGTTGATTAATACACTGCATTAATATACGACCAATCAGCTTGGTTCTAACCAGATAATTTTTTATCTGATTAAAAGCGAGGTAGCTTTTTATCAGCGAAAAAAATGCGCGTAGGACTGCGTAAAATATATAGTGGTTGTAAAATTCACTGTCTTTTATTAATCTCCCTAAAATACACTTGATCTTGGTTTTAAATCAGGATAATTTCATTTTTAATTCACTCAAATTTTGTTGCTTCCTGGAAAAAAACTCTTGATCAAAAGCACATGATAAAATCACACTTTTGATCGCTAATTTTTTCCGTTGCAACAAAACTTTCCTGAAAAAATCAAATTATCCAATTAAAAATTAAGCTCTTGTGTATTTACCCCCGATAAAAAGCTACCTACCTTTTAATCACTATAAAAGTGTATGGGTCTTTGTTGTACATCTCATTAAGACACATTTTTCGCTGTGGTGCTTACTTTTCAAGAAAAGTGGGAATTTAAGAACAGAAAGTACATAGTTTAACTTTTCAATTTAAAATTTCTCAAAATAAGAAACTAGCAAAAAAACTGTAATGGACTTCTTTTATGCACATTAACTAGTCTATGCGAAAAACATTAACCACAGATTTATTAATAACAAACACCTATAGCAAATAAAACTGAAAGCTAAGTTTGCTAAATGACAAGATTCTTGAATCAGCCAATCGACGTGTTGATATTTTCAATTGTAACATGCGCGATATCTTTATCTGTTTTCTGTGATATATATAAATTTATTTATATTTATATTTTCTCATCTGTAATTAGGCCTTTGCTGTGTGCTGTTTGATGAGAAATAAATCTACTATTATTATTATTAAGAATTATTTTGTGGTAACCTAATTAATTTTGACCTATTTTGTGATTGTATTTTTAATATATGTATTTTATCTCAAGGCTTTGCCGAAACCGCATCAGCCACCAGCAACGGTTCCAGTTAGCATTGAAAACATCAACAAACCATTGTACAATCAAGTTCCTCCAGTCACTGTATCTAATCATATAATTAATAAGTCAACCGTAATGCCACCTGTAAATCGAAAACCACCAAATACTGAACCGGAAAAAATGTCATCGTCGGTTCCATTACAACCTGTTGTTCCTACAACGATAGCGCAAGAGATTAAATTAGAATCCCTTCCTGAACCCACTATAGATAAGAAGTCTCTTGTATTATCACCTTTACCTAGTACTTATACTGATCCTCTAGAACAATCGCTGGCAAACTTAGAACATGAAGTTAAAAGTGAACCTTTAAATAGTTTAAATACGGGTATTAGTCAAATTCCCCCTGTTGTTAATAGTTCTATCACTAATATTATTCCTAATGCAAATCCTATTCCTAATCTCAATCCTAGTCCTAATTTAAATCCTCGACCTATCTTACAGCAAACCTTATTGGATCACAAACCTCTCATTACCATGTCTAACAATATCATCCCTGTAAATTCAATGATGCACGGATTACACAACACGTTGGAACATGATTTGACTTTACTACCGTCAAACCTGAATACAACCAATATGATACATTCAACTAACAATGGATTCGCTCTCAAACACGAATACGAACTGACCACCAATAACAATGGATTGTCTGCCGCAGGAGGTATTCCAATGAATATGTCGATCCCGTCCATGTTTGATCCTTTACCTCAGTTAAACACTGTCAGTGTAAAAAAAGAACAGCCTTTAATACAACCAAAGCCAATAGAGGAACTGACCGAACCAGTTCCACACATGAACATGACTGAAAAGAAAACCACGCCACCTGATCAAAAGCATCCACCAAATTTTAATTTTAAACCAAAGTCTGATCAAAACATAAAAAACGCGAGTTCATGGTCAAGCTTGGCGCAAACGAGCAACTCACCACAAAACCCAGTTCCGAGCGCCAATAATGTCGCTAACAACAATAGCAATACTAGGCAACTACAGGTCATGGATAGTTTTAAAGCTTTCCAAAAACAAGCGAAAGAGAAGGCTGACCGAGAAAAACAACGATTAGAAATTTTGGAAATGAAACGACAACAAAAGGAACAGGCTGAGAAAGAAAGGCTGAAATTAGAAATTGAAAAACGAAAGGAGAAGGAAGAGGAAGACGCGTTAGAGAAAGCTAGGTATGATCTACTCTTTTTATTCAAATCTCCAAACATTTCTGTTTTCTAACATTTGAACATTTTGAAAAATTTAGGAAAGCTGTAGCTGAGCAGCAACAGTCATTGCCCGCCAGTAGGGTTGATGAGTTACGACAATCTCCTGCTGAAGGAAGTATATCGCCAGGTTCTCAAAGTTCGGGTTCTGAAAGGACGGACAGGGAACGACAACGGTTGCGTGAACAAGAGCGTAGAAGACGGGAAGCGGTAAGACACTTTAGTTGTTCAGTTATTAAGGCAGTTTTTCTTATGGAATTAATTGGGGATTGTTTCCTTTTAGAAGAGGTTTTCAGTTTTTGAAATACGGCTTAACATTTACATTTTTGGAATATTCATAGGCACAGTTACAACAATTTTTTAGATTAAAGTTGTTGTACAGATGCAATAGTTTACATCTGTGATGTGATAGTTTCGATTTTTAAAAATCCGAAATGAGAAGCTCATTTTTCTATTTCTATATTTCTGTTTTTTTTAAATTACCTAAACATAGTTCACTCATATACATCGCCCTTAACCCTTGTACCAAATTTCATGAACCTTCAATGATTTTTGCTCTGGAATTTAACAAAGAATAGATTCTTTTGCATAGGCGGTTTAAACGTATTATACAACAACCTCAATTCCATTAGTGACACTAGTATATTGTCAAATTTTCAAAATATTTCCAGGTTTTTTTTTTCGAGATAGGCAGCATTTATTATAAGACGCCCTATATAAATTTGATAGAATTGGCTGAAATTTCTCCCACTTAAAGATAATGAAGCAAAATAATAAAATTAACCAACAAAATTCTTTTGTATCGAAGGGGAGATGAATTTGTTCTCCATACGAATTTGACATGTTGGTGCTACTAGTATTTTCATAGATTAATGTTTTTTCTTTTCATTTTCAGCTGGCAAACCAAATTGACATGAATATGCAAAGTGATTTAATGGCTGCGTTCGAAGGATCATTATAAACTCTCAAGAATTCTGTTAGTGATTATATTGGTATATTCTAATTTGCACAATTTATATAAATTAAAGACATCAAGATCATTTTGTGGCTTCCAATTCATGTTGTGCTTTGAAAGTTCAGTAATCGACACAAACGCTCAGTTTATCATCTTCAGGCATAGACGTGAATTTTTAAATATAGCAGTTCTATCCATCGTATAATAAGTTTGTATATATTATAGATATAATGTTAATATTTGATTATTAAATTGTGAAATACTGTACATAAAAATGGGTAGTAATTAGATTTTTAACATGCAGCATTCGAAAAGCAAATGGTGGCCGACTAACATATTTGCGCAAATATCATTTCAAATTATTTCTGCCATTTATCGTGAACATCTTTTGTAAATATCTGTATCGATAATCAAGTATTGACTAATGCCTATTGCAAATTGTTTGTGGGCGTTCGTTTGCTGTTTTTATGCTGTTGGCCGTCAAATGGATGGCTTAAAAATAAATGTTACGAGTAATAAATTTTGTAGAAATTTGTGTTTACCATGTTTTTTAATTTAAATATAAAAATAAAAAATAAATTTATTTTATGAAATATAATGCCTAGCATTATTATTTAGGGTATTTTTCAAAACTATTAGGGCAAAAATTCCAGTTTCAAATATTTTTATGAGAACAGCCAACTGTATTCAAGTGTTTAAAAAGTGTAACTTCTGGCACTGTTTTCAGAATAATAATAATATGTAGCTAGGTACTGAATAAGGTATAAAAAAATTATTGCTAACAATGTGAAACATATAGTGTTATTTTGATTTTTGTTTCCTTTGAAAACCAAATTAGGTTTAGTAATTTTTGCACTTTATTTATGACCGGCTGATTAGATTTCTGTTGTGTGTTTACATTTACACTAATACATGTTACTTTATTTTGTTAAGTCTTGGCCAATAAGGAAACCAAATTAGAATAACAAATTCCATGCGACAAAGTTACATATGCAATTTTGTATGTATCATAAATTGTACAAATTTATTGTCTCGTGTGCCCTTGTTTATTATTTTAGAACAGGCACGATCAATCGAACTGTACAATTAAAATTAGAGTCTGCTAATTCAAATCAGTACAATATAAAGGAATTTAAAAAAATAATTTCCGTACCAAAAACACTACATTGTAAATGTTCACGAACACTAAACTCACGAAATTATGTCCAATCACAAATGAATTAAGTTATTTTACAATTAAGATTATTTTTAAGGATGTTGTTTCCATTTGTTAAAACTGTGATTAGTGTACCATTTGAACCTGGCATTATAATTGGGCAAAATTGAAATATGTAGTGCATCTATTTATCTTCACTATTAGTTTGGTATGCTTAATATTTCTTTCTAGAAAATTGAAAAAAAAACTTAGTTTGAATATGCAATTACATGCTGAATATTGTATTAGGTAATTACGTTAACTTGTTGATTGACATCTTTTTTTACTGAAAGTTCTTTTATTCACTTTAAATTATACTATCTTTGTTTCATCTTTAGATAGACGTTCTGAATTATCCATATTTAGTTTTTTTTGTGATTGTAATTTGTATCAAATAATTTATGTGTATAATGTATGGCTGTTATATATTTTTTCATAATTTTTAAATAAGTGAATGATGTTTAGTAATAAGAATTCTGAAAACTAATACTGACAATTAAGTATTTCATTGGTGCACAATGAAAAACCAGAGTCACTCACATTTCTGTTCTTTCCGACTACATACAATCAATTTTGTTATTTGTTTATAAATATTGTATATGTAAATACTGAAATAAACCTTAATGTTTTTATTATTCAGTGAGTTTGATTTTTAACAACTGAAAAATTTGATCGGGACTGCTGCATATCGATAGATCAGTACAATTGAAAATTCAACCCCCTTTTTGAAATGCGAGCTTTCTATCCAAATTAAAGGCATTCAAGTCAAAGTCAAACCTATAAGTTTTGTTGCTGAATTATTTCCAGAATGACAACCTATATAAAAATAATTGTAATTTTGTGTCTTATGTTTTTTAATTCTGTCAAGTTATTTCCAGTACAGATACTTTGGACAGTTCATCAAGTGTGCATGGCACAATGACCCTGAATCCCTCTCCGCCGAGTAACGAGTTGATCTTTAATTTGTAATTTAATTGCTTCTACCCTCATCATAATATGCACTTAACATGAACATAAATGTTTATTTCCAAAATAGGTGTACCTAACGATTGCAATAGTCCGACTATTCCTGCGCGAAGTTTATACCGTAAGCATGCGCATTATAATTTGGTACAAAATACTTCTCTTTTTGTGGAACATACGTACAAGTGTAAGTTCATATGAACATTAGAAGCGTTGTAGAATTACATGGCTAAGAACATACATCATACGTGAACATACTGTACATAGAATTAGTTAGTAGAAACAACAGAAATTAGTTTCCCACAAAATTAATTTTTTGAAATCAAAGTAGGTGTAGGTCTATTCTGAAAATCGTAAATATTTCTCGAGATCGACTCAAAAAGTCCTCGTGATCGCGATCGATTGGTTGAGCACTCCTGATCTAAGTCAGTCAATCATCGTGCTACTTTAGAACAATCGTGCGAACTACGATCCCAAGGCAATATCAATCCATCCAAATATTTTTTTATAATGCCAATTTACCTAAACTGTAATTTTAAACAAATATTGTTACAATACAGAAGCAAACTATAATATAATTTAGGTCACAGAAAGGAAAATGTTAATGATATATTGCAGTTTGTCCAATTTTATCAGAATTTAGATAAGTATGCAATTTTTTAATAATAATTTGTTAAGTAATTATGAATTTAAAGATTATGTCAATAGCGAAATTTCTTTTAATTTTATGTTGTATTGCAGAGAAGCATAAGAAAAGAAAGTACCTATAGGTTTCAATTTTTGGCAATGTTTAAATAGTTAAAAACTTTTGCTTAAGTCTGAATTTTTTTTCCTGCTAAAAATGGCAAAAACAGTGATGTAGCAGTTTCTTTTTTTTTTCTTTAAATACCTCTTTATTTAAGAATCAACTCCTCAGACGAACCATGAGAATAGGTCTGTTGCCAAACAATGTTTTGTTTTAGTTGTTATTATTATTATTATTATTATTATACAGTCATCATATTATGTAGCTTGGATAAATTCTTAGCGAAATGAGATTTGAAAAAATACACTTTTTAAATATTTATTTATGCAAGAACAAACTTCATGCTGAAGAGGTACATCGGCAATCTTTTAGGTTATATGTATTTTACTAAAATTAATTTTCTGTATAGAAAAGCAAAGTTGCGGAGCTGATAGCTTTCGCTTCTCCACTACTGTACTTGAAACAGTTTATTTTAAACGAAAAAGAAATTGTGAATTCAACTCATTATCAATTACAACACCAAAAAGGTATATTGAATGCCAAACATGGTATGTACCGCCATAATTACCCTCGTAGCTCCACTTCTACAAAATAGTTCAAATACTTATGTTTATCAAATGTTGTATTGTAACTACTGCATTTAGACTTGTTTTTAATAAACGATAAAACATTTTAAATAAGCACTAAACTACTTCCAGTCTAATTAATATTGATAATTTACGTAATTTTCTATGCCTCGATTATTAATAAACTACAAAATTCCATGTTCGTTTTACATTTTAGGTGTTATATTTGATATTTCAGAAGTGAGTTACTGCCATCTATAACTGCAAAGATTCGTTATTATTTTAAAACACTCCCAACACGTAAATTATTTTTGTTATTATATTCCCAATTTGGGGATTCATTATAAAATGAAAATTACGTGTGATACTAAAGAATGCTGCTATTGAAAACGAAACTTTGTGGAAAAAAAAATACAAACGTTACTTTGGCGCGCTTCACCTAAACAGTTGTTTTAATGGCTGCAAATGTAATCATACCGAATGGATGTGTCCTATGAGAGGAGACGTGTGTTTCAAAGGTAAAACAAGACGAATTATCATAGAGAATTACGTGAAAACCATCCTTATTATCGAAATCCCCAATAAATCAACTTATTTATCTAATCCAGTGTTGTAGTTGGTGTAATTAAATAACCACCAATTCACTAACCAATGCTTGTTTGTATTGACATTGTTGACAGTAGTGTTTAATCCAATTCCACGTTTAACTCATTTTAATTAGGATATTAATTAAACCATTTGATAGTCTTTAAAATGGGGACAATTACAAAAATTAGTATACGTTTTCAAATCCGGAAGTTCACTTTATTTTTCATATTTAGGGGAAAACTTTGACAGGCCGTCTCGAACATGACCTCTGTTATCAATTCGGTGTCAATACAGTCCTCCAGTCTAAGGAAGAAGAAGCCTAATGCAGATCCGGAACAGGAACAAGTTGCCGTCCCCGACTCTACCACTAACTTAGAGAAGGAACGCATCGACTTTAGTCCAGGTCAAGATGTCCTCCTTCGAAATAAAGACGGCTGCTATTACTTGGGGACTGTTATTGCCGTTGATAATGCTAGAGAACAATGTTTGGTTAAGTTTGGTGATAACACGCAGAGTTGGTCGAACGTGAAAAATTTGAAGAAACCTAAACCGAAACAGGAAGATTTGTTGTTGTGCGTTGTATGTAAAAAATCTGCTTCGAAGGCTAGTAATGAAATTACTGTTTGTGATTCATGTAGTCGAGGATATCATAAGAATTGTCATGATCCTAAGATACCTGACGATTGTCAAAAAAATGGTAAGTATGAAGGTGATACCTTTATTTCAAGGTGAAATGGTAATTTGCTATGTTTAGGTTACATGTAAGTTAAGAAATTCATGAGAAGATAAAGAGAAAAAAATTACAAAACCAGTGACACTAAACACTCAGTATTTCATTTGGGAATCAACCTTGCATTTTTGCCTCGGAAGCTTATAATGTATTTCTTATGGCAATGATTCCATGGCCGGTTAAATAATGTAGTAACGCAACTCCGGCGCCGTACGGCAAAAAATCAGATACAATGCACTAGGCCTTACATTGTGACCATAAACTGGATTCACTTTGTGCTTATGCCCCCATCTGCAATCCTGTATAATCATGGATCCTTACTCTTGAGTACTTGATGAATTTTGAATTATCTTCTCACTTGAATCTGGAATTGTTTGGTCCCTCCAATAAAAAATCTAGTTATTTAAGCTACAAAGGATGTAAGTAGCGCATTTATTTGTTTATTATTTATTAAAGTTCTCAACAAAAGGAACTTTTCTGCCAACTACCTCCCTTTTTGACTTTATCAAGAGTTGGTGAGGGGGGTGGGGGGGTTACTGGTAAATTTCTACCAACCATAGTCCTCTCCTTGACTCCATATCGTGATAGGATATACATAATTCCTCATATCTCAAGAAGAGATTGTGGAAGGATGGTACTCGAGGGCAAGTGGAACGTCAGGACGAGACATATCTATTGGTGATGTAAAAATTTGCAGTGCAAATATCCGCGTAAAGAGCCCCTTCCCCATTAATCATCTACCAAGAAAGAAAACATCGATAAATATAACATGCTACTACCACACTCGTTTTTCCAGGAAACATTGGGCGATCTCCAGTTTATTTGGAAAACATGTTTTGTTTTTACCGTTATCCCCTTATTTTGGAGTATAAATTGACAGTCTGTCATAAATGCAAAGGGCTATACAAACTAAACAATATTTTTTATGATGTTGAGAAGCATTTCAACCCTAAAGTGTAGGCGAATATGGAATAATAATGAGAACCTGCTGAGAATTAATATCAAAAATAAATCAAATTCCTACTAAATCACACTTGGAAATTAATTAATTGTACTTTACTTTTTAGGAAATATTTGGATGTGCAAAAGATGCTGGTGTACAGAATCGGTTAGACAGAGAAAAGAGGTATCATGTAAGGTTGGTAAGAAAGAAATCACACTAAAACAGGAATTGGATGTAGCAGTCAAAAAAGATCTACAGCACCTTTGTCATTTTCTTACAATGTAAGTAGTTTTTTTAATTTTGTGATGTGTCTCTCGAAAAATTTCTAATATGAATTTCTTTATTTTAATCCATGAAAAATGTGTCAAAATGTTCTTAAAAATATGTGTAGGGTATTTACTCCACATTGTGAAAGTGTAAAAAAGAGATTAATTAAATAATTATATTTTGAATCCTACTTGTCTGATCTTCAGAAGATGTTTTTGTTGCTTCGAAATCCAAAGTAAGCCTTTCCATGGCATAAAAGTTCAGTTATTGATTACTGACTATACAGTGTATAGGTACCAGACAAATGAAATAAATTTGATAATAAACGAGAGCATGTTAAAAAAAACCTTGGGCACGTCGATTGATAGTTATTTCTAGTTGTGCATTGTTTAACGAAAATTTTGTACACAGGGTGTGTCATGTAACTGGTCAATATCAACTTTCTTATTTTGAATACACATTATTGGATTTTAGGATTCGTCAAAACATTGTAGACATTTTTCATATTCAATGGGAAGTAAGTATTGAGTTTGTCATATTTCTGTAATTTTTTTATGTTTATCGTTGCAATACATTTGAAAACACTATTTCAGAAACATTTGAAGATGGGCATAGGACAATGCGCATGCAATATGTCTAGAACGTTTTAATGAATCCAAAAAGTAGCGTATAAGAAAGTTGGTGTTGGCCAATGTTACACAATGCTACTCTGTATAAAAAGTAATTGTTGAAAAAATGCATAACTAAAATCCGTCGACGTATCTGAGCGTTTTTTTTACACGCCCCCAGTTATTCACTATCTAATTTATTTCATTTGGCTGATACAAACTCGAGTACAAACTATATAAATAAAAGAAATGCTTTGCAGTACCTACTGGTGAATTTTTTGCTCACCCTGTGTATGATTTGTGCTTAAATGAGTTTCAATAGTATTATTATATTAAATAATAAATATGTTTAAACAATTTGAGAAGTGTTGTATTTTCCACATTTATAGAATTATTCTTATTGATAATTCTTATCTACTCAACATAAACTGTCAAGTTTTGTTGAAATGAATTTAGAACATTTCCTCTTGCACATTTTAGTTTCATTTCAAATATTGTGAGCTTGATAATTAATTGTGCATCCTATTAATTCAATCAAGTGTTGTTACAGATCGAGGCTTTAACATGGGATGCATATCACAGGGTAAATTTTGAGAAAGTTTATTGTTATTGTGGCGGAAATGGAGAATGGTACACACAAATGTTACAATGCAGCAGATGCAGACAATGGTTTCATGAGAAATGTGTAAAGTGTTTAAAATTTCCATTATATTGTGGAGACAGGTGAGTGTATTGATTATATTAGTCACAGTGCTTTAGTTGTGAAATTTTGATGAGGCCCGAACTTTTTTTGCGCCCTCCTTTAGGTAACTTGTGACATGAATTTTTCAAAAATTTGGGCATATCTGAAGAAATATGTCCATTGCCCAATTCGTGGCTTCTAAAATGACTTGGACTTTTAATCCTGACTACTTCTACTTTCAATTTAAGGCTGCGTTACATAAGCCCTACATATGGAAAAATACAAGGAAGGATTGTTCAAAACACTCCAAATCATGTAAAGAATGCGAAGTTTTAAAATTTACTTCATATATTGCAAAAGATCTATCGTAGATGTTTTTTGAGATGCTAAATCTGAATCTGAGGTAAATTAGGGTCACTGAGAAAGATGGAACCAAAGCTCTCCCGCTCAAACCGTTTGAGATATACAGTAAAATCTCAAAAATCCGTGATAATTGGGGCTGATGGTACCTAGGATAACGAAAAACGATCTATAAACAGTACATCTTCAACACGTCATCCACAAGATTTTGTTTGGGACCTCGGATTAGCGCAATTTTAACATTAGAATGCTGCAATTTGACATTATTTCACATACTTTTTCAACACATGGTTTTTGATTGCGAGCGCCATCTTTTTTTCTTTAATGACATCATAGGTCATGCGATACGTTATTATAAAGCTTATAATAGCCCCTATTTCAATACTAATGTAACTGTTTAAATAACCTCATAAAAAGGCGTCCATACATGATTAAGGTAGTAAGCAAGAGATAAAAAGAAGCTTTCTAATGACGTATCGTATGACCTATGTTGCCATTTAAAAAATTCAAGATGGCGGGCGCATCCAAAACCCATTGTCTTAAACAAAACTTTTTAACCTCAAAATATGTGAATTAATAATTTCAAATGGAGTGTTCTAATGTCCATATTTCAAACGGTTTGAGCGTGAGTTTTTTTGTTTAAAATTCAACTTTTCTTACCTGACCTTAGTGCAAATAAACGTACAGGGGAGGTCCAAATTGGACACATTAGCCAGGTTGCGGACAGCATTTTCCGTTATGTTAGACGGCCATTTTTTCTTATAACATAAGAAATATAAATTTTTGTAGAAATAATTTACAGTATGAGGGCTTTTTGTACGATATATTTATAAATAGCGGAACCAATGAAAATGAAGTTCTTATAATGTGTCACTGCGCAGTACGTAATCACTCATAAATAACATTTTCCTGCTAACCTACAATTGTGCAGTGTTTATGTTGGCGGTAGTTCTTTTCTTTTTGTCTAAGAGCATAGTAGTGAACTTTGGACATTTTAACACAATGTAAAATAAAAGTGAGGTTAAGACTCCTTCAAACTTATAAGCAAAATTGAACACGCCCAGCACACACCGCAACTTAACTTTGCTATAAAAATGTTTTATACTTATAAACTTATATTATAAGGAAAAATGGCCGTCTAACATAATGGAAAATGCTGTCCGCAACCTGGCTATTCTAATGGAAACACTGTTTACTTCAGAGCTAGAAAAAAGGACGTAGATGTCTGGAGTTCAATTTTAAAAAGGAAATCACTGAGGCAAACAAAATTCAGGTATTTCTAATAATTTGACTGAACACCCTGTATTTAAACTGTGTATCGTTATGGACTCGACACAAAAAAGTGCTTGTAAGAAATTTTGCCAAAATCATTTATCTTCAATAAATAATAAGAAAGTTATGGAGCATTAAGAAACAGACAAAATTCGAAAAGTACCCCCAAGCGGCCAAACGATTAGAGAATTCTATCGGATAAGTAATTTTCTCTTTAAAATTGAGCTGCAGACATCTAGATCCATTTTTTTCTATCTCTTAAAATTAAGGGTATTTCCATTTTCGTAACAAAGCGCCCAGACACCAGGCGTTCAGCTCTAGCTGAACAAATACACGGTGCGGTCATAATTTCTGGTACGACACTTCAAGGCGGAAAATAGGTCTTTCATTACAGGAGTAGGCAAGAAACTTTTTTCCAGTCATCCCACTGATGGCCAGTAACGCAGCCTTAACTAAACATAAATTCGTATGTTTTAAATTACCTTACATTTTGTAAAAAAGTACTAGAGCAAGCTTTATTGCTTTACGAATTATAATTCTGGCCAAATAGCATCATCAACTCTTCCCCTAATGTTTTACAACAAATGCAATATTCAAATATTGTCACATTCCCTGAATAATTTGTAAATGTACAAATTCTTTAAACAGCTTATCTAGAAGAATGTTAGTTAAAATTTTGATTCTGACCACTTGAATAATGGAACTCCACAACTGAGAAGCTCGTGGTAAATTGTAATTTATTTTTGTTTTTAGGTTTTATGTGTTTGTGTGTGCAGTATGTAATGATGGTGTAGAATTTTTACGACGATTAGAACTGAATTGGGTGGAATTAGTTCATTTAATGTTATTTAATTTAACAGCGTATAATGTTATGAAGTATTATGACTTGGATAGTGTCATTATTCCTTACATTAACGATAATTGGCATGCACTGCAGCTTCCACCAAAGGTTTGTGATAATGATCCCTTATCTCTTTACTAAGTGATTACCTTTCAGATTTACAATGTATCAATATATGATAGAAGAAATAACATTCTTTCCGTACTTATTCATAATCGTAATCGGTTTAAATGTGGACGAGAACTTAAGAGAAGGACTGCTATATGGGGTCTAAGAGTTCGTCTACCTCCACCTGCTCCGTGTATTCATGTTCCTTCAATAGGTCCAATAAATGATGAACAATTAAAGCAGTTGTGCCAAAATAGTCGCAAAATTCGGTTTTTGCCATTTGAAAGCGACAGTTCATTGGGTGATCGTATGATTGTACCGGTAGATAATCATATGGTGAACATTATGATGGGCACTGCGTATCTTGAAAATGTTCAGTCGGAATCGGAATCACCTTGTCCCAGTCCCATCGCCGATCAAGAAGAATTTAGTGAAAGTTGTAATTATGACCTTTACAAAACAGAGTTCCGTGGTGGTGGTTGTGTAAAGAAAAGTGTCCCATTTTCCAAAATTAGCTTGCAACGTAAGAAACGTAGATTACCTCTAAATCATCGTGATAAACCTTTGCGGAAACAAAAACAGAAAAGTGGTAAACTGTCGATGACAAAAAAGAACAAAGACATCTTTCGTGCAAATAAACATCTTAGTGTAGAGACTAAAAATAATAAAAGTAACGAAACACTGCCTTTAACGCCTCCTACTTCGGTTTCTGCACCGCCCACTCCCCCAGCTTCAAGCACTTCCCTTTCGGGCACTGACATTGCAACCGATTATTGTGAAAATTCTAATACGTTCACTCAACATTTTAGTGATATTAATAAAAGTGTCAATAATAAATTAACAAAATCAAACTTAACTAGAAATAATTTATCTTCAAGATTAGAGTCAAACTCTATAGAACTGAACACTCCGTGTGATACTTCAGGAGACGAAACTTCCTCAAAAAGCACCTTAGATTTAATTATTCCTCCACCGAAAGACTTCAAGGGTCAAAACAACCCTTTTTTGACCCTGTTGAGGGGAAGTACTGACCAGAATAAGAAAAAGAGAAGCAAGGACGCTATTACTTTACCATTGCCGTTAACGGCCGTCATTCCTGGTAGGCCTGTAGGAAAACCCCTGAAGAGACAGTTAAGCGAAAAGGATATCTGTATTGGACCAAATGGTGAAGTAAAACGTCGCCGGCTACGTAGAGGACGAATCGGTCAGATATCTGCATTTCCAGTTGGTGTACCGACAGCCAGTAAAACTGCCGCAGTTGTCCCGGTTCGACCGGACGCGAAAGAATGGGGACAACGAAACATACGCTCTAGTCTTAATCAGACGTCACCAAGTGGATCTCAAATAAGTAACTGTGTCGATTACGCGCTCAACGCCCGCCTTTTAAGGCAGAAACAGGAAAAAACTCAAGAAAAGGAAAAATCCTCTACTTCCACGAGTCCTAAACACAGTCCTGTTAAACAGGAACCGGAAATAGATATGGATGATTTGAAAAATTCCGTTAATATCTATTTCGGCGCTGCAAATCGAATTGCGGCGGGCGAAAAGTTTTTTGTTAAAGCTAAACGTGTTAATTCAAGTGGTAAATTACAATATTTGATGGAGTGGCAGGGTTCTAGTAATGGGATGACATGATCTTTTTTAAATAAGTGTTTTAATTATGTTCACTTGTTTCTTTTGAACTGTGTTCATACAGTAGCTCAGTTAACCAAAAATGTAGGAGGTTGTAGTGCTCCAACGAAAAATGCAAAGCTTTTTAACTCATTTTCTGAAACATAACAGCAGGATAAAAAATATTCTGACTCGTCGACAATTAAATATATTAACATTTTATTCGGTTATTGCTCTTTGAACGAAAAGAAAGAAGAGGGTTGCTAGGATTGTTATGCACTACAATTTGCATGCTTGTCATAAGAATCTTGTTAAAATGTTTGTTAACAAACTGTATCCCCTACAGAATTGCTATAAATTTGAAATTGCATATCCTAGAATGTTTGAAGAAAGTAATAGCATTTTGTGTAATACAAGTAGATGTGCGTCCTCCATTCCCTGCATTATTGTGTACCTAATAAGAGCAGTTATGTACGTATTCTACAGTTTATTATATTTTTATCTTATCAGGTTTACTGAGCTATGAAATAATTTTACTTCCTATTATGTATGCTTTTAAAAAATGATGTTTCTTCGCAATTTAATTATATGAAAGCGCCCAGGTCAAGAGATCTGCTAGCGGAATGTATATAACTGAAGGCGCCCGAGCGAAATATGTAGAAAATATGCGATTACCTGAGCGGTATTGTAATGTAACATACGAAATAGTAGAAGGGAGTGCTTCACTGTTGTTACCTTTATTTTTTATTTTTGAAGTATCTTCTGAAATTCCAAGCTAATTTTAGTAAATATAGCCGTATCATTTTTCTCTAGCAAAATTTTGAAGTGTTTAATAAAGACTGGAAATATAAATGTGTTCAGTACAAATTTTCAATATAATTATTAATTTAGAATAAGAATTTACTTTAGCACTAAGAATAAAGGAATACTTCTCATGAGTTGAATATTCTACAATTTTAACAGATAAACAAAAGTTTTAAATTAATTAGTTTGTGATACATTTTAGTAATCGATATAGCAAAATCTATCTGTATACAAACTTTTTTGTAATAAAATTATAGTTTATTAAATGTTTTTCATTAATTAAAGGTTACAAATATAAATTTCCAATTATTTTTGTATTATATTGTATTTAAACCAGCTATTAGTTCACAAGTTGCGCATTTTTATTTGATGTAATTCAGACTTGATAAGAAAAAAGTTTTCCCCTATAACTCGGGGTTATTTTAGAGCCAATGAACCTATTTTTTAAGAGCACTGTAGAGTTACATATTTTTTTATAAATGTGTCGAACTAGGGGACCCTTAGCACCACAGTTCAGCCTTAACTGAACTTCGCCACACAGGCCGGCTGCACTAATACAGTTTTTCACAGGAAAATTAAGAAATAACACACCTTTTGTTGTACGAATGGGACTTTTAGTATGTTAATAGGAAATATGTTCCCTATACATTAAACAAATATAATAGACGATCGTGTACCACTTTTTGAGCTCTACAAGACAACGTTGTGAAATTTTCAAAACATACAAAGTTTCGTTTCAGAAAAATCAATTTTATTTTTTTATGTCTTACTAACCTATCAGAGCACATTTTATATCTGTGATACGCGCGGGCATAAAGTACCACTTTATGCCCTAGGGCATTAAGTATCACCATAGTAACTCATTTATACTTAATGACAAAACAAACAAAAGATTTGCAGGTCATTGAAAACTAGAAACGTCAATTATTAATTGTCAATACCTACTAAATCACAAGATTTACCTTATTTCGTATAGTTTCTGGAACTTCTTGCTCATTCACGATGAATTGAATTATTTAAATTTACGTTTGACGTTTGGATGGTTTCAATCACATTAACAAATTCGAACCATGCATACTCGATCAAACATAATGAATTATTTTGTGAACGAATTTTGACGAAGAAAACTATTTGTAAAACATAATAGTACATTATATATCAAGGTAGAGAAGTACAGTATTATTGCCTGAGCACCAAGATTACATCTCGAGGCGCTTGCGCCGAGGGGTGTAAGGTGCGAAGTATATATACTGTTTTTTTCACTACTAGCACTTGAAATCCTCTAAATTAACATATTAATTTGATAAGAAAGTGAACGGTTGGACAGAATTGTTTGTTTCTTAATTTAACATGTCAATCAAGTACGTAGAAGTACAAGTCAAACAGGCCGTATTTTCATCATTGGGATATTTTCAAAGAGTAATTTCGTTCGAATTTTTTCAAAATATGATAATTTTAGGTATGTAATTTCTCTGGAAATGGCGGATGGTGGCAATTATTCATTTTAGAGAACTTGTCCAAACGTTTTATTGAGCGAAATTTCGGGTTGTGTTTTCTAAAAGTGACAGCGTGACAGTTCTCATTATTGACTACTAGTTAATAATGTCCACATTATTAACCACTTTGAACAAATGCCGAGAAAGCCTACTTTACAAGTGGAAAAAAGGTTAATAATCATGTCATCAGACGCTAGTAGTGAAAAAAATTGTGTATGTACCACGGGCATAAACTGATGTTTATACTCTCGGGCGACTAAAAAGCTCTCGGGCCATAGGCCCTCGAGCTTTTTAACTCGTCGCTATAAACATCACTATTATGCCCTTGAAACTTGAAACTTTGACATATGCCTGGCGTCGCCGCCTCTCCCAGGATTTAGTCAACTGTCGTGAGGATGCGTCCCTGGTAGGCACTATCAGGGACGTTTCACCACTACTTTGTTGCCATCGCGCTGGGCCGCGACATATGCCAAACAATGTGGTGGAGTTTGTGGATTGGGGGGGTTGTGGAGGGGCGGCTAACTAGGTGTTATCCGACCCGAATGGGTACGGCCACAGCTTCGCCACTGGTATTCTGCCTTAGAGGGAACTCTGCTTTCTAGTGATAGCTTCTTCTCCTGGCGTTCATTGTCTTCCGATGTTCCTATCCTTTGGTATCGTTCCCTTCCCTGTTTTCCCCCGTGTTCCTCCCCTTTTTATTGTTGCCCTCTCTCTGTGTTACTTTCTGTCGTTCCCTCTTCCTCCTCCTCTTGGCTACTTGTGCTTATGTCTGATTCTTCTTCCACCTCCAATATTCTTCTGCTTTCTTTCTTCATTTGATGCTTGTCTCTGCTCCACTCTTCCCAACTTCCCATGGGAATCCCCGAGGCCATTACCGTTTGGTCTATGGTGGTATTCCATGTGAAGCAGGGTCGGCCTACCTTCCATTCCGAGGCACATAGATTCTTGGCAGCCCGTAGGATATGGTCTTTGTTCCTCCTGTTTATATGTCCCCAGTATCTCATCTGCTTCATCTTCAGTCTCCTGGTGATCGTCTTTCCCTCTAGTAGTTCCCTTATCTGCTTTCTTGTAAGGTTGCTGTTTTCCATCAGTATCCTGAGTGCCTTCCGCTCCGCCCTCCTCAATGTTCGTCTGTTACTTCTTGTTAGCGCTGAGGTATTAACTCCGCATAAGATTGTCGGTGCTATGATCGTGTTGTAAATCATCATCTTCAAGCTGTCCGGTATTTTCTTCTCTCGTATAAAGTTCCGAATTCCGTGTGTGATTCTGAATGCGTTGGTTATTCTGTCTTTCACTGTGTTGTGCCTGCTGAGTGTGCTGCTTATGTACGCTCCCAGATATTAATTAATCTTGTGCTTCATAGTTATATCCTTGCTATTGCGATCTTGTCTCCTTCTTTGTATTGGGTGTTGCTTCTTGGGTCTCTTATCATCATGTAGCTCTTTTCGTTGTTTATTTGTAAGCCGACCATTTCCAGGTATACCTCGCTGGTTTCGACGAAGTCCTCAATGTCTTCTAACTTATCCGCGATTACGAGTAGGTCGTCCGCGTACGCCAGTAGTGTCGGTAGTTGTAATTGGTCCCTTGTGCTGAAGTTCCTCACCACCATCCTTGTTTGTTCTAAAGCGAGGCCCTCGAGCTTTTTAACTCGTCGCTATAAACATCACTATTATGCCCTTAATACATAAATAACTATTATACCTATGGCCCATAAAAAAAGGGACATAATGTATTGAGTAGCATTTTTTACTACGATTACAACGATATATGGTACACATACGCCATAACAATGCGATTCTACCTCTCGGAGAAATTCTATGGAAAATAAGTCCAATAGGTTGACTCGCACGGTTACGGTATATTTGTACCTATGGGACATATTTTCCAGGGAATTTCTCTGATAGGTATTCTCACACGATCAGGACGTTGTGGGTGGGTGCACCATCCTGTTGTAACCAACAGTTTCTAACTTTGTGTACCAATTCATAATAAAAAATGCTACTCACTACAGTATGTGAGACAGTGAGAACATGCTTTTTTATTATTTGTATCTGTTCAAATAACACCAGAAAAAAATGGGAAAATTTCGATTTTTCTGGCATATCTTCGGAAGTAAGAATTTTCTGGTTTTTATTTAAACCATGATAATAACCCATTGATTGCGCATTTTTTCTCTAATTGGACCATCGTCGTGTCTTCTATGGTTTCAGAGATCACCATGATAGACAGCCTTATCTTGGAGACAGTGTATAAAACATAGGTAGCAACTTGTTAAGATACTGTGGTAATCCTCAGTGTGTGTAAAAAAGGTGCGCTTTGTGTCTGTTGTATACAAACTAAAAAAGCTACGAAAATAGTGCGGACTTTTTGTGCCACATCGATTATGAATCAGTGTAGTAAAAATATTTTATTTTTATTTATTTTTGAGTGGGCGGGGTTTCAGCCAAGGCTGCTCTACCAACCCAACCTACTATACATTCACAAATATCCATGCCCGAACCAGGGCCCCTTAGCACCACAGTCCAGCTTTAATTGAACTGTGCCATACGGGCCGGCTACCATTATATACTTTGTTTAACACTTTTCTGGCGGTTTGCTACAGAGCGTATAGGAATATTTGTTCATCTGAAAAATAAAAAAATAAGATGTGTATAGTAAAATTGTGTTTGTGTAATTTATTCTTAAAATTACAATGGCAATCAACGTATTAAAAATACTGTTGTGTAAATGTGTTTGAAATACTTTTACTTATTCGTGTAAATTGCTATAACATTTAAAAATAATGTTGAGATCTTTTTGAAGAATACAGCATAAACAAAACAGAGACTGTATCAGATCTTTAACAGATATACTTTAGTGAGTTTGTAATTTTACAATTCATCTTTCAATTTAGTCTTCATGAAGCTTTTTAAATCTTCAAATGACCGGTTGCCTGTATAATCCTTCACAAATTTGCCATTTACATATAATTTGACAGTTGGATATCCTGAGATATCCATTTCTTCCGTTATTTTTGGATTTTCGGTGCAATCAAATATTGCAAATCTTGCAGTAACGCCCTCTGCCTTTAACTCATCTGCTGCCTTGGTAAACTGAGGCTTCATCCGTTTGCAGTGTCCACACCCTACAAAAGAGAATTAGAAAGAAAGGTAAATTTACCGAAGTCGCTTACATGGTGCATAAAACATAACCAATGTTGGTGTAGGGGACGATATTTCTTTTTTAAAACTATCGTCATTTAAAACCACAATGTTTGAGTCGCCTATGATCCAATTATCTGCCTCTTTCTTGACAGGGACAAATTCGGGATCGATCATAAATTTGATGAAATCTTCAGACTAAAAATTCTTTAGTGGATGGGTTGTACAAAAAACACATGTCTTTACCGTTCGTCCACCATTATAGTGCTTCACTGACTTTGAATAGTAACTAAAATATTTAATCGTTGGGTAACCCTTAACATCATTGACACTGCATAGTCCATGCTGTGTGGTACAGTCGACGGCCGCAAATTCAACTTTAGGGTCATCCTTGAAAGATTCTGCTGCCTTTGTAAATTCAGGTTTTGCTTTCTTACAATGACCACACCCTAAAATGCAATTGGGCTGTTAGTACTTTATAATGAATACACTATTACGTTAAAATTACTTTCATGTCCCTGTGACTTTATCGTTTTTGCCCCTTTTATTTACTTAAAAAATGTCCCAATACATTAAAGAAGCGGCAGATCAGCGTATGTTGAATTTACGCTTTGAATTATTTCTTATCGCACAATAAGGGTTATTATTTCGATGCTTTGGTCAAATCACGTACAGAAAATGTATGACATCATTTCACATTCTTTATCCCCACACTAAATTTGATCGATTTTAGAGACCTCAGCGATTGCCCACTTTTAACCAATCAACACCCCAATATGGAGATGATTTTTAAATATGATCATGATTTAAAAGCACAGAATAATAACATTCTGCATGTGAACAATTTGTCACTGATAATAGACATAACCAAATACTTACATGGTGCGTAAAACATTACAAGTACATGTTTCTTCTTTTTTAAAAAAGGTTTAAAAGTTGCTTCAGTCAAGTGAACAACGTCGGACTTTTCTTCCGACCAAGAAACTTCAGCCGGAGGTGGAGGCAAAGGTTCTTGGGGATTTGTCATAAACTCAACTATTTTTGCGGACTCGCGTAAGTTAACATCAAATTTAAACTCCCCATAGCTAAAATACTTAACAGTAGGGTACCCTTTTATGGAAAATTTCGAGGCGACTGCCTGCTCCTTGGTAGCATCCACAGCAGCCAACATTCCAGATATCTAAAACAGTTAATAAAATAATTAGATATGTCAAGCATGGACAGTACAGTACCCCTTCGTTTTTCATAACAGCTGCAGCTTTTTCATACTCCGGCTTCATTCTTTTACAATGTCCACACCAGGGAGCGTAAAACATTATTAACAACGACGCCTCCTCTTTAATTACGGGATCGAAGCTAGATGTTGTTAAATGAACGACTTCACTGTCAACATCCGACCACTCAGATTCCACAACTTTAACCGGAGGCGCGTGTGGATTCTGCATGAAACTTATGATTCCCTCTTTATTATTTTCACCTTCGTATTGGTACTTCATAACTCCATTACTGTAAATAACAACAATAATGCAACAAGCAAATTTGTACTAATATACGCACGAGTAGTACAGAAGCGTTGGAAATCCTGTTATATTATACTGACTTCTGACAATTGCATTTTCAGGCCTGTTCACATCGATCGCCGCCAGAATTGCTTGACCCTGAAGCTCACCGGCAGCAGCCGCGTATTCAGGCTTCAAACTTTTGCAAAACCCACACCAAGGAGCGTAGAACATTATCATTACCGGTTTCTGCTCTTTTCTTATTAATTTTGCTAAACTCTAAAATTAGTATCAATCAATTAATTGGATCAATTACTAAATGAATGTTTACAAGTAATTTTTTAAAGAAATTCATTATGTGCCTAAACTTATATTCTAATGACATCTGTCAGTAACTAACCAATTATTTGAGAGTGATTTTTCCTTGGCAATGTACTCATAAAGAAAATTATTGTTCGTTTGAATTGGATACTCCTCTGAAGGTATTCTTGAAAGAACTGTGTTTTAAAAAAGCTCTCAAATATACTGTGTTCTAAAGCTTGTGCACTTTTACAATCAACATCAAGTTGGGATGTTGGCAATGGTTGTCTTGTAGTAGAACTTATGACATAGCTCTATCCATGTCTATATATGTAATCTAAGAGAAAGCCTAATTCGGAGTAGCCGGCAGAATGCTAGCAACTGATGTAAGGAAATTCCCATCTCTCTTACAGATGAAAAATTCTTACCTCAGCCAAGGTTCGAACACCCGACCTCCGGTTTTATAGCCCAATGCTCTACCGTTGAACTACAAAGCCATGGATAGCCGAGATCCAGAAACAATTGGAAAACAATATACTTAAGACCGCTTGACATGGAGCAATACAACATGCAAGTTCAAAGCATTGCATTGTATTTTACATATAGTGCAATTCTATTTCGATTGCCACATGTCTGCCAACAGAAGAAAATCATGGATTTGTCAAGAAAGTTGCTAACCTCAAATAAAAATATTATATTTTGATTACTTAAAGAAACATGAAAATTACAAAAATAAACAGGATTAATTAAAAAAAGTCATCAGGGCGTCCCTCAGCACTATAGTCGCATTATTTTATTAGGTTGGTGATGCAACAACAACTAGATTTATCCCTAGAATTGCACGGTTCATTCTGCACGCAAGAAAAATAGTCCCGGTCCTATAAAAATTGCATGCAAGTCTCTTGCAACGTGCATACCCTTGCAATTTTTATTGCTCCATATCAAGCGAGCTTTAGGTAGTAGCTCCAAAAAATTTAATGAATTAGGATTACACACACTACTCAAAAAAGATCCCTATTAAAGTCACATTTTTCAAATGGTACACAACTGAATTCTACATATTGCATAATTTTTTAAATAGTACTACAGGATACAAATGAGAACCAGAAGAAAAACATACTTTCAAAATCGTCATACCATTTAAATACAATGCAAAAATGTATATTATGGTTTTCATTTTAAAAGTATTTAAGTAATTGGTAAATTGGTCAAACCATTCTTTTCAAAATATGTTACTTAGTGACTTACAGCACCATCAGTAATGTGCACAATATTGGCAGCACCCGCATCTTCCTCCCAAGGTAATTCTCCTGTGGGATCTCGCATAAAATTCACCATTGACGTAACAGTTTCCTTTCTGTCATAATCTTTATTAAATTCCCCCATTTTGTAATGTTTTAAAATGTACGTTTCGGGAGAGACTTTTAACTTCTTACACATCTTTTTTGCTTCCCTAGAATATTATACAAATTTCAATTTGGTTTAGCTACACATTCAGTTATAGAATTTCCAAAATGAAAATCAAATAATACAGAAGATAAAGATTATCAAATTTTGAATATCCAAACTATCATAATAAGTGGGATAAATAAACCATCCTGTATCTGATTTGCTGCTTCAACTGTTTTTACAATTTATCACGGCCGCTGTGACATTTCTCCTACATACCAGATTAAGGCAGTACAAAGAAAGGTTCCCATGAAAACCGTTACTTAGTTTCCTGTGCCACACCACTGATTTCCTGCATCCTGAATGGCAAACTTATTAATCAATGCACAGATCGAACTGATAATCAGGAAAGTTCAATTACCCAAATAAACATGTTGACCCGACACATTTTAACTACCTACCCTGAGCAATCAACTAAAATCATTGTACCCAATCCCTTTATAGCCAAGGCGGCCTCCTTAAACACTTGTACAACAGGTACAGACTGTTTCAATGAACTACTAAAACATACAAGCACATTCGTCTTTGTGCGTAAAATCTTTTTAAAGTCCTTTATGTCCACTACATTGTCAATGACTAGATTTTTATCGGCACCTTTAGCAAAATAATACGGTACTTCTGCAAGTATGACCTACGAAAGGAATTGAGAATTAAACCATTTGAGGAAATCCAATTTTACTCACAAAAAGTGATAAGAAAAATATGTACTTCATTGTCGTTCTACCGCTACCGGTTATGTGCAAAAGTCAGAAGCTGAAATAACTAATTAAATCATGAATATTATTTGTTTGTAATGAAGTTAAGTTAAAATTGTGAGGTTATGGTGAAGTTTACTTATTGTTACTACAGGTACGTCTACGGTGCGCTAGCACCGGGCTAACAAGGACTTTTGGTAGGCAACACACCATACAAAGGTGTCTTCTTTTCCAACAATTCAAATCTTCTGTGTGATTAAAAATGAGTTGCTGTCGAGTCACCTTTGGAATTCTTGTTTACATGGGAAATCGTATTTAACTTGAACTTCCAAAGGCGACTCGAAAGCAACTAATTTGTGACCGCCCGTTATTAAAAATTAACCAACGGTTTTGGTATGAGGATGGGGATAATCAGTGGTCGAAGTGGCAAATATTTTTTTTTCACTACTAGCGTCTGATGACATGATTATTAACCTTTTTTCCACTTGTAAAGTAGGCTTTCTCGGCATTTGTTCAAAGTGGTTAATAATTTTTTATTATTAACTAGTAGTCAATAATGAGAACTGTCACGCTGTCACTTTTAGAAAATACAACCCGAAATTTCGCTCAATAAACGTTTAGACAAGTTCTCTAAAATGAATAATTGCCACAATCAACCATTTCCAGAGAAATTACATACCTAAAATTATCACATTTTGAAAAAATTTGAACGAAATTACTCTTTGAAAATATCTCAATGACAGAACAAAATACGGCCTGTTTGACTTGTACTTCTACGCACTTGATTGACATGTTAAATTAATAAACAAAAAATTCTGTCCAACCGTTCATTTTCTTATCAATATAATATGTTAATTTAGAGGACTTCAAGTGCTAGTAGTGAAAAAATAGTATATATACCACGGTAGAGAAGTCTATTATTGCCTTCGCACCTTACATCCCTCGGCGCAAGCGCCTCGAGATGTAATCTTGGTGCTCAGGCAATAATACTGTACTTCTCTACCTTGATATATAATGTACTATTACCGGTATGGCTGAACTGATAAAATCTTGGTATTGTATGTATGCGTATATTATCATGAAAAAACTTTATCCGTTATGCCTATGTGGATAAATTTATTACCGGTATGTTTCACAAAAACCAAAAATCTATCGGTATGCCGTACCGCCGCATACCGCCTCACTTCGACCACTGGGGATAATTTGTTCTTAAAAACCTCTACTATAAGACTACTTTAAACTTTTACTTTATTTTAGTCTAGGTTTTTTCAAGTAAGAATCAGTCGACAGTCGATCGTAGATACTTTGTCATACTGAAGCTGTTAGTGTAGTGCAAAATATATTTTAGCAAAGATCAGTAACACTCTCCTATAAAGTGACCTTTAAAGAGCGGACAAACAGTCAAACTTTCCAGAATAAGTACATTTCTGCGGCAAAAACCATAGGAAACAGCTTTCAACCGCTATGCAAGTTTTGTGCTATGCAATTTATAAGGTAGCATTGCATTTTACATTGAAGCATTCTGTGCACGTTCAAAAGAGTGCCAGAAGAAATTTCATTTTTGGAATTTTCTGATTTTCCAATTAGTCGATCACTTTGTTCCCTTTTTTATGAATTAATTATTTAGGTTAGAATCAATGACATTAAAGAATCCTTTCCTTGATTTGTTTAAAATTCGATTGTCATAAAATCATGGCCGACTACTAAAAAGAAAATCTGAAAATGAAATGGGAATAAATCAGACTGTTAAAGATAGTTATAAAAATACGTAATATCAAAATATGCGAATTTTGATGGTCTATCAAATGAAATAGTGAGAAAATAATGGTCATTTCATTTGGAAAAACTGAGTTTTTAGTCTTTGAAATTTTGATCTCCAAAGATGCGGTCGTCACAACTTAACTTTCTTTTAAGTACTTACACTAAAAAAAGCATTATTTTTTGTCTATGTACTGGGAAAAATGGATTGCCATAACAACAACCGTTTTCAAGTAAACAATTTTCAAGTAGGTACTGTCTGTATCCGCCTTTTTTGTTTCAAAACCATAAATTGTAGATACGTATCGACATGTGGGTATCAAGAGAACTGAAAATTCACGTAGATTCCAAAAATGCAATAAATAATACGGATTGCCATTTAAAATAACGAACTAACTAGCTACTTCCAGTATATCTGGATGAGAAACCATTTTGAAAACATTATACATCAATTCGGCATTCAAAGTAACTCCTACTTTTTCAAAAACCTACCTAATTCACTTTCCCAGAAACGTTTAACTACAGATCTCAAAAAACACCCTTTTTTTATTAAAGGTTGTTTTTATGTAGGTATGAAAAATATGTCGTAAAGTATATTTCGTTCCGCTAGGTGATTATATAGTTCGTCAGGCGTGCGAGATGCGCTTCCGAACGTCGCAACAAAAAAATAACTGATAGGCGGTATAAGTTCGCCGGTTGAGCGAGGTGAGGCGGCGCAGCTGCCGAAACCGAGCGTATGTGATAGTCAAGAAAACGAGATTTCGCAAAGGCGGCCCGAAGTCCGCAGGGTCTGCGAGTAAATTTATAGCATTTTAGCATATTTGTATAATTGGAAAGGTTTACAATAAATGTGCAATAAAATTGACTACAGTCTACAGAAGACCCTTAACCACACATCCCTTGGCTAAAACACCACCCACTTAAAAATAAAGCCCAAATAATAAAAGAGAGAGAAGAGCAAGAGAAAGGTGTTTCAATTGAATATAGTACTGCAGGGTTAACAGCCATGTGCATGGCTACAATAAATTAATAATTGCTCCTGTAAGGTCGGTAGTTCACCATGGTAGAGCATTGGGTTATAAATCCGGAGGTAGGGTGTTCGAACCTGAGTTGAGGTGAATTTTTCATGTGTGGCGGAGATGGTAATTACCTTAGACCAGTTCCGAGCATTCTACCGGCTACTCCGAATTAGGTTTTCCTGCAGTTTTCCTAATTCGTAAGGTAACTACCGGAGTAGTATAGACCAACTTAAGACCTTCTGCAGAGGCACCTCTAAATAGCATTATGCGGGTCACTCTGTAATTGGGCGCATGCCTGTTGAGGGCCCAAAACAAGAGAGGGATAATAATAAATAATAAATGGACCACCCTACACACACGCCACTGCCCCCCGACGCCTTGATTAATGAAAAGTGTTTTACGTAGTTCGTCCTCAAGTAACGGCGCTTTAGGATCGCATACCGTGGATAACTGTTCATACTTCCTTGCATGCGCAATGTGATTTCAATTTATGACGTCACAGAAAATGTTTCGCATCTTCAACTACCTGAATAGAAAAAAGGTGGTTGCCTTTAATTTTTATCGACTAATTTTTAATTGTTTAAAGTAACAGTCGCGGGGGCGTACGTTACGTCGGTCGAAGACGTAGACCGGAACCTGGTGGCCACTTTTTGCGGAGCGGAGTTCGTTATCTTGCGGCGGCTTTTATTAGCGCAATAACATCAATGAAAGTTTAAGCTTTTGGGGCCTGTGTGTGTTGTTTCTGCGGAAAGCGGAAGCAAGATGCAATAAGCGCGCGACGTAGAGATCAACGTAACCCCCACTACTGTTATATACCAGACAGGTCATTCAACCCGTGCAGTCCCGGCTGACAGCAACACGGTTCGTTCTTTCGAATCTTCTGTCCTTAATTCATAGTTACTAATTTATGCACTTTTTTTTCTAATTATTAATTACATAATTTGAGTGTCGTCCCGTATCATCATTATTCAGTGTGATTGATTGATTATGAGATTAAAAAGGAGTTAGTGCGAATGATTTTGAATCTACCATTAACCGAAACTGTGCATAATTGACTTAATAATTAACCGAACAAGATTGTGTAGTGGAAAATTCAGTGGGCGTATTTGGATAAAATTTCGAAAACTTCAGCAGGAGAGGCCGCAGAACGACGTCCCTTTGGCTTCGATCAAGGCACCACTACTTCAGTTCGTTGTACTTTTAGCCTTATTTTTATATCTCAAAACATTTACATACCTACCACACATTTACATTACGTACGTTTACACTTTGTTATTAATTACGTAATTTCGCAACGACGCATCTACCTAAGATAATTTATTTCACATACTGACCTATATAATTTCCTCTAGCGTATCTCCATCGCCCATTATGACCTTCCATCGATTAATTTAAATGTGTACAAAATAAGTACGCGAAAGGTCAACGAACCCGTAACGCGCTTCGTAATTCGATATTTCGATTCATATACCTACTACGAGAACAGTTCAACATTTTTAACAAATCCCCTTTTCTACATAATATTTTTAGGTATTTGCCACACTAATTGTCCTTCAATTATGCGGAAATAAGGCAACTGAATTATTGATAAGCGTGCTTGACCTTTCATTTAGCATTTCCTTAAGATTTATCGCTCAAAGAGCAGATATTTGATGAAATCATTTTCCAGAACAAAAGCGACGCACTCGTCACCTACCTGTATGGAGAAATGAGTGCGGAAAACAGCTTTCCCCTCGAATATTTTGTTACGTTCGCGTAGTACCTTAAGCAACATTAAATAATCTTGTCGGGATTCGAACCCGGAAACTCCGTGGTCACAGAAAGCATCAGGCGTTAACGATTGACCCATCTGTGCGACGCTAACTCGAATTTTCCGGCTCTTTTTTAAAGTACCTTGGAATGTGTTTTTTTAAATTATTAATTTCATGATCCTCCTGGGGTAAGTCGTCTTCTAATTTATTACATTTTATGCCCGAATTTCGTGTATTAAAATAATGCGGACAATTAATCGGGAAACTAAAAAAGATTATTATTATTGCGAATAGTGGTCCAACCTTACCTTTCGTCATTAACTTTGGTGTAAAAGTCGTGTGTGGTGAAAGTGTTTAAAAAGCAGGTAACCACGTACTTGCGAAAGGATATTTCTTCGTTTCAGCTTGATAGTGCGGGCGTAGTAAGTAACTATTTTATTACCTAAATGGCAAATTTGGTACAAAGTGCATGACAACTTTGTCCTTAGGAGAGGATTAAGGAAAATGTCAATTTTGAACTTTTATTGCAGTACACAACATTTTCCTAATGAGTAATGTAGCAAAAACGAATCGGTAAGGATCTAAAACTCCCGCTAAAACTAATAAATGAAAAAATGATG